GTCACTAACACATTGGACATATATGTATTATGTGTTTGGTGTCTACTCTTCGCCTGAAATACTGTGGTGAATGGGCATCCTGTCAATATTTCAAGGAATTGAACAATACAGAACATGATTTGTAGCAGTAAAAAAACTCAATATGTACAATTTAAATGAGATACTTTTAATGGCTTGTGACGTAAAATAAAAGTCAAGTTATTTTAACTACCTCAATAAACCCAAAAACGTCGTTGGAGTTAGTAAACCGACTAATAGAGCAACCTGTATAACTTATTACTTAACAAAACAATAGATAATGAACTACTCAATTTAAAAGCGTTCTATAAAGTAATATACTTTTGTACACGTCTCACATATAAATAAATTACAATAGCGTTATTACCAATTTATCTCAATAATTATGCATAAAAAAAAATATTTCAAGTAGCAAATAATTGCTACTCAGTTCCTGGTATGGAGCATGGGGCACACAAATATTCAAGATATATCTATACTAAATGCTGTCTGTAGTTTAGGCGAGTAATACACATTTAAATAAAACACTTTACCGGTTTAAAACGCGATATATATTAGTTAAACTTGTTTAAAAATTATTTTAACTACGGCCGTGGTAAACACGAGTCGTTCTTCCATCCATTCAGGTAACGATAATGGAAATAGTGAAATGACGAAAGACAAAGGCACAGAGACAAATGACGGCCATCAATCGACACCCGCCGCTCAAATGAAAACGTAATGCGCCTCATCACATTTGCACACTCGATTCAATTCTACCAGGAGCTACGAAGTCTCAAAGGGTATAAACAATGCTCGCAATGTATCAAGTTACAAACTATTAACGCAAATACTTACATCTATTCTATTATCTATACTAATATTATAAAGCTGAAAATTATTTGTTTGATTAACGCGCTTATCTCTCTAGGCTAGGCTCTAATTGAACAATTGTGTTGGACTATTCATCGAAGACGGCTATATACTATAAAATGCGTGCGCTGCAAAAACGACTCACGATACCCAAAAAATATCTATGACAAAATGATTCCTCTTTAATTCGTCTAGAAAAGTGTCCACGATCGTATATGTCTATCTTTTAAGATTAACTTGCAAGGACAACGACGGGATGGGGATGACGTCGTCACGGTCGACAACTATATGTTATTAAGATAAGGTGGAGTCTGGAGGTATGCAATAATACACTTTGATGCCCAAAATAACTATTCCACGCGAACGAAATCGCAAGCACTGCTAGAATATTGCAGGCAACTTGGGTTTTCGTGCTTTTCGATTTATATTTACAGGCAGATAGATAGTGAGATTTCTGCATCATGCTAAACTATTTAGTTATCTCGGATTTATACCAGAGAAACATTTTAGTTTCATCCGACTTTGTGGGCCTAACGTCATCAACAATTTGTTTGACTACTGAGCAGGTAACAGATGCGTGATCTAACCTGGGTTCATATGTTTAGAGAACTTTCTAGACTACATTTTTTGTGTATATGTGTAATAAGCCAACTTTTTAGGACAATATTTACGATTTAAAAGTTTTGGCAAAAATTAAATTTCAAAACTGTTCGCAAATATCTTGTCTTGGTTAATTCCACATCCATAATTGACACCTTTAATTCGTAGCTGCATGTCACACATTTATGCAAAACAAATAACTCTTCATACATCACGTGGGTATATTGCCAAATTATATTATTTTCCTCGTATTTTATTTATATTTCACACTCTATCATTTTGCTTTATATCATTTGTTCATATTTCACAAATTGTTCCTCGCTGACTTTCAAAGTTTCTATTTCAGCATGAAAAATTATGATTTATAAATGTTTTTTTTGGCAATGCATTCGGTTTTAATCTTGCAATAATATAATAAAGCAATGTAGACCTGCTTCTTGGAGTACATTTTCTTACAGGTAATTAATTACCTCCCAAAAATCGTGTTCATTTCATTAATATAGGTTTTATTTTTCAGTAAATGAAGATATTTAATAATAAAGTCAACTAACAATTCAAAACTGCTCTTAGAATACGTACTTATTTAATTTACAGCTAATATTATGTTTTTTAAAATAAGAGGCGAATTTTTATAGGACCTTCGCTCCATCTTGGGGAATAGCCAATTATGCACTTCGTTTTCAAATAAAACAGCAATAAAGAATAAACAAGGAAAATCGCTCATACGATCACCGTAACGGGACCAATAAAATTCACATGAATAGAATCCATCGGATCGCTTGAAAATTTTTAAATTTTACGACCGCGCGACTAGAATAGGATTTTTATGATTGTTTTAGTGCAGTACCGTTTATACTTGAATTTAAATATTTGTTTAATTGTCTGAAAATAATAGCAGATCGGAGGATAACTTGCGCGTTTTAATCGCACAACTCAAACTATTATTTAATCTTAACTAAGAGTTTACTCCATCAGAGCTTGCTATTTTTAACTTTTAAACTACAACAAAAATAGGACACGACTTGTAAAAGTTACGTGTAGATATTTCATATTTTTCAGTGATAATTTATTGTGGTAACGGTAAACTGATTCATTACGTAACGTAATTTGGCGAAAGTCCGCTTCCTTTTTCTTCCCAAACAGCCTGCCTATATTATAATTTATATTTTAATATAATATTATCTTTCATTTAGATTTGTTAAACTTATATTAACTCATAATATTTGCTTGGCCCGAGACAAAGACATATTTCTTTCGAGAAGATATTACTTAATGAACGCTATATATTTGACTATGAAAAACAAAACCAAAATTTGAAATAGTCTGTGAACATCAATAGAATAAATAAAAACTAAACATAAGTTTTCACAAGCGTTCCGTAAACAAGGTGATTTATATCAGCAGTTTCTCAAAATATTAATATTAAAATTAGTTTTCATTTAAGCGGGGTTAGCTTGACGCGGACGTTGGGTTTCAGACGCTGAAAAATGGCTTTCCCGCCAAGATATTTTCCAATTTACATTGAGAAGGAGTGACGTGAGAACGAAATGGACGAACTTGGAAGACAAAGCAACGTTAATACAATACTTGCGTGTACTTTACTGTATATATTTAACTAGCTGAGCCAGCGACTTCGTCCGCGAAAATCGTTATTTTGGGCAACCAAATACGTTTTTGCAAACTCCTTCATCTTTATAAACTTAAGCTGTTAGTCACGACGTCGGTCGCGTTTCTTCCCGGCATTCTTGCAAGTTAATCCTAAAAGATGGATATATAGCGATGCGGACTTTTTTTAAGAGGAATCATTCTGTCATACATATGTTTTGGATACCTTGAACCGTTTTTGCATTGTACGCCTTCAATATCGTAATGTATCTCATTACGTACTTGTGCGATAATGTAATGTAAAAGGCACGTATTTTTTATAAGGTTTTAAGATAGGTACTCCGTCTATAATGAACGATACTTTTAAAAATCTAAGCAAAGGTTTTATGTCAAAAAAGTGGTCAATATTTTATCAATAAATTTTCACTTTGGGAAATAAAATATAACAAAAAAACATTTAATCCTTTAATTTAATTAATTTTGCCAATAAATTACAACCATTTAACTGTAACAATAACACAAAAATATTAATTTACTTTATTAGTAATGCTGGCTGTTTTTGTACCTTTGCCTAAAAAAATTTGAAAATGTCGTCATTTCCTCGTAAATATGTTGTAAAACGTCGTATGACATACGTGCGCTTTGAAAATTACAGCCTCTGCTTTCTTATAGCCCTCGCCGATGAATCGGGCTAGTAATATCGCCTCGGCTGTAATTTTCAACTTACCGCACTTATATCATAATGTACTATTACCAAGGAGGATTGCTAAAGACGGCGTAATATATGGACGGTACCAAAAAAAAACAAACAAATTCAAAATATTTGCAATATTTAATTCAGATACATAATACCTTTTCTAACATAATGTAACAAAATTGTTCTACTATATATCTATTCAGTACTAAATAACAAAAAGAAATACCCCTTATTAAAAATATATACTAAATCCCCCTAAAGAACACTCGTCGGAAGTAAAAGTCATTAATTACCAAAAAACTAATAAAAACTAACCTTTTGCAATTGAATTATGGCAAATTTCGTAAGGTCTGTTAATAAACAATTGTGAATTAATCATAAATGACATTGGACGAAATTTTTAAGTAAACAGTCAATAATTAAAACCAGGTAAGAATAATTATTCTATAAGATATAAAACTATTTACAGCTATGTATAAAAATATTTAAAATCAGCGCCATCTATGGCACAAATTTTGATTGAAGACAATAATTACGTACGAAGTTGTACGGAGATGGTTAGACCTGATTATCTAGTACTACTTACAGTATAACACCAAGTCTCTCTGTATTCATTGTAGGAAATACTATATTTAAGGATTTTATTTTCACAGAATTGTTTTTGAAACTTCTTAGTTAATAACACATTAATATAAGTATTATTAATTGAAAACGTAATTTCAGTAATATGGGCGGGACTTGAACCCACGAATAACTTGCCTATACTTAAAAAAATTATACATATTCAATAATAATATAGTATTGGCAGTTAAAAAACAAATACCTACACCTATAAACAAATAGTTAAGTATTAAATTCGTGTCTAAATGCTTAAATAATAAACAATGTACATTTTATAATCCATAGCATGATAAAACATTAAACAATCCGTATTTTAATATTTGACTAAACATAAAATTATATTTATGCTTGACTTTTAGTAGAAACCGACACCTTTTTTCTTGGAAATGACATTAGTTGGTAAGCAGTTGTCACTAATATAGAATTACGATGTCAACTCTTTTAGAATCTTTAGTTGAACAATCAGTAAAGTTTTATATCTGCAAATTTATTTAAGTAGGATTAATATAACCCTTACTAGTTGTATTCTGGATCCTGTCAAGTAAGTAAGGAACACTTTTCCATAATCACAACTTATCTGCTTACCTTTCTCTTTGCTTAACAAAATCTAGTTGTATTCGAGATCATTACCCTCGACTGGTGGCCGCGGGTTATTGACAACCGCCTCCGGGTTAACCGAGTGCACCGGCGGCGGGTTCATAATCCGTCTGCTGACATCCGGGAAACGCAGTACATAATCCTGGTCTAGCCTGTCCATCCGGCGCTCTGACCATGGTATGGCCCGGAACTCCGAGTTCGACGTCGATGGTACGGAGTTCAGCCGAGGTATACGCTGCGCGAGATTTCGGATTCTTGAACTCTCCGGATTCCGGGAGAACAGGTGCTGATACCTGGATATTTCGCAGGGGAGTAATGGACGGGCGTCCCTCCCTATTCGCTGTATGGAGATCTGTTTGGTTGACGGGCTGTCCGTGGTCGGATGGACGAGAATACTGTTCTGCTGCACGCGGGTGGGGGAGGGAAAGTTGAGTGCGAGAAAATCCGGAAGCGGAACGCAATACACGCCTAACTCGTCCTGGAGGGCAATAATTATTTCTATACTATCTCTCTATACTTTGATTACAGTTAAGTCATGATTACACTAAGTATAAATTAATAATGCATACACATATAAGAAAAAACTGGTATCTTTTTTTTAATGCCTTATAGGGCGAAACATTATAAGGATTAAAAATTATTGACTTTTTGGTATAATACATATCTTAATATGGTACTAAAATAATAAAATACACTAACGTTAGAGTTAGGCGTTCGCTCCGTTTCAGAGAAAAGCGGTTTTCTCTCCAGCTCATTAGATTTCTCCACTGGTTTTTTCTCTTCTACATCCAAAGGAACGTCGGGCACTACTTGCAATTCTTCGGGAACACTTGGCACCACAACATAACTTGCTATTATACTAGACAGTTGGTCTAACACCTGGAATTATTAAAACAATATCATCTGATCAAACCCAATTTAATTTTTATTATGATTTAAGCATAGGATTTAATTAAACCCTTTTTTATTTAAATTGAGAATTTATTTGATTAATTACAGTGGGATTTTTTAAAAACGCAATGCAAACAACTTTATACCTGGTCAGCTACTAGTCTATGTTTAGGATCCTTTACTAACAGCCTCTGAATAAGGAATACTGTGTTATCAGACACGTGGACTGGGTTGCCATCCCTGAAATTAATAATAATGAATCATTAAAGAAACTGTTAAATTATTTTAAATTTAAATATCAAATTGACATTAATGTCATAAAAAATGTAAGTTGGATCATTGTTTTGTGAGATACAAATTGCTACATAGCCAAACAAACTTACGGTGGTATATTATAATTAGCAGCCTGTATTCTACTGAAGAGTTGAGCAAGACTTGTGTCACAGAAGGGAAATTGTCCATATAACATTGTATACAGGACAACACCCAATGCCCACATATCAGACGGTTTGCCCAAGTAGGGCTTGCACATTAAAACATCTGGTGATATGTAAGCTGGAGATCCTGAAATTAGTTTCACTTTATTTTAAATTGTTTCTTTAAAAAAGAATCTTAGTTTAAGAAAACTTATGGTGATACATAATGTTCAAATGTAATGAATATTATATTCAATTACCATTCTTAGTAACTATTTATTACTACCATACTTTATCAAAATATTTGCTTTATTATATTATAATGTTTAAAACAGCAAGAATTAATACTGCTAAAATAAAAACATATATGTTATTTTACCTCTCTGATCTTTCAATAAGTCTCTATCACTGCCGAGGTGGGTTCCTAAACAAAAATTTGTCAAAACAACTCGTCCTGTCCTTTGGTTTAATACTATGTTACCTAACTTTAGATCCCTGTGTACTATATTTCTCTGAAAAATAATACGACATTAAGGTTTAGGTCATTTTGGTCTGTTTGTTAATATATATATTGCATTAAAATGTCTCTGTTGTAAATTACAACAGTTTATTAATAAAAATTAAAAAAATTATACAGACCTTATGTAAATTAGCAACTACTCTCACAATATCGTAAAATATCAAAATGGCCTCTTTTTCAGGTACTTTCTTCACTTTAGTTACATATTGTTGTAGATTAATTAACTCGCTGCCTTTTTCACTAAATTGGTGTGCACTAACACAATCTAACACTAAGAATAGTCTTTGTCGTACTCTGCCTGTGTAAATAAATCCTGGACCATTAGGGTTTGGTGCTTCTTCTAATGCATTGTCCTGTAATTTAGTTTTTTGGTACTGTGGTAATGTATATTTGTAAATACTTATAATGTATGTACATAAAAGTTTTAATGACATGGGGTAAATCTAGTCACATAACATATAAACTTTCATCACCATTGGAATCATATTTTAAACAATACTAATCAATATTTTAAGGTATAGAAAAGTACTCAATAAGTATGACTACCCCAGTAATATATCACAATTTGTTTATCCTTATTTAAACCAAATACATACATATATGTTAAATTTACTTCGAGCGTAAGAACAAATTAAATTACTTAATATGGCTTAGTAATGAATATGTACTATACCAAAAAAATATCTTTCAAAGTACAAGGAATCATACCTTAAAGAGGCCATGATGGTGCACAACCCCATCCTGATCTTCTAACAAGGATAACAATGAATATTCTGTGTGTAAAAGCATTTTTCCCTGCCTATCGTCTTGCGTTTCAACCTGCCCTTCTGGTTTTAACGTCAGTATTTTAACTTGATAGAAATCATCTGTTTTCTCCTTACGAGCCAAACATTGCACTATACTCTTAACAGGACTGGGACCTAATTTGGGACCCAGTAAATAAGGTCCAGCTTTTCGAACAACTTTCTCAGAGACGGGGGTACCTGGCGCAGGTACATCGTTCTTATTATACAATACTTTTGGTTTCTTACAATGAACTGACAGCTTCTTTGAATTTTTTAACACAGAACTAGACGTAGAGTTAGCGTACGCTGACAATCGTGGAACCTTTGCATGAGGTTGAAGTAACAAAGGTCGCGATCTCTTTCCGTGGTTTATAGAACTTTCAGGTTTATCTTGATCCATCTTGCGACAGACGTCCACTAATTTGCACTAGATAAAATTGAGCATGAGATTGAGTTTTCTTAATTAAGTGTAGTTTATTAATTAATTATTGCCTATATGAATTGTGTAAACTATTACACACTTTTATTTCTTGTAAAACCCACTTTTTATTTACTTTAGGGCTTCCGACATAGGTCCAATTGACAACAGATTATCACAGATGAAAACAATTATTATTTAAGAATATACTTGTACTTCAGGATTTTTTGCTTGCACAAATATAGGATATAACTATACCACAGATATATGGTTATCTACTGAAATTAATTTTTGAATTTTCCTCGAATTTATAATATTTAATATTAATTTTTGCTAGAAACTTTACATATAAAATATATGATAGCTTCATGTAATATATTACCGATTAAGAATTGTATATTAATTACAAAATATCTTTCACAATATTTCGCGATTTGTTTTGACATTATACAAGGAAAGAGGAGTTAAATTTTGACAGTATTTTAACCATGTTTTTAATTAGAATTGTGTAGGGGACTAGGCTTGTTGAATAAATGTGACATAATTGGGGAATATTACGAAATATATACTTTTTACAATACCTGTACATAACGATCTAAAGAAACAAGTATGTGGAAAAGTCTTAGGTTAACGCAATCGCAACTAGCAAAGCTTCAATTCACTGGAAACAAATTGCAGTCTCGCTTAGGTGTTCCGGCTTTAGATACAGTCTTAAACCAATGGTACGAATTTTGCAAAAAGCCTCCAAAGGGTTTTGAAAAGTACTTTCAGCCAGGAACCAGTCAAAAGCAGCAAAAAAAGCCAGAAAAAGATGATTCTCCAGCGCCCTCGAAATCTTCACCGCCACCACCTAAGTCGAGTTCCTCCCAAGATAAATGGAATATTAACATGTTTAACACCCCAGGTGGAAGGGGAGCCGGTCGTGGTGGCTACGAAGGACAAGATCGTGAAAAATGGATGATGTTCGGCGCACTTGGTGTAGTAACTCTCATTGCATCTATTGCATATTTTGAACTTAAATACCGGGAGATAAGTTGGCGTGATTTTGTTAATTCATACTTAAAGAAAGGTATAGTTGAAAAACTCGAAGTTATAAATAAAAAATGGGTAAGAGTTAAGTTACAGCCAGGCACGTTTGAAGGAAAAGTAATATGGTTTGCTATTGGTAGTGTTGATTCTTTTGAGAGAAATTTGGAAAATGCACAAATTGAAATGAATGTTGAACCACAGAATTTTTTACCTGTTATTTATAGAACTGAAGTCGAAGCATCAAGTTTAACAGGAATGTTGCCAACCTTATTAATTATTGGTTTCCTTATCTATATGATGAGAAGATCTGCAGATATGATGGGTAGAGGTGGGCGAAAGGGTGGTGGATTGTTTGGTGGTGTAATGGAGTCCACTGCAAAATTAATAAACCCAACAGACATTGGTGTTAAGTTTCAAGATGTTGCTGGTTGTGAGGAAGCTAAGATTGAGATTATGGAATTTGTAAACTTTTTAAAGAACCCCCAACAATACATAGATTTAGGAGCCAAGATCCCTAAAGGAGCACTATTGACAGGACCACCAGGTACAGGAAAGACATTATTGGCCAAGGCCACAGCTGGAGAAGCAAATGTCCCCTTTATTACTGTATCTGGTTCTGAATTCTTAGAAATGTTTGTAGGGGTGGGGCCATCCAGAGTGAGGGATATGTTTTCGATGGCTCGAAAGCATGCCCCATGCATACTATTCATTGATGAAATTGATGCTGTAGGTCGAAAGAGGGGTGGAAGAAGTTTTGGAGGCCATTCTGAACAAGAAAACACTCTCAACCAACTTCTAGTAGAAATGGATGGATTCAATACTACAACCAATGTTGTTGTTCTAGCTGCCACTAACAGAGTTGATATACTTGATAAGGCACTTTTAAGACCTGGCCGTTTTGATAGACAAATTTTTGTTCCTGCACCGGATATTAAAGGCAGAGCTTCTATTTTTAAAGTGCATTTAGCTCCACTTAAAACTACCCTCAATAAAGAGAATTTAGCTAGAAAGATGGCTGCTTTAACTCCAGGTATTTTAATAATTTTACAAAAAAAAAAACCTATTCTTCAGTATAATGCATTATATTCCTTACTTAGTAAGTACTTGCTAATCAAAAGTCTTGTTCTTTTCTCATCCTTTAATATATTTTTAATAATTTTTAAATATTTAAAAAAATATATTATTTAAATTTTTGAAACACACATGAGGTTTTATCTTATTTTTATGTTTACTTTACAGGTTTCACTGGTGCAGACATTGCGAATGTGTGTAATGAGGCTGCACTTATTGCAGCAAGAGAGCTATCTACTGATATCAGCATGAAGAATTTTGAGCAAGCAATTGAAAGAGTAGTTGCAGGTATGGAAAAGAAATCCAATGTTCTTCAACCTGAAGAAAGAAAGATTGTAGCATATCATGAAGCTGGTCATGCAGTTGCGGGCTGGTTCTTGGAACATGCAGATCCTTTGCTCAAAGTGTCTATCATACCTAGAGGAAAAGGTCTCGGATATGCCCAATATTTACCCAAAGAACAGTACTTATACAGTAAAGAACAATTATTTGACAGAATGTGCATGACTCTTGGAGGCCGTGTCAGTGAGGAAATATTCTTTGGAAGGATAACAACAGGCGCTCAAGATGATTTAAAGAAAATCACACAAAGCGCATATGCTCAAATAGTACATTATGGTATGAATACTAAAGTTGGAAATGTATCGTTTGAAATGCCACAGCCGGGTGAAATGGTTATTGATAAGCCATATTCTGAAAAAACTGCAGAATTAATTGACTCGGAAGTGAGAGATTTAATTAATTCTGCCCACAAACGCACAACTGATCTTTTGGTTCATCATAAACCAAATATTGAAAAAGTAGCAGAACGCTTATTGAAACAGGAGATATTGAGCAGAGATGACATGATTGAATTGTTGGGTCCGAGACCTTTCCCTGAAAAGAGTACTTATGAGGAATTTGTAGCTGGAACTGGTTCACTAGATGAAGACACCACTTTACCTGAAGGACTCAAAGAATGGAATAAAGAGAAGCAGCCGACTGTTCCACCACCAGAAAGTATACCACCAGGTCCTCCTACTACGAGTAAAAACTAACATTATTTATGTAGTTGATTGTTGAATTTTTAGTCAGTTTATGTGTAATAAATAATTACCTATAAGACTTAAGGCTTTTTGTTTGTTTTTAAAACTAGAATTTGCTTATAATTTATTCAATTAGCATTGCTGGGAAAAACAGCCTTTCTAATCTTACATTGATCCACATTTTAACGTTTTATTATAATAGTATGCAGTTCTATGTAACAACTTTGGCTTTATAAATAAATTATAGTAGATGATAACGGTAGTTTTCTTGAAAAATATAATAAATAGGACAAAATAATTTACTACAATTTAGAGTACCAATATATTTAATTGGCCACTGGCTGAAATTAAATTTTTTACATGTAACCTCTCCTCCACATATAATCAATTTAGGACAAGCACCGTCACGCCATCTTTAGTGAATCTCACCGAAATGTTGCGTTGACTGTAGAGCGAGAGGGTTGCGAGATTGTGCTAGCCCTGTACATAGATCCGAAGGAACAACATTAACAAAAAAACAGGGTTATATTAAAATTATAATATGAAAATATTCAAATATAGGCTGAACATTTATTCAGCCTTCTTTCTGTTTATTTAAATATTCACTACATTACTTTATACATCACCAATTTCTTAAGTAAATTCAGCTTTTGTACAATATAAAAAGAATCTTATATTAAAATCTATGTTTATATGCGTAATGTGTACAACACGTCCGCACTCTCATTAAACTTGATCTAACCGAGCGAACGAGAAATTAAAGAAATTTAACAAAAATAATTAAAGTTATGGTAATTATTACAAGTAGATACCTACACTATTTTCAATTATTCATTCAACATTTTATGTCAATATTAAATTAGTATCTATACTTAAAACCTAGCCTATGATATTATTAACATTATAAATGATGAAACCTTTATCTGCGTGATATCATTCAACAATAATCCATTAACAACCTCAATCCATTCTCGCGTCTATAAAACGGAAAAATTAAGTCTAATCTCAGTAACAACTCTATCAATGACAGTCTCTCACTTTTTCCCCTTTCGGCTTCCTCCCCCGTTTTTTCCCTGACGTGACGCCCGCCAGCATCATGGCCGTTCGTTTCGCTAGACATGACTTGCAGAACCAGTCCTCCGTCGCGCCGGGCTCCTCCGTGATGCCTACGCAAATCCAGTGGTACCAGCCATCGCAACCATCACAACCGATCATAGGTGACCCATTATCGGGTCTGCCGCACGCTGGACATACCCAAATCTTATTTCCGTGTTCGTCGACATAATATGGTGTAGGTAACGGTCCGCTGGGCTTATCTGCCGTGGGGTGTGGCGCAGCATCTTCCGCTACTGAGCCGGCTTCCTCGTCGAAGTCGTCAACGTGCCCCTTCTTTGAGAGAGGCTTGAACAATATTCTCTTGTACTTAGAATGACTCGATGGAGGCCTATTCTTTCGTTGTGGAGAAGGCGGAGGAGACGATGAAGGCTGTGCTTCAGATTCTGGGACGTGATTATGCTTTGAACTTTTCTGTTTTGGAGGTCTCGTGACCAAGGCTGATATTTGAGCCAGCTCCGGAGATCTACTATGCTCTCGAGATATCGACTCATCTTTACTCGGTGAGTCGTCCTCTCGCTTAATAGGCTTTATATTCAATTTAAAGGTCTCTGGTGAGCTTGGAGGCATAGGAGAGTTGGAATTTGAGGATCCCAACTTAAGAGTTAATTTTGGTACTAAACCATCAGTGACAGACTTTTCTTTCTTTTTCTCTTTCTTTTCCTTCTTAATTCTATCTTTGATCTCTTGCCTCTCTTCCTTATCTTTTTTCTTTTCAGACTTATCCTTATTTTTATCTTTTTTATCTTTTTTCTTTTTAATCTTAATTCCGTCCTTATCCCTTTTCTCTTTTTTATGAGATTTGTCTTTCTTCTTCTCTGAACATTCGGCTTCCTCTTTTACTTCGACGGGTTCAGGTGTAATAGTAACTGGCTGCGTATCATGTTGGGGGTCGTGATTTCTGGCTGACATTGGTGGTTCAGGTGTAGGTGGGCACGGCCTGACAGATGTTGGCACCGATGGTTCTCTTAGTGCTTCTTGTCTAACTGGTTCTGACTTTGGTGGATTTAATTCTATTGTTATGTCAGGCTGCACTGGCGGCATTTTGTATAGGTTCGCCTTTTGTTCTTTACTCGTTTTTGTTTTTGGTTTTTGTAAAATATTTGGAATGGTTGGCGATTTGTGCTTGTCATGTCTATCTTTTTCGCGGCTCACATTCGGGGATTTATGCATCATTCTGTCCTCATCATTGTCAACTGGTATTACTTCTAAGCTAGGGCGTCTAAGCATTGGAGGAATCTTTACTGAAGACGATCTTGATGTATGTGGATAATTACTCATGTTTGGCATTAAATGATTAGGTAAGCCTGGTAAAAAACTTGGCCCTGGTATTAATCCTGGTCCACCACCTAAAGCAAAAGGATTGCACATCATATTCTGCGAATGTAAACCACGTAATGCTGGATTATTAGCTAACCCAGCTAGGAAGTCACTTCCAGGTAAGAGGCCTGTGTTAGGTATCAGTCCAGGACCTGGCATCAATCCTTGGCCAGGAGGAAAGAATGGAAATCCTGGTGGCATTTGTTGCATTTTCGGTTCTTTCTTTGGCCTTCCTAGTTTAGGAGACTTTTCATTTGGCAGTTTCAAGTTCTTTTTCTCTGCCATCTGCACCATTTCAAAAGCTAACTGCTGTTGTTGTTTTTTCAGTTTGGCCTCCAATTTTGCTGCTTTGTCTTTCTTGTCCTTGTGCTTCTTTTCTTTCTTTATTTTAGGCATATTTACTATGTCTTTGGGAAGTGGTGCTTGTAATGATTTATTTATTGAAAGGCCAGGTGGTCTCGAATCTAAGAGAACCATCTTTGTCTGTGGCATAGGCATGTTATTGTCCAAGGAGTCATCATCAATGCTTATAACTTCATGAGCTCTTATGTCGAATTCTTTTGACAAATCTACTGGACTACTATTATTATTGTTCACAATATTGTCATCAGACTTTGACTTTGAATTTGTGTGGCCGGAATTTTGCAACCTTGAGATCATAGGATCAGGATGTAATCTATCAGCTACAACCTCTGAATTATTTCTGTCTTCTTTAGATTTGTTCGATATTCTTTTAAATATATTTATTTTTGATCTATCCGGCTGAGACGCCAGCTTTTCTTCTTCGTCAACTACTTCCTTCTTAATTTCTCTGTCTAATGCTTGTGGATTTCCAATATGTTTATTTAAATGTAGTGGATTGGCCACAAGAGGAGATTTAGATATGGGTATCCTTCTGGGTACAGGTATAGCATCTTCTGCTGGTGTAATAGTCCTTGAAATAGATGGAGATGGTGGGAAGTCCATGGGTTCCTGCTTGATAACAGGTCTAATTGGTTCAATTATTGCTGGAACAGATGTTACTGATGGGGGTGGCATTGGTGCTGGTTTTGGAGGTGGCACTGGCTTAGGTGGTGTTAAAACCTTTGGCGCTGGCATGGTCACATGATTATGGTGTGCTGGATGCACATCTTTTTTATGAATTGGATATCCAGGTGGGTACCTGTCCATTTTACTACTATCTTTAGACTTACTACTTTCTCCTTTATGACTTTTGTCTTTTCTTTTACTTTTCATTATTTTTCCATTTAATAATTTATTTTTCTTAGATTTTTTATCAGCTTTATCTACCAATGGTACTTTTGGAACATTCATATGATGTGAATTAACTTTATGTCGATCATGGTGTTTCTCTGAAATAATAGTTGGTGGACGTGCTTCAGGTAGTTTACCTTCACGGGCAGGTGATAAAAAGCCTGACATTGTCATCATAACACTACTTATCTCACGGGTTCTTTCCTCTTCATCCAGCCGTAATCTCGGTCTTTTACTGTTAGGTGCTGATACTGGGTCTGTTGGTCTCTTGAAAATATCCTTTGATTTCTCTGGACTATCCGTAACAGATATCTCAGGACTAACACAAGAAAGATTCTCAGTACCATCAATGCCGTTCTGGCATATCTCAACAGTACCTGCAACAACTGGTGTGTCCCGTTCCTTTTCGGGATACATTGGTGGTAAATGTTCATGAACATGCATTGGTCTAGTAACAACTTCATGGCTGCCGGGTTTAAGAAAGTTTAAGTTGGATTCTTTAGGTTTTGGAAACCTTTCAGTTTTGACTGGAGGTGGTACAGGTGGTACACAGCGTGTGTACTCTGCTAGCTCTGGCAACTGTACATGCAAGTCTCGAAAAACTAATCCTAAATCATGTAAATTTGGTTCAGTCCTGTTGAATTGTTCAGCATATCTGTTAGCTTGTGATCCCAATGCACACACATATTTTTCTAGTACATGAACTAAAATATCTAGAGGTGTCGAGTTTATTCCATTCCATCCAATTGTTTGACATATTTGCGCAACATTCCTTCGTAGTATCTCACGAGCGTATGCCTCTGACATTATGACACCAACAAACTTATCTGGAACAAATGAAAATGTGAGCAATAACATGGAACATTACCTCTAATTAGAAATGCCGAGAATAATAAGTGTAGAAGTATTATATTTGCAGTGCAAGATGATAGCCTTGTATATGTTATTATGGTTAAAACAGCAAATATCATGATACTCATACCTGCAAGTGTCTAGTAGTACAGAGACGATATTGCGGACAGGTGAAATTTTTAAACTTAGAACACATATGTATGATTCTTCAGATTCCTTGATAAATAAGGGCAATTTTGTGTAAAACATTTAGCAATAAAAACACAAAATAACGAAGTGTTTACGTAAAAACTTCTCAGCATTCTACAAACACAGTACCCCGTGCGCCATGATTGCATTTTGGGTTGTCAATGTTCGGTGTTGCAAGTTGACAATTGTGAAAATGGCGGTCTATTAAAGACGCGATCATAAAAATTCATAATATGAACTATGAGACATATGAATAAAATATTATATTAAAATTTTGTAAATATTTTAACTGTAAGGATAAACTGTTTTATTACAAAAACAAATGAAATTGTAATTGGAAGTTGTTTTTTATACTGTCTATAGTTTACGCGAGTAGTACACATTTAAATAAAACACTTTAACGGTTTAAAACGCGATATATTAGTTAAACTTATTTGAAAATTATTTTTAACTTCGGCCCGACGTTTCGGATGCTTTGCAGCAGCCGTGGTCCGAAACGTCGGGCCGAAGTTAAAAATAATTTTCAAATAAGTTTAACTAATATATCGCGTTTTAAACCGTTAAAGTGTTTTATTTAAAAGTTGTTTTTTATGTTATAATTATTTTTGTAGGTGGTATTTACTAAATACAGATTACATCTAAAACAGATAAACAGTAATCGATCTCGTCTTAAATGTCAATTAAAATATACAATGTCAATTGCCTCAAGAAATTGGCACAATGTTAATTGTTAACTGTTAGGTTCAAGTTAGGCTGGAAAGGAGCTTTCGAGTTTCGACTCTCATCCCGTTTTAAAGGATACCGATGAGTCTGTACAAAAAGTTATTGTAATAACTCTATTTATATTTACATTTCGGCAAACAACAATTTACTTCTTAAAAGGTGCTGAGTTAACATGTATTGAATAATAAGGACATAAAGTTTTTGTTCAGTAAGTTACACTCACTTTGGGGGCAGTAAATTCAGTGTCTGTGCCAAGGACACAAAAATATAGATTTTATTTCTAAGTTAAATCTTGGCTTAACTATTTGATGAGGTGAAGATGACTACATCGTCCGAGGATGTTTTACTTAGTGTTAACCATGTGCGATATAAAAAAGGTGATGGAACCCTCTATGTGATGAATCAAAGACTGGCTTGGATGTTAGAGAATCGTGATACAGTGGCTGTTTCCCACAAATATGCTGATATTAAGAGTAAGCTCTCGGATTAACCTACATTTTGTAAATATATAATATCCATTACTAGACAATAGCAAATGTTGTTTGTTTTGTATATTACTAAAACCTGCTGATCCTGAGATATGTTATGCATCTAGTTTTGTACATTTATTTGGTGGTAAATACATACTCTTTTCCATATTATAAAATAGAAGAAATTTGGATGCATAAAAGGAAACCGGTATTGTTTTCATACTAATACTTAAATTTTATCTATTAGGGAGATTGACAAGAACACCCCTTTAACTTTATTTTATGTAACTTTGGTTAAAATACATCATATAACAATTGGTATAGTTCATTGGTTTTCATGTTCTTATTTAATAATAGATTTCAACATCATGTTAAAAGCTACACATATGTGTTTGATTATAAACTGTTTCAGCTCAAAAAATATCTCCTGCTGGAAAACCAAAGGTGCAATTACAAGTTGTACTGCATGATGGTACATGCTCCACTTTCCATTTTGTCCATCCAGCTGGGGCAGAGGCTCAAGCCAAAGACAGGGATCAAGTTAAAATGCTTCTGCAAAATCTCCTTCCTAAGTTTAAGAGACAAATTGATGGAGAGTTAGAAATGAAATCTAGGTAATAAGTTTATTTTAAATTGGTTTTTAATCAATATACATATATACACAATGATTTCTGTATATATCACTGTATTTTACAAGAGTGGTACAATGTTAGAACAATAAAAGTGTTTTGTTTAATTATTAGGTATAATAATTTTCTTACATGCAAAATAAATATTTGCTGAGGATAAATAATAAATTGTAATTTAATTATTTGTTTCCATTTATATCATAGTAATAATTAAAATAATAAAAGTAAGCTTGTATACTGTCTTAAAAAGCGAATAAAAATCTTTTTATTTTTCGTTTTAGGTTATTATCACTACATCCTATTTTAAAGCATTTATATGAAGATTTAGTTATATCAAAAGTTATTAATAGTGAAGAGTACTGGAATACACCAACGCTGAAACATTACACAGACTCAACTAATACTAAACAGGAAGCTGGTTAGACTTTTTTTATAACAATGTATTTTCAAAAGAAAAGCTAAATCAAGAGATTGATCCTTAGAACCAAATGCATTAATATTATTACGTAATTGTGTTAACATCCCCCTTTCTTAATAGAGAAAACTATTAATTTAGTTTCTATATCTTACCTAAGACAACCCATTTTAAAACCTTTGACATGGGGGCAGATAAAATAGATGTAGAATATAATTTACTTCATCTTATTATTACTTATTTATTTTTATGGAATATTTAGGTGTATCTGGAGCATTCCTAGCGGATATTCAACCACAAACAGATGGCTGCAATGGGCTGAAGTATAATCTCACACAAGATATTATAGATGCAATATTCAAAACGTATCCCGCCGTAAGAAAGAAACATGTAGACTATGTACCAAATAAAATGACAGAAGCTGAGTTTTGGACCAAGTTTTTTCAGTCACATTATTTTCATAGGTAAATTTCACCCGTTTTTATTGTCCTTTTAAATCTTTGACCCCTTTTGAACCTCCCAAAGAATTGATTTTCGGAAAATCTTTTGCTACTGTACTGATAAAATATCAATAAATGTCATTTTACAGGGATCGCATAGCTTCCTCCTCGAGTAAAGACTTATTTGGTGAATGTGCTAAAATGGATGACCAAGCAATTGCATCAGCTATGAAACACACTACTTTGGACCTCACAGTGAGTAAACCGATACGCCGCTAACTCAGTCGGCGGCTAACAGTTTGCCTACTGGGGACGCAGCCTTAATGTGTCATCAAGAAATAAGTTTAAATTTAATTTAGTATTATTACCAATTCAATATGTTTCCTCCGCGGTGAAAGATGATAATTTTTAATCCTTACTAAGATTATAAATATACGAAAGTAACTCTGTCTGTCTGTTACTCTGTCATGCCAAAAGTATTAAAGGGATTTAAATGAAATTTGGTACACAGATGGTCTAGAAAGGACATTCGTAAGGGGTTAAAAGTTTGTATGGAAATTTGTGGTTTTTGAAATTAGAACAATGAAATGAAATCTTCTTTGGCTTTTTGGGAGAAGTGGAAGTTAGGAGTAGGAGTGACGTGAGGTGAGAGTGTTGCGGCAAAGTAGCACTAGATTGGCTGCGATAAATGCGCAATTACATAAATTAATAAACAGGCTAAATAGGCGGGCACAGCTAGGAATTTATATAATACTTATGTCAGCTTAAGTAGCTGCTATGTAAGTAATTTTATATTATGACTTAACTCCTAGAAGCGCGCTTTTTAGTAATGGAGCGTGCGGTGTAGGTATCTACCAAGTACCAACTTGTAAGTAAAATATATTGTAACATTGAACTTAATTATTTTAGAGCCAAGTTAAAAACGTCCATTATCTTTCGCAGGTGGACTTACCTCATTTCACAGAACCAGTTCCACTATTACCTGATGATGAGACAACAGAGAAGGAAAAGGACAGTAATTCAATACATCGCAGTATGATAAAAAGATTCAACCAACACTCAATAATGGTAAATTCACACAACTGTGTTTCATATTTGGATCTTATTCTGTGTTTAAAGAATAATTTATTTAGTGTGAGATTTATGTTGGTCCAATCAAATCCTTGGTAATGCTCTTACCTATATTCATTTTGAACTAATTGTATAAAAATTTTAGGTGCTAAAAGCTAGTCACAAAAACTCAAACAGTAGCAATAACACAAGTAAATTGACAAACAATAACAAAGTAGTTGAGAATGGTGTGAAAGATACAAATGGAGTGGAAAAGAGGCACGCAGATGAGAGTGAACCAGTTGATAAGAAGAGGCGGATATTGGAAAAAATACACTATGAAGATCTCGATGACACAGCTGATAGCAGTAGTGCACAGGAGTTGAAGTTATCAAAGGTATTATTTATGGTTAAATCATTTTTACCGAATGTATAAACCGGGCAAGTGTGATCCATCATTTGAAAATTATTCACTCATGTGAAATGTAAAGCCATTAATTACTTACTTTTTATTAAACAATTTATACATACATAAGGCATTAATTACGATATTAATTTAACAATGTTTGCAGGTAGAACGATATTTATTAGGCCCGTCATCACAAATGAGTTACTCGACATCTAGTAGCAGTCATCCACCACCGCTCTCCGCACTTTCGTCAATATGCCAGGTAAATTATGGTAAATGTTTTCTTTTACGATGGAGGAGGATAGACAGGCTTGTAGTTCACTTGATGGTAGGTAAAATACCCCAGCCATATAACATCTAAACAAGATGAGCTGTCGACCTTTTATGGCCTTGAATATTAGGAAATAAAAGACTCAAACCGGTGGTGGACCGTGACCCGGACGGAATTTCAATATTACTAAAACCCCCTAAATAAATACTAGTAGTAGTGTGTCGATGTTGAAACATCACGCTTAAATGATACAGACAAGCATGATGTTATATGTAAAAGAAACCTTGGATGAACAGGCTTGGTCCAACGGTCAGCAATGTCATCGTCCATTTCGTATGAGCGCGGCAGCGGCTGTAGGCGCCCTTGGAGAGTTGAGTCCTGGTGGAGCGCTCATGAGGCAGCATCACGCTGCTTGTATGGCACGTTAGTATTGAAAAAAATATCCATGATTTCTTACGTAAATTACAGTGTAACCTGGTTAATTGGGATCTCATGGGATCAAGACATATGTACCTATTATTGAGGGTTTCCAATAATCCAATTGTCCAATTAAGCAGGTCTAAAGTAATAGTTATTTACAGAGACTGCCGCGTTTGTTTTTAAACATAAATGTCCAAACGCGTTAGAACCTGATTTTTTTTTTAATTTCTCTCATACATACAGGTAATTGAGCTACAGAGTCTCAATTAAAGAGGTGAACTTTGAAAAGGTTTTAGAATTCAAATGTTACTTAACCAGATTCAAAAAGATTTCACTATAGTACCTTTAAAAGATCGGTTTAGGTTTACTGTCCACTGTCGTCGCTCGATTGTCCCTGCTTACCTATATCACGTTTAGTTCCACACATTTCTTTTTATGATAATTGATTTTATTACACCTTTCTTCTTTAGTCATAATTTAATTTAAATTGAACTACACAGAATTAATACCACCGGACGTGAAGTCAGAACTCCACCGCATCTACTACTCCGGTGGCGAATTGCTTCGTGAGTTGTGGCGATGTTTCCCGCAGCCCGGCGCAGGCGCAGAGGCAGAAGATAACGCAGCTAAGGCCGAGAAGTTCTATGAGGCACTTCTCAGGTTTAGAAACGTCAAATTAAGACCTTTCGAGGTGAGTCCTAGAGGTGTTCCTAACTTTGTTAAATAAACTTTTTCGATGCTTTTAAATCGTTAATACCTAAATATATTGTTTGATAACTGCTTTGATTTTCATTAAAAGAAGTAGGAGTAACTGGGTCTTAAATTATGAACATTTTATTAGTCCGGCTGACAACGAAGGTACGTTATGACTAGTACCTTTGGATACTAGACAATTATTACATAAACATATATGTAAATAAAACATTACCAATTTCAGGAGAAGATGCTCCGCGACCTAACACCATTAGCGACATCCCTAACTCGACATATGAACCAAATGATAGACGCAGCGTGTTCCAAGTACGCTTTATGGCAACAACGGCAGGCCAAACTTAGGTAGTACACGCACAATCTCATTTTGTACACTACCTGAAAAGAACTGTCACTGTCAATGTCAAACTTCCCCGATTGACAAGTAAATGCAAAATTCGCAGAAACTAATCGATTTTTCCTTGATAAATGTCGTCAATATTTTCTTAAAGCCTGGAAGAATAATGAACAACGTAGGCTTAGAAATGTTTGATTTACGGTGATGCATTTCATCTATTTATCGTTGAAACTCATATATGCTACATATCTTGCATTTAATACTACATTTAAATAATAGTATCGATGGCTCAGGTACGATAAATTTAGTGATGTGCCAAATTAGGACGAATTAATTATTTGAAAATAGTACTTTCTTTATTGGTCTAATTTGTAGTGTTTCCGATAGTTTTATACGGTAATGACATCTCGCAGTTACATAGAAATCTAGTCTCCTTATTTCTAGAAATCACGGCATTTATCGTAAACACTGATGCTTTGAAACTGAATTGACAAAATTTAAGCGTTCAGTGCGTTTCATGTTTATTTACCGAAAACAATAATTCTAATTACAAGATCATTACTTGTTCGTTGATTATAACAAAGCTACAAAAACTAAAACAAATTTCTATCCCTAAGTAATCTCATTGATCAAGGTAACCGAATTATTATTGATAAAGTTTCAATAATTTAGGTCAAGCAAAAAATTTTATGGTATTTCTTATTTAGTACCTGTACACATTTAAAATTAACAGCCAAAAATACATTGTTTTATGTTTAAATTTGTTTAGTTTCATGTAAATAAATCGACAATAATTATTAGGATTGTAAGCGGAAGTCAAAATTACTGGTTACCACATTGGTTTTGTAAATTAATTATTTAATTTAAGATTATTTTTTTTGCAATAGCATAACGAGTTTTTGGAGCGTAGTATCTTCAACATAATCTCCCTCAAGAAAAACAGTGTTCACCACTTTACTTTCTGTAAACATAAAAAATATTGTACAATCTAAGCTGTTGGACGATGTCTTTGCATTTGTATTGTGTATTATAAGAAACAGTACGAATCGTTTTATTAATAAACTACAACAGCTATATGTTATAGATAAAGCCAACACTATTGAAATGGTTCAACTTATGTAACTACGCGCAGGTTTTGTTGTATGAGTTGTTCCATTTTAGAATACTATGATTCAAAGATTGATTGTTAACTTTCGTGGGCGTATCAAACGTGTTTTGATGGAGATAAACAATTTTTCGAATTTAATAACACATTAAAATGATCGCCACAGGTATTGTATTGTAACTTTGATTAATTGTAACTTTTAACATTCTCAAATATCTGTTTGGTAAGACTGGATGAAATCAAATAGTTAAAATAAATTTGTACATAAATTCACATTTTTTCTTTTTACTGGTTACCAATTTTCTTTATATTTCCAAAAGCGCCTTACATATAGTGTATAATGGCACTCTTTTAATTATATTATATAATAAGAATCTTATATCTTTAGTTAGGAATACGTAGTTGGATTTAAAAAAACTTCTATCAACAATAGTTTATTAATAATTATCGTTGACAACGCAGCACGCGATATCAATAAAATAAATACTGAGATACATCTTATTTTGTGATATTAATCACGTTAAAATATATGCATTACGAATAGATTAAAGAAATATACGCCTTACGGTTAGCATCAGTTAGTAATTATATAAAACATTGCAAGTAGAAACAAGTTTTTATTTTTATTCAAAAAGTATAAGATATTTGAAAATCGAATTTTAAGTTATTTTATCATCCTGGCAAGAGAATGTAAATTAAAAATGCGGCTTAATAAAAAAATACAATAAAATGACGCGATTAAAGAAAATGGTAATAATTTTTAATCTATATAAGTATATAAGTGTCTTATTGTAATACATCAAAAAAATTAACTTAAAATATTTTATTTCACGTAACTAAAAACATAAAAGTTTTTAGGACTGTACTACAAAAACAGAGAGTGACTATAATTAATGTTTGGGAAGGTTCTTTTACGATAGAAGACAGACAAGCTTGGATAGGCATTGATGCTTTGGTTAGTGGCTCTACGTTGTTAATCATATACAATACGGCCGACGTAACTTGGCAAACCTGATCTTAGCGCGAAACGCTGCGCAGAAATGTTCCTTAAGATGTTAACGGTGGTAAGCGCGGGACGTAGGTTTATTCCGTTAATTCTATTAAATTTCATAATCGATTTTTTCGATTGATTATGAATTTTTAATCGTATGGGATATTGTAGTAAATGAATTTAAGAGCACAGTGAATGGTGTTATTAATAAATGATACCATGTTATCCATTAAAGGCAAGTAAAATTATTAAAAACTTGTTTTTCTTTTTCAGTGACGTTTAAGTTAAATATGAGTTATTATTTATATATGTAATTACTATTTTTACATATTTTTACCTTCTTTCAAGCTTTTTACACAAATATACTTCTACGATCCAATTGGGTCTATTTCAATAGGAATCGATTAAACGACATTCTCAAGCAACAAGTATATTTATTTCGTAAAGCTTCGTACATATTCGGTAATGTCCGGTAAACTGTAGTGTGAGCGAGAAGAGGTTCACATCAGCCGAACAGCCCGAAAGACAATGATATGCTGAACGGTGGCCGTGAAAGCCTTACACAATTTATTAAACTGTAGTGTGTCTCGGTCACTCCGTGGCGTTTATTTCGTTATCTCTGTCTTGAGCGCAGTCCGTTAGAAAAGTGATTGTTTATTGTTACATTTAATACTATTATTTCTCTTTTGTTATATTTTTATTTTGTCTCGTATTTTAGGTGAAAGATAAGTGTTCGTAGCCCTCATTCTCTGAATCAATTATTGGTATGTTACTTTTGCTTGCTATAGGTAAATTATTTCATTTATCCCAGTAACGAAAATAAATGGCAGTATTAGTTTACTTTACGAGTGTACATGCGCCAAACCTTCGTTCAGACTTGCCAAGTTACGTCGGCCGTATTATACTGGACCAAAGCCGGCAAAAAATTAAATAGATTAATACACAAAATAATGTTTACATTGCACAATTTATAAATTCATAATAAACAATTTACAACAATATTAATATACAACATACTATAATTATAGTATATATTTTTTCTAAATTCAGAATTATATTTTCATTAAGAATGATATTATTCATTTCATACATATAATCAAAGTTAAGAATACTAAAATTAATCACACATTTTTTTCTATAAATCATTAATGTGACTGGAATGAAAAACATCAGGCCAGCGTTATGCTGTTATTTCCTTAACACATTATAAAGAATAATATTACCATAGATATTACACATCGACTTGGCCTTGGGGTCGTTTAGTTATATCGAATTCAGTTTCTGAACGAACAAAGAATAAAATCTATTCATTTCGATTAATTACATATCAAATATATAAGGCCTCTGAGCTAGCGCTTCATAGCCCTTACTAATTCAGTTAAAACTAAATCGAGACAGCGTTTCATACCAGAGATGGTTGCCAAGCGATTCTCATCCTTATCTGAACGCCTTGACTACCCATACGATGAGTATGATGGCGAGAATTATCCCGATTGATATAAAGAAGAACATCCTCTTCCGATATCGGCGTTGGTATTCGGCTGCCTTGGCCAACTCGTCAACACCAGCTTCTACTGTTGCGCTTGCCGCTTCTATGTGGCTTTCGACAGTATCTGCAAAGTATAATTATATAAGCAAACACAAAGATACACAAACGAATAATTCATGTATGTAGTGGAAGAGATACACGCACATACATTTATTGTTTCTAAATTTCTATTTCACATAAAAAACTATGTTTGACGAATGACACTTGTATGAAAAGTTGGAGCATGTTTCATCCAATAAAAAACTGATTTCCTCAACTTACCCACAGTTTGCGCCTGCGCATTGACCATTTCCGCGAGGTCCTGCATGATCTGGTTGACGTCTAGCACATCGGCCTCGATTTTGTTCATGTATGCTTCCTTCTCTAGCAACATGCTCGTCTCGAATTGGACTAGACGCGCCTGCATGATAAGTCAGTTGTGGTTTATTTACCGAAACGTGTTTATTAAATAGGCACACGCTGAATATTTCTTTCTTTCATTTGTATTCTTGTTCATTGTATCAATAATAGAACACTTTAAATATCATGCATTATTTTTTTTAAAGTAGGCAATTAAAGTTCATCTATTGGTGAAATTAAAAGGGAAACAATTGCAGCACTTTTGTAAAAGACAGTAGAAGTTAATGAAGTAACTAAAATTAAAAAAAAAAGACTAAAAAATATACCTGTGCCTGTTGGTTAGCTAGTAAGCTAGCCTCCTCATCATCAGCTATCGCTTGTCTCTCTAGAGCCTCAGGATCATTTCTATTGCGAGGCTGCGTTGGCATATGGGCTGCCATCTTTTCTGACACTTTCTGAAAAATAGCCAAAAATAATTTTCTTTGTGCAATTTATGGACACAAGTGGTGGAAGTGGAAGCAGGTAAAGCTGTTCTTTCCGACATGCATACACTTTTTTATGATCCTATCTTAATATTTTACCTTTTGTACAGAAGAATAATTGGAAAGAGCATCTCGAAAGGCTTGCGTGAGCCTTTCAACTTGCAACTTCTGCGGTTTGTCCCCCCGACGCACTATCACACCGAGCCGTTGTATATCCCGCGCGGTGGCAGATACTGAACCATTTACTTTCTGCTGGGTATCATGGCTAAAACAAACACTCAGTTTAAGGATGTTAAAAATCAAGTATTGACAGCATTACCAATGGAATGTCTCAGGGAAAATTAAATTACCTGTTGTGCACCAAAATTACTTAATTCATGCTTTCAAATCAAAACAATAAAGCTAGTTCTTGAACCTAAACTCACAAGAGAGGTTTGATTAGAAAGAAATAGAAAACAATATGAAGTTTATTTGTTTATTATATTTCCATTAATGGAATTTCAGCCCAAATGTTTAATACACTGTTTAGCAATGCATTTACAACTATGATATAGCCATGAAGGTGATCTTAGTAATGCTTTTACTAAAATACTTGCACAAATTAACATCCTAGTAACCCAGTTTTAGAAACATAAGACATTCCAAGTAATTGTTAAAAACTAGAGTACATTTTCTAAGTCTTCTTTTTGAAAAATGTGTTAAAGAAAATTCTGAAATAGACCAAGCATAATTAATTAGGAGATAATCCTTGTTACTACAATGTAGAGCTGTAACATAATGATAAATCTAATTACTTGTAACAGTAACCAAATAATTTCCTCTGATGATTTATTAATTACATTTATCATATGCTAGATTCTTATATAGAAGAGTTAAATAGAAAGTTGTGATTTTAAAACTTTTGAAACAAAAATACCATGTAGATTAATATTATATAAAATACTTTTTTCTTTTATATTCAACTTACATTTTGTCCCTCAACTGTACACTATCGCTAGGCCCTCCAATCTGCTTCATCATTTTCTCCAAAGTTCGGAGACCACTGTTAATAGTGTTCACATTATCTGCAATCCCCTCACTTAAATTGTACAGTTCGGTTGGGCTGAAGTCTGCAAAGCCCACTGCCGGTGGAGCAGCTGTAGATCCATAGTCACGACTAGAGCTGCCTTGACTCATAGGTTCACGTTCAGACATTTTAGTTATCTATACAAAATAATCACACAAAGTTTAACAATTATAATAAAAGTTTTTATAAAGAAAAAACATTAAATTAAGACAAGTATTCGTAACAATATTTTTGAAACACAAATCACATTTGATATTATTATTAAAAATAGTTTTATGCACTATCCTCTCGTAAAATTGTGATAATAAGCATCAATCTTTTTGCGTCTAAATAAGTATTAATAAAGAAATACCGATTTATTTGTTTTGATAGCAATTGATGATTCACTTTTCACTACAACGGTCTCAAATACAAGTATTTCGTAATACTCTCACTGTAATTACAACTTGAAGAGCTGGTTTTTCCTGACGTATTCGTTAGCAAAACGCAGAATAAATTATTTCTACGGCCCCACTATTTTAAAATTCACTTGCTTTCGTCTTAATTCTAGTTTCTACAATCACTTCTACAATGATGAATTATGATTGAAATGTCAATTATCATTGTCAGCTGTTATGTCAGGTCGAAAACAAATCAGTGTGGTTTTATAAAAAGTAATATTGTCTGTGGAGATGTATTCCTGTTAGGTTATACGTTTGTTGAACATAAGAAAAAATTATTGCTTTTTAAATGCAGTTAGGTTTATAGTGGATTTCTTGAACAACGCCAAGAAAGTAGATACCATAGTTTCCTACTTTTGTTAATGGCATTTAGCAAAATCATTCCAATAAAAATTGCTGCGATAAAACAAAACGGCGCAAAATTCGAGTTAAATTTATTATTACATCAAAAAGTAATGAACATAATCATGATATTTTGTGCCATATTCCTTATACACCAAAGGGAGCTACGGGACACAACTGAAACCAGAACCCACAGCCACATCTTTTTGGACATCCCTGGTGGAGCCACATGAACTCGAGGTGCATGTCGTCTTTGTGGCATAGACACGCTAGTAGTCTCATCGGTTGGCAACTCGGAATTAAGTTTGGACACTCCCAGGTTCCGGGACCTAGGAACAAAAATATTATATATTTATAATTTCATGATCAGTTACATGAATCGATCGTCGAGTTTTGTATTTTTTTGGTATTCAGAAGGCCTAATTAGTTGAAGTCTAAGCAGATTAAAATGGAGTTTTTAAACCATCTTTTATCTACACTCATTATATAATTTCTGAAATAGTATATAGATATAAGAAACCAATATAAATAAATTACTTTCATTTTCATTCAACTCCACCCCCACAACTGCTGCAAAGTATGCGAAACGCTGGACGTGGGTAAATTATACTAATTACCTTTTCTAATGGCCATTATACGAAAAGGATCGCAGTCGCCAGCAAGAGCAGCCAGCATTTCTTTCTTCTCTCTCCCCGTTAGCTGATCTAGGGTGTCATGGAACTGGCCGGTAAACCTGATGCCAGAGCGGCGGAGTGGCAGCAACGCCCTTAAAACTCGCATTTTAATCTTAAAAGAAGAAGTTATTTGTTAATTACATATTTTTAATTACTAATATCTAACGAGCAAGGACTTGAAGACGCGTTGCACGACGTATCGTTGCTATGTCTCTAATAACCTGCCCCAACATCAGGCGATATTCATTCTATAATCTATATTATTACCCGTTGTTAGCAGCAAAATAGAATTTATGATTTGTTGCTGATGATATTTGACCTACCAAAATGTATTTATCTTTTTTGTATTTCATGAATAAAAGATATAAGTATATCACTTTATGACGAGTGTATTTTTTTTTTTATAAAAATCAAATTTTCATCTCATTCCTCCCAACTATGACATTATGCCTAGGTACATAGTATTTTACTGAACTAAGTATTACAAAGCTATCAACATGAAAAGTAGCATATTTTTAAAAAAGCTTACTTGCAGCCTTTTAACTTCTTATTTTTAATTATATATTTCTAATATACTAGCACTTCCGACTGTTCAGATGACTGTTACAAAATGACAGTTTTCTTTATAAAATTAATTTGAAGTTTATATGTACTTTGTCTATGAGTTAGTATATCGTAATTAAAGACGTACTTTAATAAAATATGTATAATAATATTATTCCATAAAACGTATTGTAACATAAGTAAATAAGTCAAGGATGTCACCTAAAGAAAGCCGGTACTATTAAAATGCAAGTGAACTTTGTCGAAGATTAATCATAGCCCACATACTCTGGTTTTATACAACACGACAAAAGTAAAGTGACATGATTGCTTTATAAACACACACTGATAGTAGTACTTCTTCAACGACCCGGATAATATCATACATGTACTGATATAATGCAGTGCCCGGAGCGTTTTCGTTGATATAAAAACTCAAATCGATAAGTATTTTGGCACATTCATCTTAAGGTTCCATCTGAAGTCAGCATCCATCGAAATGGCTTTCAAGGTGGGTCAATATTTACCCAAATTTTTTACTTAACCGAAATTTACGCACATAGTGTTTAAGATGCACTACGCAGAGGTATATGTTATATGATATATACATGACCACTCTGCTTAGCGTATATACCTATATTTTAAATAGGACTCTCAAGTATATAAATTTTTAAAGTATATAGAAAATAATTATATATTTTTCTCGAAAAAAAAAACGAAAGCAGATCGCCATTATAACAATCTCTACAAAATTTGCTTACTAAACTAAAAAATTATATATTAATAAACGTTCATATGTTAATCTAATACGAATCTATATTTTTAACTAACTTATTAAAAAGAGTATGTGTTTGTAGTTTCATCCTTATGTTAAATTTCAGCTGGTTGTGTTGCTTTGCGCCTTCGCCTCCGCTCAAGCCGGAGTGATCAGTCCACTAACTTACGCAGCACACCCAGTTGCATACGCGGCAGCTCCAGTCGTCCACGCCGCACCAGTCGTCCACGCCCCAGTCGCCAAAGTCGTTGAGGAATACGATGCACACCCCCAATACAGCTTCGCTTACGACGTGCAGGACGGTCTGACCGGCGATTCTAAGAGCCAACACGAAACTCGCGATGGTGATGTCGTCCAGGGCTCCTACTCTGTTGTTGACCCAGATGGTACCAAGCGCACCGTGGAATACACAGCTGACCCCCACAACGGTTTCAACGCTGTTGTCCACAAGGAAGCATTAGGTGTGAAAGCAGTCGCTCCTGTTGCTAAAGTTGCGTACGCTGCATCTCCAGTTGTCCACGCCGCACCAGTGTTCCATGCCGCCCCAGTCGCTTACTCATCTCCCATCTACCACCATTAAGTCAAAGATCTAGTCCAAAATCCCTAAAGTATTAAATTATTGTTACATTAATAAAACTATCAACATTTACTGGAGTATTTTAATTATTATTAAATCGAAACAGAAGTACATAATGATAAGTCATCAAAGTCAATATTCTTTTGTACTTCGGACCTTTTAGACAGAGCCCTAAAACATATAAATTACTATACAAAAATGTTTACCTACTATTATTCCTAATAATTACTAGCGTTTATACTTTTTATTGTTAAAATTTCAGTTATAATTTACGACAATATACGCTTATATTTATTATTTCTGTTTATATATATTTGTTAACAGTATTTCAAAAAATCAAACTTAATTTTGAACAGAGGCTTAAAAAATACAAGATCGTATAGTATAATATTTAGTCGTATACCATTACCATATATACATACTTTAGTTATATGGTTTTGTACATAAGTAAAGTACAGTAAAAACCCTAAAAATTTAGCAGAAACATCGTCGCAGAAACCTAGCCAAATGTTATAGGACTGAAAGTCAAACAAAATTTACACGTCAAGTCAGTAACAAGCCGTGCTCTTGTTAACATAATATTTACATACATTATCATAAATTACGTTTGTATATATGCAATACATCGTCAAAAGTTTTCGCTCCTTTTGAGGTGAAAAAATTACCTTCTACCAAACAAATACATTCTATAATTAACACTTTTAAAAGATTTATACAAGTATATCTTTTAAATTACTCTTATTTGAATTACATAATTTTATTTAGAACTTAGGAATAACTTAAAAGCGGGAATCTTACATAACACATTCCTTGTCTTTTTTAAAAGTTTTATAGAAAAGTTTACAGTTGATTCTGAATGTAAAGTAACTAGTTCAAAGATTTACGTCTTTTTTATCGTAAAATAATGACAATTGTTGTTGTTTGATTGATATTAAACAAACCCGTAAATTCAATTAAAAGTCGCTTTGAGAACAAGCCATTGGGTTAATCAAATAAATTTAATTAAATACGTATATACATTTTGCCAATTTATCATTTTGATAAAATAAGTGCAGTTTATAACAATCTTAATGTTAAATACTGTCTATAGTTTACGCGAGTAGTACACATTTAAATATAACACTATAACGGTTTCAAACGCGATATAGTGTTATATTTAAATGTATCGAGTTTTAAACCGTTAAAGTGTTTTCTTTAAATCTTAGTATTTTTAAACTAGAGATCAGTTTGAATCATCAACAATTTGAAACAAGGAAAAAATTGTGTCTCAACTGTTAGTCAAGATTCAAGAAGAAAATTTCGATATTATTATTGATGACTTTTCATGTTATTGTCACTGTCTGCGGCTGGTGGGAATAACCAGGAGGAAATTTGAATATCCCTGCTATCAATTTAATGTTATGGACAATGTTTACCCGGAAATAGAACCAATGACATATTGATAACCTGCCGTATTCTTTATGAACACGTGAAAATCCTGCGTTCGTGTAAAATAATACAATACTTTAGGCCAAACGAAACTTACACTTTTGCATTATATCCGATATAAATTACGTATGTGCATTTGCTGTTATAAACGCAACATTTGCTTCTTAAATTTCATAATCTTGGCCGAAAGTCAAAAAACGCTCGAATTTTCCGCCATTGACAAATTGCACCTCATTTCCAATTGCGTGCACATCCATAGTGATGTCCGCACAATACTAAGCGCGAACTTGGCCCAGTGTCACAACCATTTGCTCCTATATATACCTCGCTCATCCTCATACCAGCATAGTCACATTTGGCTTCATAACCAACTCATCCCAACAATGGCTTTTAAGGTAAACGCTATTCAATTCGTATAACTTTTAAACTCTTAAAGTTTATAAAATTCGTATTAAATAACTAACTTCAAACTTTATAAACAATATCAATAAAAAAATATATAATTTAACAATTGATGATCAGTACTTACTTATAATGAAAGTTTAATTTTACCTTTGACATACAATACTGTATTATTTTAAAGTATAAGCTACATTTACACCCAATCGTAAATAGTAAAGAACATCAAACCATTATCGATACCTAATTTATGAATATTAGACCATCTTGAATAGTGCAGCGTTAGATCACTTTAGTGGACAGTAAAAATAAACAAATAGCTAATTCTGATTCAATAGAACAACTTACGTGTCCTTGACAAACGGTACCCTAAGCTTAGCTAGTTAGTAATTTCTCCGCGCAACCATTGCGCAAGCGGACTAGTCTCGCCCTCGCAAAATCCGTGTCACTATTTCAAGTACAGTGACATAAATGTAACACATTTTCAAGGCGAGACGGTCACACATGATCTACTTAATAAATTAAAGGTTTGGGGGGTACTAAATTCTTTAAAAAATGCACTAACGAAAATGTCTATTTTCTCCCTCACACGTTAGATACATGCAAGGGAGAAATGAAAAATCTTCAAAGTTAAACAGATTTCTTCTAAAATTGTTGCAATAAATCTAATTGTCTTTTATAATTCTTTCAGTTTGTCGTCTTCTCTTGCATCGTGGCATTAGCCCGCGCTGGTGCCCCCGTGGCTGTGGCGCCAGTCACCGCACAGGTCGTAGCTGCGCCAGTAGCAGCTAGATTAGAAGAATTTGACGCATTACCACAGTACAGGTTCGGTTACAACGTTGCGGATTCCCTCACTGGCGACTACAAAAGTCAGCAAGAACAACGCGACGGTGACTTAGTCCAAGGATCGTACTCGCTAGTTGAACCTGATGGTACGCGCCGTGTAGTGGACTACTCCGCGGATTCAGTGAACGGATTCAATGCAGTAGTACGAAAGGAACCTTTGGTAGCTGCTGCTCCAGCTGTTGTTGCTGAGCCTGTTGTTCCAGCTCGTATCGCTGCTGCGCCAGTAGCTGCTGCTCCCCTGGTCGCGGCCCCAGTTGCCAGATACACTGCAGCGTATACCGCACCGGTTGCATACTCCGCATACACAGCTCCAGTTGCCAGGGTAGCTTACAACGCTCCATTAACATACCCTGCTCCGGCTAGATTCACAGCTTACTCGTCACCTCTAGTCGCTCCTGTTGCAAGTTTCGCCGCACCTATTGTTGCTGCGTAATAGATTAATTTTCGCGACTGATTCTATGACTTTTGGCTAATAAATTTTTTATGTGATAATAATTTCTTTAACATTTTTTAGTGCACATACCACTTATATGAATTTAGTGATTAGCAACTCTTTTTTTATTTATCTTACAATAATAAAATAATAATCTAATCATGCTATACGGGCTCTATGTTATTCTATGATTTAGTCAAATTTAATTTTTGACAATGAATTAATAAAAAAAAACATGACAGAATGTTTTTAACACGACATTTCTAAGCATCCGAAAGTATGTTTAATATTTTCTATTTACTTAAATAAGATTTATAAATAAATATCAAAGTTATTTTGAATTAATAAACTTGTTATTACAACGATGGAAGAGAAACAATTATATGGAGCCTTGACGGTGTACCGTGAGAGAGGCGCCTATTTACGAAGACTCGAACAGTTCGAAAAGGCCAAAGCATCATACGATGAGGCATTCAAGAACGCCCCAGACGACGTGCGCATGCTCACAGGCAGGAGTCAAGTATGTGCAGATGCGGTGCAACCAGTTCAGGCATATGCTGACGCAGAACTAGCTTTGAAATTAGAACCACACAATATGAATGCCCGAAATATGCAATCACGAGCCATGTATACTATGTCAGATTTCGAACGGTCAGTCGTCATGAATTTTCGAGGATCTCGTGTCAGGCGACAGCCACCATACTTCATGGAAGGTATTAACCAAGGTGTTGAGACAATACAAGATTGTATCGGTGTAAACGCGGGAAATGTCATGATCGATTTTTTGCCCTTAATAAAGAAATTGGAAGCGGCGCGACCTGCGGGGGACGAACCACAGAAACCGTTACATGTTTCCCGCATTCCGAAGCCGGAACGCAAACGAAAGCTAACGCAAATGCAAGCAAGAAAACACTTAACTTTATCACGAGTACTCGCAATGAAATATCTTGGGCCAATGGCCTACGATAAGTTTTTTCTTCATCACATGACGGGTGACCCCAGACTTACGTCTGCGAATTCCGGTGGTAGCGCTGAGCTGAAACTAATTGTTAAGGAAGCGCTACGTTCTCTTACGGAAAGACAAGATATGTTACGTGCTCAACGACCTTACTACACTATAAGGTTGGCAGAAAAGGCGGAATCTAAACACCAGAACAAATACAAGGACGCAGTCTTGATAAAGGAACGAGAAATCGGAGCTAGAACATCTGAAAGGCTACTTAAACAAATCGAGAAAAGTTTGCGTGAGATGCGCGTTATGGATGTTATTGCACAGGCTGAACGTATGCAATTGTTCCTTGATAATAAAACACCACGAACATTGCCAGATAAAGATCTTTATATCGATCGCTTATATAGATCAGTCGGTGAAGCTTATTTGGCACAACACCGGATGTCCTACACCCTCAGTGAGCGTGGTAATCGTCGCCGTATTGCCTTCCTCATGGGTCTACCAGTTGGCCGCCCTAAATCATTCGACTCCGTCATGGCTAACTACCCCTATAAGTTCATAGATATAAAACAGGCCACCGAGAAAGTCACCGCCACTCTCGAGATGTGTGAGAATTCCACAATGAAATGTTGGTTGATGTACGAACTAGCGCGTTTACTATGTACGCAAAAGAATTACGCCTTAGCCAAATTTTACGCAAAACGTTGCCAACGGGAAGCTCAAGAAATCAGCAATGTTACTTGGTGGCTCAACGGTCTATTCGTGTTAATGAGCGGTGATATGCAGCAAGGCAACGCCAATGAAGTTCGAATTCAAGTCGAAGAGGCTTACGAGTACTCTAAGAAATTAACGGATCCTGAAAGAGTTCAGGCATTTTTAAGTAAATGCGCTGAAATGGCTTCAGAGACGATATCGGCGGATGAGAGGAAGGCGATAATGCAACGTGAGAGGCAAATTCTGGGTGTTATGGACGAAGTCCAACGAGTGGATACTACTGTTCTGTTCAAGCGTATGTCTACAGTGCCGGCGGGACGCCGCTTCTCCGTTCTACCAAGAAAGCCAGAAGCGGGTGAATCCCTCGCTGAACGACGTCGTCGCCGTCAAAGAGGTCTCTCTGTCATACCGGGACCTGAACAAGCTCTTCCCCCTGCGCCGAAATCCAAAACCCTCGGCTTCCAAATTTTTGATATTTGATAATTTAATTTTGTATCTATTCTACTCGTACACTGTATTCTATTTGATAAATAAAATTCGTATATATTAATAAATAGCATATTTATTCATTTGAGTAGTATTTACAATTTGGTTTTCTACTTATTCTTAGTGGTGGTAAAGAGGGGCGGAGTGGACGACTGGGGCAGCAGCGTAAGCGACTGGGGCAGCGTGGTATTGAACTGGGGCAGCGTGGTACTGGACGGGGGCAGCGTGGTATTGGACAGGGGCGGCGACCTTAGCGACAACAGGGGCAACAGCTACTGGCTCTCTGTGGACGACAGCGTTGAAGCCGTTGTGGGGGTCTGCGGTATATTCAACGGTGCGCTTATGGCCGTCTGGGTCAACGACGGAGTAGGAGCCCTGTACGACATCACCGTCGCGAGTTTCGTGTTGGCTCTTGGAGTCACCGGAATGTCCGTCTTGTACATCGTAGGCGAAGCTGTATTTGGGGTGAGCGTCGTATTCTTCAACTGGAGCCACTACTTTGGCAAGGGGTGCCGCGTAGGCGACGGGGGCGTGGCTATAGGCCAGAGGGGATGAGTAAGCTACTGGGGCAGCTGGCAAAAGACCAGCGCTGGCGGCCGCCACCAAACAGCTGAATACGACAAACTGAAACAAAATATATTTTCAATACAGCAACGGGGTTAGAATTCGTAAGTCACAAGTTACAACCACAATAAAAAGTTATTTCTTTTCCCGTCTTTTAAAACGTTAAATTTACATGAATCCTGATTGCAGATTTCAAGTCTCTAAATTCAGGAGAACAACGTGTAGAACATTGATAGGCTACAACAATCAAAAGTATTTAATGAAATTCATAAATATCTCATTTAATAAATATACCTTGAATGCCATTTTGCTTATTTTGATAGAATACAAAACTGTACTGAAGCTTTGAGCCCGAACAGGCTTTATATATTCGTGCAGTGTCCACAGTCACATTCGGTTTTGTGACGTCACAAAATAATTGATACGCGCCCACCGTTAAAGCTTTTTACTTTCGTTTTTAAGTCGAGACAAGGTCGCGGTCTAACCGGCACGCTATCGGCCCTCTTCTTATCGCTTACATCAATATACTCTTTTCCTTTTTAATTATCAATTATAATTTTATTAATCTCGGTTTTAAATGCGAAATATATCGTTTTCACAGCTGCAAAGCATGTGCACCTGAACGGCAGGTCATAGTTTAAAAAAAGGCTTGTCTTATTATGCAGGGTCCTATTTTCTTGCCTGTCCATTAAAATTTTTCTTTGTACACAAAATCATACGGTAAAATTTTTACGTTTTAAGTTTACTACTAAATCATTTTTTTTGTTTGTTAAAAGAAGGAAACATGAATCAAGGACTTCATCGTATCCTCTATAAAAAGTCTCAAAGTAAGGTCTTAGACAATTATTACAATTACTAAAAAGTTTTTTTTTTATGAAAATACCAAGATGGTAAAACATAAATGAAAGAACACACTCAAATCAATTCATTTAATAACGTATTAAATAACATTTATGTATAAAAATCTTAACAATATTTATATACAAGCAGTCAACAAAAAAAATTGTAATAATTCATCTACCAGTAGTATGGACTTGTTACCCTGGGTGCATATAGAGGTGCAGGTGCTGGGGCGTAGAGGGGTGCTCTCGCAATGGGGGCTGGGTAAACTGGATTGTAAGGAGCTACAAGCGGTGCGGAAGCAACAGCTGGTGCTGGAGCAAAGACTGGAGCGCGAGCAACGAGCGGAGCTGGCGCTGGCGCAAATAGAGGAGCAGGAACTGGGGCCCGGGCGATGATAGGAGCTGGGGCGGGGGCGAACACAGGAGCGGGTGCTACGACCGGCGCAGGAGCGACCACTTTGGCAGCAACTACTAAAGGCTCGCGACGGACCACAGCGTTGAAACCGTTTAGAGGATCGGCCGCATAATCCACAATCCTTTTGGTACCATCGGGGTCAACGACCGTGTAGGAGCCAGTGACGAGGTCTCCGTTCCTGTGTTCCTGGTGGCCTTTGTAGTCGCCTGTGAGTGCGTCCTGGACGTCGTAGCCGAATGAATATTGGGGCAAGGGGTCCACACGGGCTACTGGTAATGGCGCTATGCTTGCGGAGGCGACGCCTACCGCGCAGATGAATACTACAATCTGAAAGAAACAAAAATCGTCAAGAACACTCCACTCCACAAACCGGTGTTATAAAAAGACTTTAGTAAAACAGTAATAAAAATAAATAAAAACAAAAAACACAACGGAGAAAAGAATAATCAGTAAGGGTAAAGTAGGTTCATGTATTATTAATTTGGAAGGGTAATAAAAACCATCGTAGTTTTAAAAAGGAACCATGACTTATGTGCAAGCAAAATGGCATTACTCCATTTTATAATTCAAGTCACTATGCAGTTATGTGAGTCATCGAGAAAATAATTTTTCCTTTATGCATTTGCATACAAATGTTGAAATATATATGAATAAATTTGCTTGGAAACAAAACTTTTTTATTTTGTAGGTCTGCATATAGAATTTTGCTTTTTAAACAGGGATTTTCTGTACGTTAAAGGAATTAACCACTGAGCCACAAAGGCTCGTAATAATGAGTACAATCAAAAGTAAGGTATTAATAATTACGAAACAGTGCCAGATAAAATCGATTACATAATGGCATTTGAATCGAATTGGTCACTCGTTTGATATGCATTTAACGTATTTGAACTGAATACACGTCCTACTTGCGACATTTGTTCCTGCTCAAAAAGAAAGGATTTGGCAATGTCACACCGCGCGGAATGATAACAATTATTAAACGTGAATCTAATGTATAATAAGTTTCTAACTACTATAATAATAAAACTGTTTATTGTATAAACAAATTTACAAGTAGATCCGATATACTTAAATGTCATAAATAGAAAAAAAAATGTTTGTCCAATGGCGGTTTTTTATCTTACTTGCGGGTTTTTATTGATATTATTTAAAAATATCCTAATTTTTTAAACTGAAAAAATTGTTTAGCGCCGCCCGGGTCATCGACCTTTTGCAATTTCAAGTTTATTAATTAACTAAGAATTAGTTAATTTATATACCTTTAAATTAGTTTTGTTCGATTGTCTATTTGTATGTGTATGTAGACTACTCGCGTAAACTTCTGACTTAACTATGTATACATTGCTATAGAGAAACTGAACAATCTATTTAGCTTATGTCACATTGTATGTACTTCGTTCGATACCAATACGGTTGGCAAATCGAGCGTGTCACGAAGACGATGCTATCAGGCTGGTCACACCGTGACTAAGTCTTGTCTCACACGATAATATACATATAAGGAGTAAGTATAGTTACGAAAACTTACATTATAACCATGTATACAAGCTTTATAAAACTCAGTTATGGGCTATTCAAACAATGGAATTAAAATCAGTTTCTTCTCTACATGTTTAAAAATGTGGACTAAATAAGAAATAATAATAAAAGATAACCCCCTCTCCTATGAAGGAGGGGGGCATAATCATAACAAGGAGGGGGGCGGGTTGTTTTTTTTAAAAGAAACGTACAAAATTGTTTGACTCGATAAAAATATACCATCATAACATGTAAACAAGATGTACTATGGATATATATTTATTAGACTCTTAATCTAGCTAACCCTGCCAATTGGGTTTTATAAGATTGTGATATGATTAATTTCGGATTTCGAAGTCGAAATGCACTAGATAGATATAATGGTTAGCAAAATGCCGCATTTTCAAGACCCGACTTCGTTTAAAAGGGGATTGTATTAATTACAATTACTTAAGGATAAAAATAATTCAAAATGTAAAAATTAAATATGAATAAATACCTTGGTGTTCATGTCTGTTTGCTTGGGGTGGTTGCAGTCCGAAGGTGTACTGTGAAGTCCCAGGAACAGGTCCGCGTTATATATCAGACAATGCGTAACTCGGGACGTGAGTACAATATTTGTGGCCCATTGATGAAAGCGCGTTACGCGATCGTTACATTGCTACCATTTTTTATATCGTCACAAATTGGAGCGATCGAGCCGGAAGGGTATTCTACACACATATCGCACCGACCCAGCCATTGGACGGGTGCATGTTCAAATTCAAACCATTTATTTCACACGTACATATATAACAATCAAAAATAAACATTAAATACAATAATACCTAAGTTTAATTATTGTATAAAGGCGAGTGCTTGTAAAATGGGATAGATTCGGCTTGACCATCTCAGTGCCTCCGGGAGGGTAAGCAATGATTAAGAACTACGGAACTACAAACTAAATAAAATGAAATCAACTATGTATAAGCTATTTTAAAATCATATGAAACAAAGTTTATAAACATTATATGAAACATAAAGTGTTTGAAAACTTTAATATTTTTTACATGTTAGTGCACATGAAGGCTTGTTGTTGTTGTTGTTGCTCTACCAATTGAGCCAACGGATTTAGGACTCGGTGGCTCAATTGGTAGAGTAACAGCACGGAACGCTGACGATGCCGGATCCTGCCCGAGTCGAAATTTTTTTCAATTTATTTTCGATTTTCAAAATAACATAAAATGTAGTAGAATTTGGGCGGTTCTGTCTTGATTTAACAGTTCTCTTTTGGTCGAGATCTCTTTTGGTTTAACAGTTTTTAAATATTCCAAGTAACAGATATCTTACAAAAACAGCTAATTATTAGCGGCGCAGGTAAGATTTTAAACTTAATAAAAATGATATGAACTCGAGCAAGACTCGAATCGACTTCCACCGCGATCAGTGTTTTGTTATAACGACACCATTACTAAGTGACTTGAAACAACAGTGTGAAACGCCCTGGTCGTGGATTGAAGTCCCGCACGTGACATTGTTTTTTATAATTTGAACTTTATGTTTATGATTTAGTTTTAGATATTTTGTAGAGCTAGAATTCGGTGTTAAGAAATTTTAACTTCATTATTTAGCCGTAGACGTTTGAAAACATGTATTACTCTGTTTATCACATTTTTTAATTACATATCAGATTATTTGCACTGATTTGCGAGAATCCGTTAATAAAGTATGAATTCGGTATTTACTTCAATTTATCGAAGAAAAAAGCTTACTTCAGCCAATGAGGCTATTTGACGTGGACAAATAAAACTCATTTAAACTGTTAAGACACGAAATATTTTACGTTTTTACTCATGTCACAACGCTTCCCATGATTTGTAGCATATTTCAAATAAGTTAAATTTTAATTATTAAAAATGTTTTAGTTACATACAAATATACCGTTTAATCAAAAACTGCTTCAATTATAATACACTAGCTGAGTCAACGACTTTGTACGCGTAGAATAGTTATTTTGCGTGTCAATTTTTCTTTTTACAAATCTCCTATTCAACTCTATATATTCAAGCTGTTACCCACAACGTCGTTCGCGTCCCCTCGTTCTTACAAGATAAACATATTATAATGTCGCGAACTTTTTTTTAGATTATATTAGAAAGAGGAATAATTATTTCATACATATTTTTTGGGTATCTTGAACCGTTTTCGCAGCGTACTCATCTAAAACCCACAGAGATGAAAAATTTCTTCCGTTTTGTTTACATTTCCTGCTGTATCTCCGCTTATATTACTCGAAGTTCAATGTTTTATAGCCTATATATAGCCTTCCTCGATAAATGCTCTAATCAACACAAAAATAATTATTCAATTCGAATCTACGGGTTCCTGAGATTAGCGCGTTCAAACAAACAAAAAAACTCTTCATCTTTATATGTTAGTAAGTATAGATATATTTTGTATCTTCACTTGTTACATTTCTTAATTTAATGCTGAAAAAAATTATAAGTTTCGTAGGGCGTTTACAATAAGCGACCAAGGTATGTTTACCTCTATACTAAAGATATCAACGCACTACTCAACGGTGTTTAGTATTGATTCTTTTCTTTGCGCTTCCAATTAACATAATATACAAAAAAGTAGTTATTTTTAATCACAATATTAGAATTATGTTGCTTTGGTGGTATTAAAAATTTAATTTCAGTCACTTATATTCTGTTTATTTATTGAATTTGTTTCAAAACGATTTTGGTGTTATAGGCGTTGTTAACGGTAATTAAAGAAAATATTAAACGTAGAAAAACATTTTATTTGTCTATATACAAAGTATTGTGTCAATTGAGCGATCTATAACATAAATATGAATCAAGGGTATCTGTATCCAGCCGCGGCGGTGTTTTCAACGAGTTTAGCGGGTGCGGGAGCTACGGCCGCCACTGGCGCAGGCGCGGCAGCGAGGCGAGCTGGTGCAACAGCACTGTAGGCAGCAGGCAAAGCGTATTGGGCATACGCAGCTGGCAAGCTGTAAGCAGCTACTGGGGCGGTGTAACGGGCTGGCACTACAGCAGGGGCTGTGTAGGCGGCTGCTACTGGGGCAGCGGTATATCTAGCTACAACCGGTGCAGCAGCAACGGGGGCAGCGGCGTATCTAGCTACAACTGGGGCAGCAGCAACAGGAGCAGCGTATCTAGCAACCACTGGGGCGGCTACTGGAGCGGCGGTGTATCTAGCCACCACGGGAGCGATTGGTTCCGCAGCGTATTGAGCTGCAGCGACGGCAGCGTTACTGTAGTATGCTGGCGCTGGAGCGTAAGCGTAACGAGCGGCAACCACAGGTTGAGCAATAGGTGCAGCAAATTTGGCAGCGACGACCGGTTCAGCAACTACGGGTGCAGCCGCAATACGAGCGGGGACAACAGCGGGTTCAGCTACGACAGCTGGGGCGGCGGCAACCAACGGCTCCTTGCGGACCACCGCATTAAATCCATTTACAGAGTCAGCAGCGTATTCCACAACACGACGAGTGCCGTCAGGTTCTACGACCGAGTAGGAACCTTGGACTAAGTCACCATCACGTTGTTCCTGTTGGCTCTTGTAGTCACCAGTGAGGGAATCTGCTACGTTGTATCCGAAACGGTATTGAGGGAAACTGTCGAGCTCTTCAAGTCTTGCTGCGACCACTGGGGCAGAGTAGGCGATTGGCGCGCTGGCATAGGCCAGGGCCAAAGCGCAAGAGAACACTACAACCTGCAAAGAAGAGAAATTTATCTGTTAGAATATTATAGCACTGTGACTTAATTTCTGTATAAAACGTGTTGCTTTGCACTGTGTTTCGAGAAGATCTATTTTCAAATTTCGAGGATAAGACTTTTCAATTTTCATTAATATATACAAAATATGTTTTATAAGTCTATCACTGTTTTCACTTTCACTGACACAAATTCACTTAAATCCAATGGAATCCATACCTGGAAGAACATTGTTAGTTGTTTGAACTGGGTTGCTAGTAGCTGCTAACTGTACCCTTAGTTGGATGCCAGCAGCATTTATAGTGATTCGAGTCCAAGAATTGCCTCATCCAGAGAGCATCTCCAAATTTAAATATATTCAAGTACGCACGTACAAGTCAGCTGGGACGCTGGACAATGCCATTTGAACAAAGCTACTTGTGCAATTGGCTCGCATGAAACATTGCTGTCACACATTTTTGCTATTATTTGGACTTGTTTTCAGTGTGAGGCTTCGTAATGTCAATACCATAAATAGGGGACATGAATATTAAATATTTAAGATACGTAGAACGTACATAACGTATTGTGGAAAACCCTTAAGCTTGGTCGTTTAGCATAATTGATTACTCCTAAGTTACATTAAACATACATATATAAAATTGAGTATGATACCATCACGTTCACTAACTAATGAAAATTAATAAAGTTTTCTCTATAAATATTTATGAAACATGAAGGATAAAGAAAGAGGTGTAAAACATGATAACACTTGCAAAAACTCTTAACAAATTAATAAAAAAAAACAATATATTTCCTTCATATACGAGTTTCTTAATTATTTGAAATTTATTGTGAAATTAAGTTTCGCGTACCTATATTATATATGTTATTTCTTTTTATACATATTTTATATTATATAGTATATAAAATGTGTTGTATTAAATAATTCAAACATAATTTACTTCATACACGTTTTAATTTCTTGTCAACCTTCACAAAGGCATTGGCTCAAATATATGTTACATGCAAATTTTATTAAATAGTGTAAGTGCTCTAGTTCTTCGTACAAATTGTCTTATGAAACCTGTTCCTCGACGTGAGAGGAATAATTAGTATAAACGTATAGGCTAAAAATAAATTAATTTCATGAAGTGTATTCTAACCATTTTACAAATTTTGAGTTGCTGGTTATGCTCAAACGTCCTAGATTATTTATGTATTGATCTGCCCACGTTAAATTACCTTCATACATTTACAGTTTAACCATCTATAGAGTGTGTGACATTTAACAATAATTGGCAAACATATCATTTACCAAAAGACAAGGCAAACAGAAATTAAACAAATCTTCTTCTTACAAAATTATCAGTTATACAACTTGTATTACTTGTTTAATCTTATTATTTTATGTCACAGTATATTGTATTATATTCTATTATTCTAGTATTGTAGTCTAGTCTTTCTAGGACCGAATCCTGCTAAAAACCAGACCTAGCCTACAAAAATTTGCTAATATAAAGTAATAAGTCTCCATTTGAGTTTAAAATAAACTAATGAATTACCGCCTTAAAGTTTTTTTTATCACAATGAAGGTTTGTAACCAAAGTGGACTATATATATCTACTATTTTAACTATCACCGCCAGCGAAGATCGAGTTTAAGACCGAATATTCCAAAACTGGTTTGGATCAAAAATCGACCTTTGATTGGAGACTACACATACTTTTGTAATTACTTTTTGTTAAGGGTTATATAATATAATATATAACATATATACTTTTTGTAATATGTATACTTATAACTAGACTTACGCATATAAGCGCGTAAGTCTAGTTATAAGTAAGTTAGATGCGTAACACAATCATGCCTTAAAAATTAAATATAGTATAATAATAGTTTGTAATAAAGTCGAGAATTGATACTATAACATCCACACTTAATCATACTCTTGTGTTGCAAACCAAATTAAATATCTGCTTTCCAAGGAGATTCAGATTTAGGTAGATGCCTTTTGAAAGTTATATAATTATATGTAAGTACTTTTTATTGGGTACTAGCTGTGTCAACGACTTCGTCCGCAAAAATCGTTATTTTGTACATCGTTTTGCAAATCCCTTCACTTAAACCACACCATAAACTTAAGCTGTTACCCATGCCATCGGTTCCCGCCCTTCCCGTCGTTCTTGCAAGATAGCGTCCCAATTTTTGACACATTTCTCGCAGTACCTCCGCTCCTATTAGTCACAGGACAATATTTTATACCTACCTCGCTAAATGTTCTAACCAACACAAAAAGTTTATTAATTCGAACCCGTAGTTCCTGAAATTAGCTCGTTCAAACAAACGACCAAGTCTTCAGCTTTATACGTTAGTATAGATTTGAAACACGTTAAGTGAGAGTGCATCATGGCTTGACATGCTTGTAAATCGGTCAGTGGTAAAATGTCATGAGGCAAGTGGCATGGGTTTTACTAATGTGTTAAATAAAGGGTGTTTTCCGTATCACGCGCGTCCTTCGCAAGGCCGTTACTTGCATAACGCCGTTAGAACACACGAAACTGCGCAGATCGACGATATGCGAACAGTACTACGGCTACTGTTTCCTATCAAGATTTTATTCCGTGACTCATGCGTGCAATAAAAACTTATTACAGCGGTGTAAAACGTACTTTATTTTGCTTAAATATTGTATAAGTAATTACATTTTAACAATTCTGACACAAATTACAAAGTCAATTTTTTATATACATGCTAACTGTGTCCGCGTTTTCATCCGCGTGAAATGTTTTTCGGACTCCTTTTTTTTGCTCTCTCCCTTTTATAAAATACTTTCCGAAAAATTTGGTTTTAAATTCCCTGGGCTTCTTGCAAGTTAACCTTAAAAGAGCATATAACGTCGTGGACTTTTTTTAGATCATTTTAAGGGGAATCATTATTTTATACACAATTATTAGGTATCTTGAACCGTTTTCGCAGCGTACGCATCTGAAACCTACAGAGATAAATATTTTTTCCCGTTTTTCCCACCTTTCTCACTGTTTCTTCGCCCCTATTGATCGCATCGTGATGTTTTATTGCCTAAAGCCCCTCGATCGAACCAACATAAAAAATAATAAGAAAAGTAGCTCCTAAGATTAGCGCGTTGAAACAAACCAACTCTTCAGTTTTTTACTATGAGTATAGATCGACAGAGCTTCTTTAGACGTTATATTACTTAGGTATCTCACCTACAATCAAGTTAGCCCGGTGCTTATATTTTATTAAAATACCTCTCTAATAATTCGCAAGAAGACTTAACAAAAAAAACAACAGATTCAACAACCTTCTAATCATATTATGAATATGTTACGCATGTCCTATTACACAGTTAGATGACCGTGAAGTCTGCGTTAGGCGGAGGTCAGCGGTCAGACCAAACACAAAAGCTTTACGGGTGCGGTCTATTATTGCTGTAGTAATGATATTAAAAATGGTTATTTTAACTGGATGCCAAGTTTTATACTAAACACATAGCAATAAAATATTTAAAGCTTTCTAATGTGGTTTATTGCATGTTTGATTAAATAATGATTACGAAAATTTTATCTGTATTTAAAAATATTTTAGTAAGAGTTAATTAATAATACATTTTTTAAAGTTACTTTTAGCTGATTTCGAATTGATTATGATAACCTCAAAAACATAATAATAGCTGTTAACTCAATTACAGTTATAGCAAATATCTCTATATATATCAATGCGATAAATTCATCAAAATAATCTCTCTCTTTCATTTTTGTGTGGCTATTATGTGGGCGACTGCGCATTGCGCTATGATACTCTTAGATGGATGCATAGAGTAATCACACACAGAGATTTATAAGCTATGAATAATAGAAAATTTGTCACGTAATCTATTACGGCAATTTTTCTTTTAAGGAATACCTTCATTTTGCATTTAAATATCCAAATACATAGATACTTTGAGGTCTATATAATGACAAATATAAAAACAGCAACAAAACATCGTCAATAATAATCCTTACGTATTATGTTTACTTTGCTGTCTATTTCAAAGAACTAGTAAATCTGTTTCGAAAGTCATTTCTTTCCTATATGTTAATAAACGTCAGTACAGTTAAAAGCAAAAGATTTTTTATTTACATTTACTGTACGGACTATCAGCTATCAATCGATGGTGTCCATTTTGGGCCGGTCTATACCACGCGTATTAGCAACTCACCTATAATTGTCCATTAACTAACTATTTTTACTATTCGCACTTCGCATAAGATTCTATCAATACAATGCCAAACATTTCTCAGTATTATTTCTATAAAAATGTATACTAGTCCTTAATATTGAGTCTTGCAGTCTCTGAATATATGTAATCTGCCTGAAGCTGTATTATGCCCCCACGTATAATGCCAAGGTGAAGTAGCTTATTGTTTCAAATGGTACTTGAGCTTTACGCTCAAACACATTCAATCATTGTCTACTTGTAATGATATGACAGATTATCCATGTTACTACTTGTTGTCATTGTGGACTATCGATGGTTACGACAAGGTATTATGCTAACAGACCGTACTATTAAATTGTGTCGTGGGATAAAGATTGGCAACGAAACAAAAAAAATATTTTTGATATACAAAGGAGAATATTGTATATTTCAAAAATTTAAGAGTTTAAGATTGTATACTTAAATAAAACCCATTGAACGGTTTAAAACGCGATATATTTTAGTTAAACTTGTTTGAAAATTATTTTAACCACGGCCCGACGTTCTCCCCGTGACTACGGCTGCTGCAAAGCATCCGAAACGTCGTGCCGGGGTTAAATAAATTTAACTTATATCGCATTTTTAACCGTTAAAGTTTATTGAGCTACCGAGTCATTGAGTAATTGGTAGAGCAACAGCACGGAACGCTGACGATGCCGGTTCAAGTCCTGCCCAAGTCGAAAATTTTTTCAATTTATTTTTGATTTTTAAATTATATGGGGCCCTAATCTTATTATTTACTTTTGGTTTTCATACAACATAGTTATCATATACTTATAAATATTGCAGAAAAATATTTTTACATATACGACGTCAATTACCTACCAAATACAGTAGTTATACAACTTACTATAATGCTAATTTAAGTCTACAACTCTAAGTATCAAGATAAAGTGATTCGTCCTTAATAGATTTTTTATCTAACTTCTATTTATATAACTGATTATAGGTATTATTAACCAAAATTTTAAATCTCCCTGCCCTTAGGTAGATAATGTGACATTTATAAAAAGGCAACCTTGCGCTAAATTCTAAAGATCGTACTTTATAATTTGCGCAAATGTTGAAGGTACTAAGTAATGTCACCAGGTTGCATCTGATGAAACGAGCTAGAGCTTTTAACTGGACCTGCCAGCTTTACACACAAACGCGTAATTAAACTTTTTTTAGCTGACAAAAATAGATTTTGATAGCTTTCCTATTATATATTTAGTTTTAATGAAATATTTTTCAAATTAAAACGAATAATTGATATTATTCAAACCTATAATTGTAAATATTAGTACAACAACTCTGATACATTTTTTCTTTATTTCTTTTCTCCTGTACTTCAGGTTGCCTGGAAGAGATCGCTGCTTGGAGATAAGGCCGCCTTTTATTTATAAGTTACTTACTTTTTTTGTTTTAGTAATAAAAAACTTATATATTTTAGTTTCGCTATTTATTTTATAAACATTAAGTATTAAAAAATTTAAACGATTCCTTAGACAAAGTACAAATTCACAACAATTGTTCAATTATTATACTATAGCAGACTGTAGAGTATGTACTTTATATTTAATATCTAGTTTTGGTTTAATTGTAGGTATTCATTAAATGGAATAAACAAGAAAGAAATATCAATGTATCTAAATGGGAAGAGCAAAAGCACGGTTTGCACTCGGTCATAAGAGCTTTAAGGTTCGGTCCGTTTTGTTAACAGTATGAAACTGAACCTAACCGATTTATCCAACTTTTCTACACATTATAATCTTATTTTAATATTAATATGACATTAGAACGACGTTGCCAGCACAGCAGTAGAATAATAAGCACAATGCCTACATATGTAATTACTTGCGATCTAGACTTAATTAGATTGCATTTCATAGGACGCCGTTAAAATTAATGTCAAATGTTACATATCAATTACGTAGCGACGAAAGGAAAAGTGTAAAAGTGATTATCGGTTGACACGTCTATCTATTGCATAATTTTCTTGTATCCTTTATATTATAAATATAAGAATAAGTTTGAACTTTTACTGGATTACAACAGAGTAAAGTTATTTTTAAATATGTCTGTAGTTTGAACGAGTAGTACACAATTAAGTAAAACATTTTAACGGTTTAAAACGCGATATATATTAGTTAAACATATTTAAAAACTCTTTTTAACGGCCCGACGTTTTGGATGCTTTGCAGCAGCCGTGGTCCCTAAACCACGTCAGCAACGTTTCACGTTTTTAACCGTTAAAATGATTTATTCAAAAGAAGTTATTTTGCTTATAACTCGGAGTTTATTTTAAGGCTTCAAAAGCAATAAGTCACAGACGAAAGCTGAAATAAAAAACATGCTATCAGTATCTCTTTATATTTTTTTCTTATCTTTTATCGTATTATACTGTCAAGTTTTGTTTTAGTTGCATTATTCGACAATTATGCTTAATACATAAGTCAGTAGCCCAAATAATATACAGAATTTGTTAGAAAGGATATCCGAGCCGTCGAAAGTAACTATATCACGCTACTGGGTGCAATTCAAGTTTGGCGAGGCAGTCTCAAGTTTCGGCGTTACGGGAGATCTGAGATGCCCTAGGGCGAAGGCTCACGGTCGTGTGACGTTACAGAGACTCCAAGTGAAAGGGTGAGCCCCGCTCGCCGTATAAAAGCTAACCACGCTCCCCAATTAACATCATTCAGCATCCTCACTTCACCAGCACAATGGCATTCAAGGTACAGAGTTTTGTATCGTGATTGAACTCAAATTCGCTGCAAAAGACCTCCTTGGCAAAAATATCGAATACTCTTCTTAATATAAAAAATCTAAATGTTGGCCTACCTATAAATATGTGTTAAAACAGCTGAAGATAGGATTTGGGAACTTCGGAACAATGATTTATTTATTTTTTTCAGTTTGTCGTCCTTGCCTGCATCGTCGCCACCGCGAGCGCTGGGCTACTCCCAGCTGCTCCAGTAGCTTACGCAGCTGCTCCAGCCTACCATGCGGCCCCAGTATACCACTCCGCCCCAGTATACCACGCTGCACCAGTAGCCAAATACGCAGTTGCCCCAGTAGCTAAAGTCGAGGAATACGATCCTCACCCACAGTACAGCTACGCCTACGACGTCCAGGATGGTTTAACTGGTGACTCCAAAACTCAGCACGAATCTCGCGATGGTGATGTCGTACACGGTTCTTACTCCGTTGTTGACCCTGACGGCCACAAGCGTACCGTAGAGTACACCGCTGACCCCCACAATGGCTTCAACGCTGTTGTCCACAGAGAACCTATCGGCGTGAAGGCCGTTGCTCCCGTGGTCGCCAAGGTCGCCCCAGTAGTCCACGCTGCTCCCGTGGCTTATTCTGCACCAGTTGTCCACGCCGCCCCAGTGGCCTACGCATCACCCGCCTACTACCACCATTAAATACCAAAAAGTATGATATGAAATGTAATGTAAAAGTAGGATACGTTGATTAAATTATTTTTCTACTCTTTATTTCTGAATTTATTATATAAAGCTAATTATATATGTAAATCTAAATTATCTCGTACTCAAGATAAGGGTTAAGAAAGCGTACCAAATGTATTTATAAGCAATCTCATAAATCAAAACATGTATTAAGGGATTATACAGTTCTCACATCGTTCAACATACGTTAAGGTTAACTAAGTACCCCAGTAACCTTTTTAAAGATCATTTAATGCTGAACTTTTGAAACCCGGCCATCTTAAGCTCGTAATTAATTGATAATTCGTGGGAATATGCCCACGTAAGTAGCAAAAGCAAAAGACATTAGATTGAGATATTTGTTTTATCCATAGCAAATCTGCAATTGAGAACTTATATATTATGGTCAGAAGTGGGTTTAATATAATAAAGTTTTAAAAACAGCCACTCAGACAGCGACAGTACCCCACGCATCCTTGCAAGCAAGAAAGTGAACGATCATCGAGGGCTAACAACTACAGTCGTTGCCATTCTCACGCTCAAGGCACCGCGCCACGTCTCCTCATCATGGCTGGTAGTATCCCACATATAGTAGGGTTTTTCGTGAAGAGCTTACTATAGAAATGATCCTATGAAGTAAGGTCTTAATGATCAAAAGCGTTCTGCGAGGTATTATCATATGTTAAAAGAATTTTGAATGCGCGTTGTAGAGAATTTACAGTGACATCTTTTGGAAATTTATGAACTCATCATATATTTTTGCACAGCGCCATCTTCTTGTATAGATCTGTACTGTAATAAAAAATCTTACAGCATCTCGATGTTTTTTTTTTATTTTTATTTCATAAATTATAAAATTATCACTTATTTTCTTCCCACAAAATTATAAATTTATATACTGTATTACAACACCGCTACCATTTTTAATAAGCGAGACGTGATTACCAATTCTAAATAACATTTTTTTTTATCAATCTATACTTTATAATTTATATTTATACGTTTCTTTACAGTCTTGGATATTATACATAATAGAATTATTCTTAAATATTTTGGCCAAACTTGAAGAATAGTCTAACTGTATTTACATGTTAAACATTTATATTTTTTAAGATCGAAGATATTACAATTTTTGGCAACTTTATATTACGAATAGCTTCGAACGACGTCAAATGTCTGTCTGTTTAAGTGATCTATCTGTGGTGAAAATGATTGTTGAATGTCAATGTCGTTTTGTTTATCTGAAATCAGCGCTCCCGACGCGACTTTGTTTTGTATATTTTTTGAAACAAACTCGTCGCTTAAACTAAATTTATCTCGTGTTCATGAATGAAAACTTGTGTTTGTCTGATAAATAGTAGGAGATAAATATCCTAATGACATTGCAATATAAAATTATACCTCGGCATTTGACTCGGTCAATAAAACTTTTCGACGCCGCAGCCGGTCTCTAGGTGTATAGCAGTTTAGATTATTATTATTTATGATCAAGCTATGGTCTCTACAAGAAGTGTACGATATAAATTCAGTGAGGGAGAGCGCGTTTTGTGTTATGAACCGGACCCGACGAAGGCGAAAGTGCTTTATGACTCCAAGGTATAATAAAAGTATTTTCTTGAATAATAATTTTTCAGTTCTTAACCATCCCCAATGAAAACCCATCAATACCATTTTCATTCTTCTGTTATTATTATTTTTCTTTTGCTAAGTATAAATAATATATATGTTTAGTATATAATATTTATACTTAATTTTTTTTGCCTGTTAACATTATTAATAGTTACAGTACCATTTATTGTGTTTTAAAAAAAAATTGCACACAATTAAAACTACCTATGATAATTGTATTTGAATAAAAATAATTACGTTTCTAGGTACTGGAAGTAATAGAAAACAAAGATAAGCGTGGAAAACGCACAGTTGAGTACTTAATTCATTTTCAAGGTTGGAACTCTTCTTGGGATCGCTGTGTTAGTGAAGATTTTGTTCTAAAAGATACAGAGGAGAATAGGCAGTTGCAGAGGGACTTAGCGGAGAAATCACAGTTGCAATTGTAAGTAAAAATTTTCTATCAGTAAATTTAAAAAACTTAGAAAGAATCTATCACAGGTGACTGTTCCACAGACTGTGGCAATTCTATATGGGATCATGAGAGAAAACATGAAATTATAAAATAAAATATCTATTTTTTATTGTAAAGCACACTTTTATGTAGATATGATTAATGTTCAAGTATTTATAAATGTTTTTCCCATCATTGAAATTGTATATCAATACTTTCAGAGGTGCATATTTATATAGACGAGAACGAAAGAAAGGAAGTAGTTCAACAACAGGTTCAAGTACAGCTAAGAGAGTGCGACATGGATTTAGTGACGATGGTTCCTCAAGTAGCACACAGCCAGAAGGTATTTATTAAAATATAGTTTTTATCATTACTAAACTTTTTCATTAGCATTCACATATAGCTAGAATTTGTTTTTGTAAGTGAAACAGATTATTTTTAACCCTTCACTCAGTAATACAAAACACTTCCACAACCTCACTCTCTAAAAAGAGATAAAGCATTGAACAGATTATGTGTGAATGTGAATCTTTGGTTCAATGCTATCAGATGGAGAGATGGCAGTGGACACAGATACCTCATCAGGATCTAGATCCAGTGCACCTCAAGGGTCTTCACCAGTACCTGGTAATTCATTGTGTCGTGCACAAATTACAATACCACCAACATTGAGGTAAAATTCTATTCAAATTTTTAGTTTTAAGATGACCAAAATATATTTACCAAATTATATTACCAAATTTTTAAATCAAAAAAAATGTGGTCAAGTTGTGCCTTAACCATTTTTATGTGTTCCATCCTTGTCAAGGGGAGTGCTAACCGTCTCTCCTTTCAATAGACACAATTTAATCAATGTTAAAAAAGGCTCATATATCGTATGGGCTAAAAAATTTCAATAGCGCGTTTTAGAATTGCTTAACGCCGTTTTATTATTATTTTATTAAATACACCAAATAGTTAATATTTAATTTCGCAATCATGTTGTAAAGGATTGATCAATGATTTTCTTCCGAAAGAATATAAAGAAATTAAATTTTTATTATTAATTTCTTAATTTTATTGTAAGTCGCGTAATTTTGTCGATCGCGCCATCTAGTTGTTGAAGTGGAGACTAACTTTACATTAATAAATACTGTCTATACTCTAGTTTACGCGAGTGTACACATTTAAATAAAACACTTTAACGGTTTAAAACGCGATTTATTAGTTAGATTTATTTGAAAATTATTTTTAACTTCGGCTCGACGTTTCGGATGCTTTGCAGCAGCCATGGTCACGGGAAGACAAGTTAAAAATCATTTTCAAATAAGTCTAACTAATATATCCCGTTTTAAACCGTTAAAGTGTTTTATTTAAATTTACATGAATACTTAAAATATTATTATCGTGACATTTGTCGTTGGAATTATAAAAATCATTTTTACTCTCAAAATGTTTTGATAGTATATTGTTTTATTTATTTTTTGTTGTTTAAATTATTGTTTATTTACAGGGACCGCCTAACTCTCGACTATCACTTAATAGCTAAGCGCGGGAAAGTAGTAAATGTGCCAGCATCACCGAGTGCTACTGAAATCTTGGAGTCTGTGGTAAAATGGTTCGGCAGGGCTGGAGCGTGGAATCCACCCAGGGGGAAACACGAACCACCACAGAAGCCGGATATCCTTGAAGTATCTGCGAGGTTAGTAGCGAGATAAAGTTAACGAATTATTACTTTTTTTAAGACACGTCTGTAGTTTACAAAAAGTGTTTTATAAAATTATTGTTAATTTAAGCGTTGATAAAAAAAAGCTTTAATATTTTTCACATATTATTGCACATAATGGCACTATATACCTAATTTAAAAATCGAAAATAATTAAGCAATTGGTAGAGTAACAGCACGGAACGCTGACGATGCCGGTTCGAGTCCTGCCCGAGGCGAAAATTTTTTTCAATTTATTTTCGATTTATAAAAAAAATCGTTATTTGAATCAAGGCGTTTTGTTATCTAATCAAATACATTAAATATATTTTTTTATTTTATTATTTGTAATGTATTTAACATTGCAGGTTAAACCTTGTTCGAGAAGTGGCAGATGGCTTAAGAGTATATTTCGATTTTGTATTCCGAGGACATTTACTGTACAAACAGGAGGTGGCGCAGTACCACGAAATGTGCGGACAATATAACGATTTGTAAGTTGACCGAATAAAAAAAACACACTAAAGGAAAATGAGTCAACTTATCCTGTTTTGTAATTGCACATTATGTGCATAAAAGTTTTAAGCATTTTGACTTTTGAATATCAGTTAGAAATGGATTTGTATTAAAAAAAAATGTATTTACCATTCTTCATTTATATATGTTTCCTACTATATATTTAAGTACATATCTTGTGTTGTTTCTAAATTAACTTACCTCTAAACTATAAGTTGGATTAGCTAACGGAGTCAGTGGTGGATTTCTTTAAAATAACATAGAAACTATAGAAGCAAACAATAAATAATAACAATTTAATGGTTTAATTCATATGGTATTAGGGAATTATTATGCAAAACTTTTAGTTACATATTGGAACCGGGTATATAAATGTATTGCAAAACGTAAATAGCAATCAATTCACACCTATTAATAGGTTTTTAAATACTGTCTATAGTTTACGCGAGTAGTACACCGTGGTCACGGGGACACAGTCTCCCCGTGACCACGGCTGCTGCAAAGCATCCGAAACGTCGGGCCGTAGTTAAAAATCATTTTCAAATAAGTTTAACTAATATATCGCGTTTTAAACCGTTAAAGTGTTTTATTTAAATAGGTTTTATGCAAAAGGTACATACCTTCGATTCGTTTGTAGTATTGACCAACCTAAATTAGTCATTTGTGGCCTATCTCTCCGTTTCCACAAAAATGGGGCCCGTAAAAACGTGAAAAAACACAACGCACTCAACCGCGTATCTCACTATATATATATTGTGAAGGGCATTCATTTCAAACTCACGGTATTATTATCAGCAATGTAGTTTCACTGAATCACTTCACATTTAGAATGGTGAAAACACACGAAGACTACAGTTACAGTTACTCGAGCAAAGTAGGTACAACAACTAGTAACAAAAACTACCCACAAACTTAGTAAAAAATAAAATATTCTTTGTTGTCTTTAACATTATTAAGATGATTTAGACGAAAAAAATGTTTGTCTCTCTGTCTGTCGTGATTCTAATACGTGTTCCAAAGAGCAACATAACCGAGATGAACACCCAAGAAACTCAGTCCGGCTTTTTTAAACATGTCTTATAAACTAATACATTTTTGCGAGCTCATTAACCTAAGGAGCACTTCATATCATTGTAAGGCATTTTTGTCATTAAAGAAATCGTACTTTGAGAATGCTACTAGTATTTTATTCCGAGTAGAGATTTAGGGTTCGGTTCAGCTACCTAACTGTCGGATTATGTTTATTGTAAAATAAGTCGTTTTATATCTTGCAAAGACACTCCTCGGTAATCTCCTAACGCGTATGTCACGTTGTTGCTTATTTAATAGTGCCCTTTTGATTTTTTTGCATTATTGTTAATTAATTTTTCGTTTTATTTACTCATTACATTTTCTATCCTATAAGGAAATAAGTACATAAATAATATAATATTTCAAATTTCAGAGTTAAAATTTAATATACTAGAAAACTACTTTTTTTTTAGAATACTAAATTTAGTATTCAAAAAAAATGAATACTTCTTTAAACGTTTACTTTGTACAACAGTCCTACAGATATGAACTCGGATGGTGAGGACCAGGAAAACCAGTCACCAGATGACGAGCAAGATGACGACGAGGATATCAAAAGTCCTCGGCTGCAGGAGTACTCACATCTACCCCCGGACCCAGACTACGACGATGACGGTGTGTATGAAACAGAGACGTTTTAGGTTTGCTTGAAAATTTAATATAGCTGACAATAATGTTGCACAATTTCTACGTTTGGTTTTTTAATTGGTGGTCTATTTTCAGAGCCTCTGGTGAAAAGATTTAAACACGAAGATAGACCGATAAAAAAAGAAGTGAATGACGAAGTACACATAAAAGTGGAAACCATTGACCCGGAGCCGATAGCCGGTCCTTCACACTATGACGATAGCCAGGCCGCTTTAATTAATGTTAAAATCAAGATTGAAAAACAAGAAATACCAGAAAAGCAAGAAGAAGATGACACAGAGGAAAAAATAATTACACAAGAAAACCATGATAGATATAAAAACGACAGATGCATTAATAATGACAGAGGCGATGGACTCAGCGGGAGCGATGCTCACGACAAAATTGACAGTGAACACAAATTTGACAAAGTCGAGATGAGTGATAGAAGTGATAGTGATAAGGACAAAGTTGAAAGAAATGGCAAAAGGGAGAAGAATGAGGATCCTGCAGTAGGCGGTCGGGCGGGCACTGTTGCTAGGCGGTTAGTTTTTTTACACACTTGTGAAACTCACTAATATAACATATATTATAACTAGCGCTGTTCTCTTTATCGCTAACATTCAACTTAGATGCGATGTCATTAAACTGTTCTTATGGATGTTATAAATGTCTATGTAATTGTATTATTTCAGGTTGCGTTCAAACAAGTCAGTACTGTCTCAATCTGAGAGCGATGACACGACGTTGACACCCACCGCGACCGAACAAAAAGCCTTCGAAACACCTTCTTCGAGGTAATTAAAATAAAAAACACTTTATGCTTAATATTGATACATCGGTAATAACCGGGTCCTGAGTTCTACAGTGCCTGTTCATTTTTGTTTAAACAAAATATGTTACATTTTTGCAGTGCGGTTAGTAGCGGGTCATCAACGAGTGAGTACCGCGGTGGAGAGGGGGATGATAGGCGGGGCTTGAGACGGGAGCAGGCGTACACTCCCCAAACAACCACGCGAAACCCTCTTTCTCTGCTTATGGATAAGGTATGGTAGCTTTTTTAATGTTTATCAGATACGTGTTCTATGCATTTGTGGTGTAGTTTTAATCTTAAACACGGTCAATTATTGAGCTTTTTTCTTATCCTGGACAAGCAGAATAACACATTACACAAGATACAGTCTTTTATCTGCTGTAGTCAGTTAAAAGAAATATTATTTTTATTCCTATTTTGTGTTGCAGGTATCGAAGTTTCAGTTGATACCACGAGAAGGCACAGAACATCTGCCATGTAGAGTTTATGGCGCTATTCACCTAGCGAGACTTTTCGGTAAGCCTAGTTATTTGGCCTCCTTTGTTACTAGATCTTGATAATTGATCCAAATTCATTGTTATGGTTACGGTGAGAATTTTTTTTTTGTAATACCGCTGCTTCCTTTGTCTCAAAATAGACATTGAAATTTATTTATTTATATTACATCATTTATTATTATTAATTAGAGTGTCAGTTATCTGAATATTTGTAATTACTGATTGAATAAGGTTTGAGATAAACAGATAAAGCTTTATGAGATGTAAAAGAGTCCTTTTTAATAATGTCTCTATTTGTTTCAGTGATATTACCCCTTTTCTTAAATTCGACACAGATGCCAGATATGAAACTGAAATTAATCTTGAAATATATTGACATTTTTGTTCAGTAAGTATATTTTAAATCACAGATGGCGACTCTTATCCTTCTAGAATCCATCGTAATGGCTATTATAAACATTGCCAATATTTGCATAATATTATTTACTGATAGTGGAAAACAAACATAACGCGCTTTTTTTTTAATGACAATTATATTTACTCCAGGCTTTTCAAGTCAATTTGGATAGTGCAATTAATACCAGAAACATACATAGATTAAAATTATTTTTTTCATGAACTCCTTACCGAAATATGATATAGTTGCATGCTTTTAAATAAAAGTAGTGGGGAGGTGGTCTCTAAATTTTTGTTAAACTAACTGTTAATTATGATTTTTTTTCTCTAGTTATCATTATTGTGAGATAACAATTTTATATTGAACTAGGTACCTCGACGAACATAACGAGTGGTTTGGTGAAAATTTCTACGTGCCTAACAATTTCCTACACGTCGACTAACCCGATATTATTTTTGAAATATTTTTCTTAAGATCTTAAAATCATGTACAAATATAAGGAACATTGTAAATGTAATGTTGAAGTTAGTTAGCAAACATATGTCATTTTAAAATTGTAACAAATACAAAGTACAGTATATTTTTTTTAAGGATTATTTAAGAGTTATATCGCAAGTGACATTGTAAATAACATGCATTCTGAATAATTTGAAATAGATCTCATTGAATAAAAAAACTGATTTTTAATACTTTTTTTTTATTTGTATCAAAAATATTCCTTGGACATTAAGATCATAACGCAAACACAATTGTGAAAATCAAATGGAAATTCACAGTACAAAGGAGTAGTAAATACACCTCAAACGAGTTGAAATAAGTTTGTTATAGACATCGATCACTAATACACTAGATACACAATCAGCGTCAAAAAACGTCCTCACTGAAAGAGCGCCCATTCGAACATTTGGGTGCTCTTTTAGTTTAGTAGCATTCCAACGTTCCGCGCGTAATGTTCCTCAGTTGCCCGTGTAAAAATAGTAAAAATCATACATTCAGGACGCTGCAAAGGCATGGAATTTCTTATTTTCGGTAAGTATTAGTATTATTTAATTGTTATCACTGTATGGTGAATAAGTACTAATATATTGTACTTAAAACGTTTTTTTAGTAAAATCGTAATAAATAGCAGAAGTTGTAAGCCGTCTCAACTATAAAGGCGTACAACTATTAATTCATACTAAGCAAATGTCACTTTAATTGGTCGGGTTACGTGTGTTGACTCTGTTCTGGTTGACTGACGCTATTTTTTATTTTTATGATTTTTTGTATGAATATATAATTATGTACATACATATATGATCAAATATTGGAGATACATTGCACGTGATAAAATTAAAACTTTGATTTTTTTAGCTTTCCCCGTGATCCAGTGGTGCAGATTGTAAATCAGAAATGTGGCTGGCAAGCTCCCCTCTGCTGCTTACGCTGTTGGAAAGATTCTACTTACAGATCGATAGTTCAAATTATAGATATCAACAGTGCTAAAATTATCTACTTTACATACTTCCACAGTGCTATAGCATATAATTATTGAGTTTCAATGTATTCTTACATTTTACAAGATCAGAAAGATCTTGTATTTAATTTATATTGTTTTGTAACTATTGAATTTAGATACACAGTAAAGAATAAAATAAATGTTATGTTTCTGATTGTTTCAATTAATTTCATTAATTTGTGGTGTCCTATCAGAAAAAATATATACTTTTAATTAAATCACAACCATTATATGTATATATAATACATAGAATAAAGTAACCGTTACCAATATTATGAAAAAAAATTGTCAATTTTTTTAAGTATTGTATGAAAATATATTGGATATTTCAACTCTATTCATTCCTTATCCAAGCCTGAGTCTCGGTCGTAAATTTTTATTGTTTTTTTGGCTGTAATTTTGACTATAACACAAGTTCGTAAGGTTGAATTTGTTCTGATGTAGTATATAGCTCAAAAAAATGTATTTCTTTTTGTTAGAAGTTTTGTAAAGACAACCCTATTTAAAGTTGTTAAGATTGAATTTTAATCAATGTATATTTCATATAACTATAGTTATATCAAAACGTTTAGGGACATTTTTTAGACAAATTTTGTATGGGATTGTGTATCAGTGATCGATGGTTATAGATAAGCACTGTTGCCAGTGGTGATGGTGGTGCAGTGCACCAAGGCCCCGGAGCTTAGGGGCCCTCTAGCCTTATCTTTGAGAAGATATAAGCGTAGACGAAAAGGATTTTTAACGTTATTATTGCCATTTATAATTTTCGAGGATTTATAATTTCATTTAATTCAAGCTATGCTAAAAGAGGGGATGAGGACCCCATTCTTTGTTGAGCCTTAGGATTAGGTAGACCGGGACCCTTGTCCACCTACCTACGCTACTGACTGTTGCATATTGAAAATCATAAGAAAATTATAATATAAAATAAATTCGGGATGGGATATGTTTTTACAATCTCTTTTATTCTGAAGATGTTCATCACTACAGACATAAATCTGAAAAGAAAAAAATGAATTAATGAAATAATAATTTGATTAAAATGATTTTAAATAAATGTACATATGTGTACTTTATATATTTAATTCGATTTATATTTTTTTCTGTTTTTAATATTTGTTTAAGGAACGGAATGGAACTAATAGAACTAGTTATTTTAAGTACCTAAAAATTAAAATGCTGAAGACGGTGTATCACACGTCGGTATTCCTCCTCTAGCGCGAGGTATTGCCCGGACAGGCGATTGTGCGTCTCGCTCACACCTGTCGTAGTTATGGTGGCCGCAAATTCGTTTGGTTTCAGAACTTTCTCCAGCTTCTTCATTTCCAACTTTTTCTTCTGTAAAAATAATAAATGTAAGCAATGCTTGCTAGAGGTAAGATATTTTTTTATAATTATATATTAGGACAAACAAATAGCCTATAGCATCTAAACAAGTGCTGCGAAATATTTTGGATTTGGATATGGTGTAGGTCAACAATTATACTTGTAGCCTGGGATCGGACTAAAAAAGATAGGGCCAGGGTTAGAATCTATAATATGTTCAAACAAGAAATCATTATCGCTTGAGATTGTACATTTGATTTGTACCCCACCAGACAACTATAATTATAATAATACTCAAAGCTGGGCTCAAGCCGCCGGTTTTCTGCAAATGATATTTGTGTACTTGTGACCAAGATCCCGATCCCAATGGACATTCATTTTACCTGAAATGGTGCATTGAGCCTGTTCTTAACATCTAATCTATACTGTAAATAGGCAGCCTTGTCTGATGTGTTTGTATTCTTCAAACGCAGTATTTCGTAGACTCGACGCGCTTGTCTTTTGTTTATCTTGTATTTACTACGCGCCTGATTGGCCATTTCTGATGAGAACCTGTAATATTAATTAATATTAACTTTTCAACTCCTTAGTTACCAAAGTTGTGCTTAGTGTGCACCTGTGCTTGCATTTTAAATATGGTTTCAAATAGTTATAATATTCTGGCTATAAATGTAGTGAGAATAGTATATATTATCAAGATTTATGATCAAAGTTTTCTATCATATACACACTAACCCTTTTAGTAGATTTTCTAGTTGAAACGAAGGTAGTTTTTCACAATTCTTAGCGTCTACGTAATCTCGGATCCTTTGAAACTCCTGAGAAGGATCCTCTACAGTTATGTCTAAGACTTCCGGCATAATAGTAAAATGTGAGTATATTGTCTGAAAATTTAAATGTGCATTTTATTTAAATTAAATAAATAGTTACTTTCAGAATAGCATCCTAAAATATAAATAAAATATACTAAATAAAAAATTACTTCTTGCTTTTACACATATTGTTTATGAGGACCAAAGTGTAAATACCTCAGCGAGTAACGCACAATACAAAACAGATGATAATTCATTTGCCTTAAGTTTTCTTAAGTAAAGTTTCAAATTACCATAATAATTAATTGTAATACCCTTGTATTGTGTGGGAGTTTTAAAGAAAGTTTTGTTTTCTGATGTTTTAAGTCAGTTCATAGTCAAAGAATACCTGAACTAAATGTGCACACAAGCCTAGTTTTCTAAAGGGCGGTAGAGTTAGAACTTGTGAGATGCGCGGACGCAGGTGACAGGGATATGCGTAGTAGCGGTACACTGTTGCGTATGCAGCTGTTGCATAACGATTACTGCCTTCACTTGTTTGGAGTTTCTCAAACCTGAAAAGACATTAAATTTTCCACCTTCAATAGAATATATAAAATGATATTTCTTTTACAATGTAATATGTATACAATAAAGGCACCTTTTTCATACATTATAGCAAATCAATAACTCACATTGTAAAGAATGTCCATTGATCATCATCAACATCAATAAAGGAAGCTGCATCAACATACCACAGAAGGAATGTCTGTAGGCGTTTATGGAAATTGAGAAAACCGGGTGTAGAAGTTTCACAGTAGTATACTTCAAATGTGCGTTTGTCACCACCATCATCTATTCATGAATTTACATAATCAATTATGACTAGATTTTAATTCACTGTGCTTAAAAGAAATAAATTTAGTAAACTTTTTTATTTCTAACTGGATTTCTGGTCTGTAAAAATTAGTTCTTTGTTAGCAGCAGGGAGTTTTGAGGGGCACAGTGAGAGTTGGATAACCTAACATTTTTTATAGATAGGCAATAAATTGTGTGAGGCTTTCATTTGTATTTACTACAGGAGATAATCATTCTACTACTGCCACTATACTAACTTGGTTCAACAGAAAATGAGTGCAATAGTTTTCCATGAGGTATGAATACTTTATCCTTCTCAAGAGCAGATACAAACTGATCCAAATTTGTATAATATCCTGGCGCAAGCACCTTCTTCAGTTCACCTTCTATGTCATCAGCTTTTAAACCTTCTAATTTTTGTGAATCAATCTGTTGGATGAATTTTAATACATCAATTATAGACATTATCCATAAATTTAACATCTTATCATGAACTAATATAAATTTGACTATTATCTCTGAGGATAAAAAAGATGCATGTTTTAAATGAAAACAACAAAGACACAAGCCCAAAAAGGAAATCTAACCTAAACTGTTTACATTTGGCTACGGCACCTGTTGACAAGTTAACACACAACAATTAATCTAACAATCACACCATGAATATACCTTTTCTGAATATGTAACTCCTAAGTATGTGAGAAGACTTCCTGCACTATAATACAATTTTATTTGAAGATCTGTATAACCAAAAATATTCTCATTCTCTCCAAACACTTGGTGACACATTTCGGGGCCAAAACTTGTCTCATCATTATCAATATCTTTGGGAGACCTCACTGCAAAAATAGGTACAAAACATTGCAAATAGTGTGAAATAAGGGCGAATGTGTAGGTAGATATTTTTACTTACCTAATTTGAATTCCATAACATCGTTCCCATCGACGACGAAATGACCTAAGACGTCCGTCATACTTATTGATATATTTAACAAGAAAATAATAGAATACAATAGGCCAAAACAATTTAATTTAGTTCTTTCTCATTCCCGCGCAGACCGGTGTTAACGGTTTTTTTTATTAACTAAATGAACAATCTTTTTTGTTTTTGGCACTATATAATAATGACTTAAGACAGTGTTTCGAGAACAATATACAATACGCTGTCGTATAGGCAATACACGTTACTTTTATTTTACATAGTTTTCGTTATAATTTTTAACCATTAGTTAGTTATGAGCCTCACACTGTCTTATTTGAAAAATGAAAAATCAAATATTGGCAATTGACATATTAAGGTTTTAATAATATTAAATAGTATTATTTTTAAGGTACAGACAATTGTCACGGATCCCTCAACATTGGCATAGTCTGTGAAGATGATGATTGGAAAATAAATATTCTGAAATTTGAGACCTGGCAACATTCGTCATTATGTGACGTCATTATGGCCTGGTTGGGTTAGGTTTGATTGGAAATTTTTGTTAAAAATCTTGTATTTTATTATATTAGATGTTGTGCTACTTAATTTAGAATAGTAATATAAATACCTCATAAAGTAGCGGTAATTTTAGTGCCAAGATTTGTTTGTCTCGGCGACGATTCTTGGCGAAAATGAATCGCCATGAAGGTGGGTAATGATAATCAAAAAATTGTACTATGCTTTTGTCATGAAAAATTTTAAGCGTAATTTGTAAACACAGTGAGACCCCCAATTTTATAAGGAAATTTTAAATATTTTATGCTTAAATATGTTGACCACGTTAAATAATGGCGGTGTTATACTTTTAGGAGTCAGCTGTGATTCTTGTTTAAAAAATAACTTTAGAGGACGACGATACAAATGTTTGATTTGCATCGATTTCGACTTGTGTGCTGCCTGTTATGAATGTGGCGCTACCACGAATCAACATACAACAGAGCATCCAATGCAGTGTATACTTTCTAGGAGTGATTTTGGTAAGAAGTCATTTACTATTGATGAATAATCTACTTGGCCTACATTTGCTATTAGAATTCTTTCTTTATATTTTTCATTAATCGTGTCTTAACTAATAGTAATAAACAATTTTAGTTTTATGTGCCTTGATTATAAATTTATGTATTTTTTATGGAAAACAAATATACAACACAATAATATTTCATATGTTAGGTAACCACTTTGTAATATTTGAATTTTATTCTCATCCCATAAGTGAAACCATATTAGTATGAATGGGTGTATTATTCTTGTAGTCATATAATTGAATTAGCATTGAGAGGACTTGCAGTAGATATTATCAATGAGGACTTAAAGGGGAAAACATTGATATATGTATATCAATGTATCTTAAATATTTCCAAGAGATTGAGTTGGATATGTAAATTCTAATCCTACCCTTTTCTTCTTTTATGATATTTAGTTTTATACAGATGAATTGAATCTCCCCAATGTTATTTAATAAATTAATAATGTATATACTTGAAGCCATACTTTGTATTTTCAAAAAATATTGTAAAAATTCCTATGGTTTAAAGAGAGAATCAAATATACCTTTGGTTCATGCCTCTTTGTAATCATGTATCATTGGGAATATGAGTAAACAATTAAAATGTTTATTTCTTATTTTAATATTTGCCTAATGTACAATATGTTTGGTATTGTCACTAATGCAATCAACATCTATAGTTTTAGACTGCTCAAGATGTTAAATAAAATTTAGTTACATATAAAATTAAGCAATATACCTCATTATACAGATCTATATTACGGAGGAGAAGCCTTGGCATTGGAACAACCTCAAGCATACACATGTCCATTTTGCAATAGAATGGGTTTCACAGATACAGGACTAATGGAACATGTCACAGCTGATCATGCTGATACGACTCTCGCTGTAAGTTTTGAAAATTGGTATCTTATTGGAAGGTAGCTAACTTTTCAAGAGACAAAAAATCTATTAGTAGAATATACATAACAAAGGTATGTAACAAATATTACAAGTACTCTTTTTTTAAATAAAACACTTTAACGGTTTAAAACGCGATATATTAGTTAAACTTATTTGAAAATTACTTTTTAACTTGGGCCTGACATTTCGAATGCTTTATTTTTGTGTATATGTCTATAGACAGTATTTAAGTACTCTCTTCTTTTGATTTTCTTTAGTAATTAAGTTTTATTTCGTTTAATAGTGTTTTTATGGAGTGAAAACTAGAACACAGGCTCTTAAATGAGTTCTTTAGCTTTCATTTGTTAAATAAAGCAATTGCAGTTTTAAATGAATTTTGTCTTAATTATTAAATACCCTACGATTGTTGTGTATTAACTTAATATACGTTTTTAGGTGGTGTGTCCTGTGTGTGCATCAATGCCTGGTGGAGAGCCGAATTTTGTGACAGATGACTTTGCCGGTCACCTTACCCTCGAGCATCGAAGTGGACCTAGGGATCTCATATCTTTTTTGATATCCTTTTTAAAGCAAATTTATAGAAATAATATACAATGTGTAACATTTACTTGTGTTAAAAAGTAGCCAGGTACAAATTTTCAATGTTTGCGTAGAAAATTTTGGTAGCAGCTATTTATATGCAGTAACTATAATGGTCCTAAAACTTAATATTTATAACTTTCTTTGTCAGCGACCGCGTAGAAGAATGGTTAGTGGGTATCGAAATTTTTTTTGCAAACTCCCTCCTCATCTTCATCAATTTTAGCTTTTACCCACGACATCTCGTCATAGCGTCTCGTCGTTCGCGCAAGTTGATCTTAAAAGATAGTCATATACTGTCGCAAAAATTTTTTTTAGATGATTATTTTATAGGAATCATTTTTATTATTTTGTTCATATTGATCGCAATGTCTCTAAATAATATCCTTAATAAAGAAACACGATGAGCCAAGTGGCATCAGACATGGCGGTGTTCGACGCGTGCCGACGTCGGGACGTGGTGTCACTCGTCCACGACGCACGAACATGCAGTTCAGGTAAAAGTTTCAAATATTATGGGGTTAAGAACACTAATTATGGGGCATGTTGTATGTTACTTTGTCATTTACTACATTATAAGTACTAGGTATGAGGTATGATCAAATTTGTTACCCTTTCATAACTAATATAATAGTGCTAAAAATAATTATTTTTCTCCAATAAGTGTTTTGGTTACTCGTTAGTATTTCTTTAAATATTTTATGCACCATATAATCATACTTGAAAGTAATAAAAAAAACTTCCTAACATATGTTAAATTTTACTAAAAATAATTGTCAGCTCTTTGAGGGTAGACTAGTTTTTTTTATATTACTAGACATAGCGTTAAATTTCAGTAGCAGTGGTATATCGTCTCTCTCGCCGTCGTCGCGCGATGCCGTTGTGGACCCTATTGCTGAGCTGCTCTCTCAACTGTCCGGCGTGAGGCGTGGCGCCGGCCAGACTAGCACTCCTAACCAATTGCAGCAGTTGCAAATGCAGCTGCAATTAGAAAGGCAGCAGCATGTGCGTATAAATATCTATTAGATCAGGAGGAACTACCGAGTTCCATCAAAAATAGTAAACCATATATTTCATAATCTGACACACATTCGTCCAACGTATATTTAAAGCCTTTATTTCTTAGATTAAAAACAAGTAGCGAGAACGGTTGGAGAGCAAATAATTATCGATAATAGCTTTTCAAACATTTGTTTCTGTATCGACTATGGATCATCTCGCCTCATCAAATTAGAATGGCCTATTTGTCAATGCAAAAAGTTAAAAATATAGTATGAATTACTGTTACTAATTACTCTGTATTTAATATAACTTTAGAATTTGTAAATCGTACGTTATAAATAATAATTTATTTAATAAAAATCCGTAAATAAAAACATTTGCTACGTGAAACAAAACGCTTCTGATTGGTTAGGTTTATGACAAAGTCAACGTCAAAATATATTTAAAAAATCTGGCAAATAGCTTATTAGTTTATTTAAATCCCTAAGAAACAAATAGTAAAACAAACTTTCAGGCCGCCCGACAGCAGCTAGAGCGCCTTCCACGGCGGCCGACTGTGGCATCTTCAAGCGTGAATAACTCTGCTCCGCCAGCGGCTGTGGTCACGGCAGCGCAGCCGCAACCCGCTGACAACGCAGACTCCCAGTTCTTGCTTGCCGGTTTTCTAGGTATTCCTTATATTATTGTTGTAGATATCACTAATGAGAATATTTTATCATAGCAAATTGATGGCTAATAATCAATCGAATCCCACCCGGTCCCACGTATCTTCAAAATATATATTTGCATAATTTTAATTGTCCACGGCAGACGGTAAATTCCGTCCAGTTAACGAATGATCTACTTACAGGTGAAACAACCGTGAGGAGTAAATCGCGGTTCTGTTTCAGTCTATAGATTTTCGATTGTCCAAAGTCAGAATAGACAGTGCATTACTATAATTCTGCGGAACTTATAAACGAACGGTGTTTCAGGCGCAGAAGAGGGCTCGTCCAGCGGTGAAGCAGAATGCCGCGCGGCGTTACTCCGCGGACTATTACTTGCGTCGCTGGGTCGCGTGCCGCCCCCGACACCCGCACCCCAACCGCCTCGTCCCGCCCTCTCCGCTCCGCCCCCTAACCCGGCGCCGGCACCCGCCCCCGCTCCTCCACAGGAACAGCCGCGTGCTCAACCACTGCCCCGGGCTAAACCTCAACCACGCACAAAGGTATCCACTCTAAGGGTGCTTTACCATTAGAGTAGAGTTATTAGGAGTGAAACGACGAGGCGATAGCCCATAGCATGAATCCTTCCATATGAAAAGAAAATATCTTATTTGAATCCGTTTCCACCTAAACTATGTGCACCAATGTATATTTTTGGTGGAAATCAAACTAATCCATAGCATCGTAGCATAGCACATCTCAAGTGGAAAAGCACCCTAATTATCCATTGAAATCTTATAATGTATAAAGAATTATTATAGTTTTCTTGTTCATAAAGCTTTAAAGTGACATCAATCGTATGATAAAGACTTCATTTATAATTAAGATCATATGTAATGCCTTATTTTGTTTATTAATATATAAGGAGGCAGCGGCGCGCGCGCACGGTGCTGCTCGACAGATGCCTGAAGGCAGGTAGGAACGCGAGCGGCCGCCGCGCGCCCGCCCAGCGCCGCCGCCCCCGCCAAGACACCGCCCTACGCCGCCAGCACCCACCACTCGTCGGACACAATGACGTCAAACGACAGATAGCGCTTATGGCACTGCGCTGACGTTCTCAGATAGCTAATACTCCCACGAGATCAGCGGTACTATTTAGTATACAAATAGAGATATCCATTGAAAAGCATGGATATCTCCACAAAAAAAAATATTTAAAAATTCTCTCATCTACACATGGAAAAAAGGATAGAAAGGAAAGTATGGAATGACCGATTTTATTTAATTACGATATCTGTACTTTTCCTTTTATCTTTTTCAATTACAGTGATTCTGAAAAGAAACGGGCAAAATTATAAAATGTTGATACTTCACTGTAAAATTTTTGACAATTTTTGTTTTGTTTCAACTAAAGCTAAAGCAACAATTAAGAGAGTTTTATAAACTTTTTCAATTGTCGAATACACTTCAAGTTTTATTGATTGCTTGGGCTTATGATGAGCAAAGTCAACATAATATTATAACTATCAGCGAAGTTTTCGGGTAGCGGTTTTTAAACGCCCAAATAAACTATAAATTTAAATACAGTTCTAAAACATTATTGAAGCATTTAAACAAATAATAAATAGTACTCTGTGACTTTGTCCATGGATATTTGTACTAAACAATTTTTCGCAATCTGGCTACTTGTGAGCCTGAGTGAGTTGTTTAGCATTGATAAGTAGGGTTAATTATTGTCTACGTCTCACTGGTGTCTAATTCGATGACGTCACAAATACAGACGTTTCTTGAACGGTGGGATAAATTATTGGGATTATTCGGCTCACTCGTATCGTAAATGCGCCCTTATTGTACAATTACTCTTCACTTACAGCTTTGTTTGTAATTTTGTAACGCAATAACATTCATGATTTTAACATTGCGCATCATAGCTTCCTACAGCATGTGGCGCCATCTGTTGTTTTTGTAAATTGTACAAGAGGGGTGCAAAGAACGCGTGAATCGAAATCTTTCGTTGGGAGCTATGAATTATGATGGAAACAATGGCACATCGTTCATCTATAAATCAGTTTCTTTTCGCGGCTATTATTTATTTAATTTGGACGCAGTTTGATACTAGCGTCACCTACGACCGCGCTGGGGAATTGTTTACAGTGACGACTTAGAAGGCATCGTTGGGAGTGGGTTTAGGGCTGGCAATCGGCGAGTAGGTCGACCCGGTCGCCCGGCGGACCTCTGCCGGCTCGACAACGCCGCTGGGCGACACGAGTCCATTGTAAATAGGAAGTCGCTAGGAGTCACGGGTCTGACCGGTGACGCATCTACCGGATTCTTGTTGTTTTTTGCTAACACTTATTAGTGGATGCTTCATTATGTTCGTTTTGTTGGCTTTCGAAATATCAGTGTGATTTCCTTTATCGTAGAGTAAATAGTTATGGAATGTTTTAATCGATTTATAAATAAGATGATGAACATTAGGTACGGTCACGTTATTTAAAGCGCGGGAGGAGTCTTTCACAACGGATGTAAGGAACGCTTTGTATATAACACTGAAAAACCGACTGCAGTATTTCTTCACTTGGGTTATAAATATTCATAATTATTATTATTGTAATTAGACGTAAAAATAGATGTATTTTTGTAACAGCAGCGTTCGAGCATCGCTATAACACTGACTCCTCTCTTAATATATTACAATTAACAGGATGTGAAACTACTTACACTCAAATCGTCACTAGCTACAAAAGTGCTTATTAGTTTGGTCATTACTCATTATACTCCAACATTACAAAATGTTTGTATGTACCCTAATTAAATTCTATAATATTATTCAAGGTTTTTTATTTATCCCTTTTTTAATGAGTAGCTGACTTCTAATGTTACATGTAATCTTAATAAAACAATATACATATAGCGTAATAATCAAGAGATAATATTAAGAGCATGATGTATTAATAATTCAATATATAGTGAATTATTTTACTCGGCTAAAGACCGCATCGAATATAGCCAATATCAAACCATAAAGAACTAGTAATGCCCTTTTTATAGAGTGGAGTCGTTGCGACACAGGGTTTACGAAATTCCCATCATATTATGTGGACCAAACGACTTCAATATACAAAATTACTCTTTTACGTTATTATTATTTAACTTTGTAACGATTTTCAGCGATCGTGCATGAGTTCTACCTCTTCTACGAGGGACTTCTATCTTCTACACTCGTTGACTTTGCTCACATCCCATCCTTATGTATATAAATGTCACACTAAGGAAATTTATTTTTTTAGGATTCTTATTAATTTAACCATGATATTGTGGTACTAAGTGAATTTGAGGTAGTTCTTCAGTTTCAATGTAAATCTTGTGAGAAAATCACGATTTCCTGCAAATTGTGTATTAATTGTTTACCAAAAGTGCCAAGTAAGAAAAAATACACTATAGATCCTATTTCCTAATTTAAAATCCATATTATGAATTTCTGTGCGACACGATCTGTAGCGCTGTAGAGCTCTTTTCAATAGCTCCGACGACAATTGTCAGTGCCACAATATGTCAATAGTGATTGTCGTGAGTTTTTTTTTATTGTAAACAACGTATAATCGTCCGGTGTGATCATCAAGGTGTTGTTTTAATTTTTACCTTCATTTTAAAAACCATGGCAGATTCATCATTAGGGGATATTTCTAAAATGAAGGTTGTAGAGCTACGAAAGGAATTAAAATCACGTGGATTATCGTATGCCGGAGATAAGGCTGAACTTATAGCTAGACTTCAAGCTGCTACGACGCCAGATGAACATGCCGATATAAACCTTGACTCCGACGAACTAGACTCAGAGGGTGTCCTCGACGACGAAGATGAGAAAGCACAGAATGATATTTTGGAAGAAACCGCTGTAGATACGCTGAGCGAGGAATTAGCACTTGTAGATAGGTCACCAGAAAAACCACCTGCAGTTGTAAAGCCGCAGCGAACATTGAAAAGAAAAGTCACGACTGAAAACCAAAAAGAGGATCCTACTGAGAATAAAGAAGGTGGGTCAAAGAAGATAGTATTAAATCGAACTATTTCAATGACATCAAATACATCAAAACCTCCTGAAGAAAAAAAAGAAGCAGAAGAAAAAACTCCAGTAGTTCACTCAGAAAGTAACAAAGTAAAGATAACAGCAGACCTGGACTTGAAAACAAGATTAGAGATGAGAGCAAAGCGCTTTGGTCTCCCTGTTAAAGTTTCAGATGATGTACGAAAGGAAGCTCGCAAACAGCGTTTTGGAAACTCGAATGGGTCTAATGAAGTTACTAAGGTTACAATCCCTGGAACTCTATCTGGCAATCTCGACAAACTTAAGCAAAGGGCAGAAAGATTCGGACAGTCAGTTTCTTCTCTCATGACTGACATTGAGAATAGAGAAAAACTAGAAAAGCGAAAAGCTAAATTTGGGACTGTGAAGTAGTTTGCTATTCTACAAATTTATTTAAATAAGACATGCTTAGGTATAATTATATTAATAAATACTTATTGTAAGTTCTTAATGTGTCAATGGATAAGTTCAACAAATAAAGAAGTAACATATAAAACAAATTTGTCTTTATTAATTGTTTGTCATAAATTACAAAATGGCAGTTCTTTGAGAACCTCAGAATTAAACTGTATATTGGATACTTTATTTTCTAAGTTCTGATTAAATACTTTATGATCTTGAGGTATGTTTATACCAAATTCTATGTCATTTTTTTTATGTAAGATTGCCCATCTTGCAGCAACATCTTTATGGAGTGCTTTTCTAAAACCCATACAGTGCATGTGTGCCAACTTCTCATACTTAATTCTAGTGTATCCCAAGCAAGCTAGTGTATACTGCCAACATTTCATTAATTTAGCATTAGCACCTACATGCTTAGAATCTGGTGTAGTAATAACAAGAAGTCCTTCAGATCTAAGTAATTTGTACGCTGTTTCACATGCCTTCACTCTTAATTCTGAACTGGGCAGGTATTCAAGCAAAAAACAAAATGTAATAATATCAAATGAAGATTCTTGTAATTGGTAAATAATATTATCTTGTATGATATTTTCCATCCCTATATTTACTTTTAAAAAGTCGCATTTCAGTACATGCTCATTAGCTGGGCACAAATCAACAGCAGTAACATCAAATTGACAATAAATCTTAAAGGGGTTGTAACAACTTCCAACATCAAGTAATTTTAGTGGTTGTGAGAATAATTTAAAATTATCCAAAGTAATTTTCAGTTTGTTGCTTATGTCTATGTCTCTTTCTCTGTACTTCATGAGGCCGTCAATATTAAAATACTCATCACATAGTTGAACTGACCAACTAATACGTGAAGAAGCTAAGCTTCCTTCACTGGCGCAGTTTTTTTCCCAATGTGTTGTGGCTAACGTTTTCATATAATTCGCATATATTCGTAAAACGTCCTCATTTTTACAATGCAATGCCCATGCATCATTCGAACCAATTTCAGCAGCGCTCGCTCTTAAATCGGCGTGAACTTTTTTCAAATATTCAGCCAGTTCTTTGTGTTCGTCACTAGCCATCACTATGAACCAGAATTTATTTATGAATAACTTTAATTTAAAGTAATTGATAAAAAATATAAGTTATTTTAGTATCTTATAAAAGATAAATATTATGAAGTGGAAAAAGGCACGTTAATCTAGTCTGATATTATAAATAAATTAAATATTCTGTGGCAACCCTGCGTCACAAATTACAAAGTAGCACTGACAGTCCATTGAAGATCTGTCATTTAACAAATTTTTCATAAAAACAATAAATATTCGCGACTTGCACCGGAGTTTTTAAAACATAGAACTTAACAAGTTTGAACAATAAAAATGGAATGCATGGAGTCAGATCTCCTTATAGAAAAGTGGGTTCAAGAAAACGACTCTACTTTTATGCCTTTACCCGATATAGAATTTGAACCACATCTTCTTATTTCTAAAGTATGTACTTTTATCGTGTAAATAATTTAATGAAGAAATTTATTTATAGTTTCACGTACTTTCAACAGGTAAGAAAACATTACATGGAACATGTTATAAAACTGTTGGCACTAAACTATGAAAATAACCAAAGACTACTAAATAAAAATATTTACTTACCAAGCGCAATTTGGCGATGCGCAAAATTTATAGAGATGACTGCAGCTCAAAGTTCGATGGTAGTTAACTTATATAGAAGGAACATTGCAACTGTGGTATGTGACTCTTAATGGTTGTTATAAAACTCTTAACATATCTTTTTAATTAAAAGATGGCTAACCTGCCTACCTGAGTTAAGTTGTACAGTGTTTTAAATAATTTGTACCCCCAGTGTAATTTATGGACAATCTTATTTTTATTATTTCAAAGAATTAACTTCTTAGCTATGATTATTTTCTATTTAGGCCACCCATAAAAGGCCAGATCCTCATTAGCTGCTATCTATTTCACTCTTTTACTACATTAAACATGTTGTTTTATGAGGTGGGTAATAGTAAAGTTTGATGTATGTACGATATATTTCAGATTAGCCAGATCAAAGCAGATACCAAAAGAGGAAAGTTAAACAGAAAGCTTTTTGAATGTCTTAAACAGCCACCAAAAAATGAGATGAAGACTCAAACAAACTTAATTATGGGGAAAGACTGCACCTGTATTTGTACATGTCATCAAAGAAAAAAAGTAAGAAAGGAGTCTCCTCCTCTTAAAAATTATGGTAATATTACATTAAGTGATCATACCACAAATGATGCAAAAGCTGCAGATATACATATAAATCCCATTGCTAGTACTCAAATCAATAATGCTATGATACGAAAGGAACATCAATCACTATCTCTAGAATCTCATGATGCAGATGAAGTTATGCTTCAGTTAGAAAAACTTTTCGAGGGTGGCTCAAATGATGATGACATATTTGATGGAATGTTTTCTAATACTATTGACATTACATTTGATGACAGTTTTAAGAAACCGCAGAGTGATAATTGTAATGATAACACCACTGTACATGGTAAAGATTTAATAATAGAAAAACACGCTGCCCAACTCAAATCCCTGGATGAGAGGCTGGTTTCACTTTCTGGGATTATAGGGCAAGATACAGCACCTGTTGACAGTACAAAAACTGAAACTCTAACAAACAAAAATAAAAGAATAACTAATAAATGGATATGCGAGGAATACTTTCTAAAGAGGAAACTTTTTGAACTCCTGGACCAGATGAGAGATTGTAACAGAGCAAAACTTATAAGGGTAATATAACTTTTATTTTTTACAATATTTATTACAAAAACCACAAAAATAAAATTGTGGACCCCAATTTTCTAACCCAATTTTGCTGGATAAGCAAACTGAAACAATTATTATAATATTTTACTATTCCTAACTAACACAATGACAGTAACCTTATAAAAGTCAGGCTTTTTTTTATTTGGAGTCAATCAAACTTTGTGATTAGTCCATAAAATTACCATTTTAGTTATGATATCCTTAACAATTACTATTAACTAACGTATTGCAGTTAAAAGAACTACTAATAGATCTATTTGGTGACGATAGCGATGATGAAGGCGTAGTTTCTCCTATAGACGAAAGTCCAGAATTTGTTACCAGCTGCAAAGAGCGCATAGCACCTTGGGTTGTGAAACTATTGACGCCTTATTACATAAAAGGAAGAATTAGAGGCAAGGCGCTGTTTAAGTCACTTGCTAAACATCTTATTAGACTTATATATCAGTGTAGTAAATATCCTGGTAAGTTATCTAATGAATTTGGATCTGATATTTTTATGGACATGAAAATGGTTCTCTGCAGTAGAAGTACTGGTCTTAATAAAAAAAAATATCTATATTTTATATCACCTCATAGACACTTATACAAGAGAAACAAAAACAAATCTTGCAAAAATAGGGAAAACTAATTTATTTAAGAGTTATCATACTTAAAATATTACAAGATGTATTGTTTTCTCTTTTACTTATTTTAACTATAGCCAGTAGATAGTTCTGTGCCATTCCTTAAAAAAAAATTATGATATTACTACAGAATTTGCCCCAGGACTTGTGTTAAATGTAATTAATGAGCTCCTATGTTGATTGCTGCCTTGTATTTACTGATTCTTTAACATTTTATTACAGAGCAATATGAAGTGAAGGACTTTGTACAAGATTTTTTGCATAATCATAAATTGATAAGATGCGAGGCAGATTTCAAAGAATTTAGGATAGAAAATATATAAAAAAACAACATTACAATGTTACACGGCACTACAGCATTTGGAATGTATGTGTAAATAGTGTCGAATGTACAAAAGTTGTTGATTGTATTGTAACTTGTTCCTTACCTATTTGAGATTACTTATGATAACAGATATCAAAATAAAGTTCTTTTTTTTACTGTTTGCGTTTTTTAGCCTCTTGTTCTGAATCATCATTTGATTTCCTTTTACTAGTGAACCAAGCTGTTAATGACTTTTGCGTAGTCTTAGCTATCTCTAGCCTGATCTTTTTATTGCAATCTGCCGATTTATTCCTTGCATTGTTTACCAATGTCGAAACAGGATGCCATTCTAGGATTTTTATGGGTTTTAAATATGCCAATGCCATATCAACATTAACATTATCTATGTCCAACCATGCCTAAAAATAAATATAGAAAGGTATATTTCATAGTTTCAGGCTAATGTAGGTGACTCAATTCAACCTTTATTTATTACAATAACATTAGGCATTTCTTGCATGTATAATATTATATATTCTGTTATAAGGCCAACATCTCAAAGATTCTGGTAATATATATCTAAAACCGTCAGATATTTTTTCCCAAAAACTTTTATCAAAAGTTAAAAAAGGGTTTAAGATAAGTTGAAATAACCCTATCATCACTTTTTCATAATTGTTCTATAAGCAGTCCTTACATCAATTTGTTCCTCACTGTCTAATATAGCTGGCATTCTATGATGTAGCCAACTTAGTGTTTTATTAGACTCCATAGTGATTACTGAATAGGAGTAGATTACTATATTGTTCTCATGCCAAGCATGATATAGCCCAGCCATATGTAGGAGCTTAATTCCCTTCCAGCCTTCCTCTTTGCTAAAATCGTTGGACCAAGTTTCGTGATTGCTTATCTGTAACAAAGTGTAGTTAATGAAATATTAACAATATTAATTTGGAAAATAGAGCTGCTCTAAAAAACTGTACAGTTGTATATAAATGATGTAAAATGCAACTGAATAAGCCTAGGTTTAGTTTTTTTAATACTTACAAAGTAACTCAGTAAGTACTAATATTTCCTTCTACCTTATTGGAATCCTGTTTCATATATATATAGTATGGCTGTTTGCTCTTAGTCTGCTTTGTAGTTTGCCATTCATAAAATCCTTCTGCTATAATAATGCATCTACCTCCACTCATTAATATTGGATTGTATAGCTTCGAATGTCTTACATTTTCTATAAGGCAGTTGTTTGTGCTTAAGTTATGATTTTTATAGTCGCCCTGGAAACATTTAATATAAATACATAATGTGTTTAAAACTTTACTTTCACGAACTTTTTTGTACGTAGAATAGGGTACCTTATGCCATGGCGGGATTATTCCCCACATCATAGGCTTGAGAACTCTGCGAGTTCTTGCATAATTATTATATTTACTAGATGATATCATCACTGGAGTGACATCGGTAGGCGCAATATTACATGACGGTGTGTATTCTTTCCCATTATTGTGTTCATCGAGGTAATCCGGCTTGACGAAGGTATTCGATTGTTTATCTTTGTAACTACAGGCGCAACGTAATTGTTTTTTGTCCAGACATCTAAATATATTAAATCCATGCATAAAAACAATGCTTTTTATGAATGGATATTGTTAAATACTAAAATAATAATAAAAAAAGCTTACAATCCTGTGCGACCACACATTTTGCTGTTTAACTTTTCCCGCCGAAAACATAAAAAATTGTTATTTTATATCTGTAGCGCAAGCGGCCATAATCAAGGAATAATACTTGATTAACTAAAACAATACTCTCTGACAGAAAAGAAAGAGAGAAATTCACATTTAAGAAGTATGTACCTATATTCTTTGATTTTAGTACATTCCTTCGAAACCGTTTTGTCGAAAGACGACAGCGCGATTTACAAAGGTTCCAATGACAGATTGATCTGTCGCTGTCAGTAAAAAATATAGTTATCTATTCAAAGTACTAAGGGCACCTACTCAACTGGTTTGTTTTTGGTGTTGGGAAGTTTGTGAAACATATTTTTGTCATTAATTTCATAAAAAATGGCTGTGCTGTGATTGCAAAGTGTGATAGTTGTAAGGTGAAAAACATGTGGAAATATGTAACACGACGTTTGCGGGACACCCTTGAAAGAAGTGCTAACCATTTTGATAAACGCAGTTCTACCGGAGTTGTTAAATTACCTAGTGGATTGTCTGACGACAATAATAGAAAGATTAATTCACCTTGTTGTTGGTTTACAACTCGTAAGTGCTGGAAATCGTACCAAAACGACAATGGTACGAAGAGAAAAAGAAACTTTGAGCATATCAACAGCTCTTGGCTAGGTGCCATTACTTGGGTATGTCTGGTTTTATTTATAAATATTAGTGTTGTTCATTTATGTATTTTACAGTGATCACATGATTATCTTTTTAATATCACTTGTTATCCTTGCCCTTTCTCTTTTGCTTAAAAAAATGAGTTCATGCAAAACCACTTTACATTATTTGTATTTTAAGAAACATCAAAGCTAAATTCATCCAAACTTATTCCTTGCCATAATACTTATTAAATACTACATCTTTTAAAGAAAATATGTAAGCAGAACTAAGTTTTCCTGCTACCGATTCAGTATGTTAAGTATATATGAAAAATTCCAGAGCAGTGCCTTGGTATTTGGCTGGTATGCAGGACAGATAGTCCACCTTAAGATAAAAAATCAACGCAAGCAGAAGAAATTTGTGCCCACTACAATCAATTCACTTCTTGCTCATTTGAGTTATGCTCAGTACAATCAAAATGTCAAGAAGTTGGATACTATATATGAAATTGAAAATAAAGATACAGCTGCTCCTGTTGTACATTTAATCTCAAATGAGAACAGTGGAGAACAAGAGAATGCTAGTAAAAGCTCGGAAAGCTCCAGCAATGACTTGGGGGAAGTTCTTAATTCTATTGAAAATAGGTTGGGCTTAGCTGCGATTGAGAGTGGTCAACACAAGGATGGCCTTAACTTATTAAGGTATAATAAAAACTATATGCTATGCTATATATATGATACAAAAAGAAGAATAGTTTATCCATATCTGTAATTCAAATAAGTTAGTATTCATAATTTGGGTTGATAAAAATTTAATATTCTAGCCTTTGGTAATTAAAATATTTGTGAAATGTTTTTTTTACTCAAGGTTTAAGTGTTGGGCTGTAACATACATATGTAATTGTTTATTATTTGTACTTTGCAATGTAAAACCATATGCAACTATCGTCCTTAACATGAAAACAATATGGTTTGTGATTGATAGAATATTTTACCTAAGTATATGTAGATAAGACACTTCAAATAAATGTATATTTTAAAATCTTAATAAGAAAAAAAGCCTTTAAACAAATTTTATATGTTATTTTCAGATCAGCTGCAAATAGAAACCACCCTCCAGCACTTTACAATTTAGGCCTGTGCTATGAAATGGGTTTGGGTGTGGATATTGATGAGAAAATTGTAAGTGCAGTTTATTAGTAGTATTAGTTTAGAGGGATATTTCCATACATAATTTTAGTTTGTCACCTAATTTTGGTTGTAGCCAGTAAGTGTTTAGCTTGAATCTTTGTAACTCCATTTGACCGACGTATTTCCTGAATTTTAACACATTTTTTTAAATGCAGGCGATGGAGTTGTATAGATCTGCTGCGGCTTTACAGCACCCTGGTGCACTCTACAATCTGGGTATCTATTATGGCCAAGGCCGTGGAGGACTTGCAAAAGACGTCAGTACAGCAACCCGCCTTTTACGGCTAGCTGCGGTTCAAGGTCAACGGGATGCTATAACAGCTCTTGCAAAACTAGATATTGACATGAAAGAACCAACCTCTCCACATGAGGAGGATCACTGGGAGAAGAAATATAATCCATTAATAGAAAATGGCTGTAATGTGCCAACTCATTCTGCCTTGTTTGTTGGTAGTGTCAAGCCTATATCGAGTTACAATTATGAACCTATTGTTTACTAATTCATTTAGCTTAGACTCACTAATATTTTGTTTGTCAATTATATTAGACATGGAATGTAAATTTAGATGGATAAAACATGACAACTGCTTTTATTATGAGGAAATATTGGCTCATTCCTGTGTGTAATATCATTGACGGTGGTAGAATGTGTTCTCTAGGTTCTTCTTGCACAAAATTTTTATTTTGCATTTACTAATGCTATCGTAATAAAGTGCTGTTTTTATTTTAAGTTCATATTTTTAAGCGATTCCCATGTTTAGCATAAAAGTCCTTGAAAAGGATTTTGTAGTATAGTGAGACGAAAGTTAAAAGTGACACGAGTCAAACTCGAAATCAAAATTTTGTTTACTGAATCTTGGTAAGATAACCTATTAAGACTTTGTGAAAATAGTCTTTTAAATTACTTATCTCTTATATGTATCTCAAGAAGCGGTAATAGTCCTCATTAACTTACAACTAATTTTCAAAATTATGTTTTTGAATTGTAATAACGATTAGTCGTAGTATGTAATAGAATTGTAAGTAAAATTTTCAACATACCTATGTAATTATTTGTGTTTCTACGTAAATATAACGTAAGTTTAATGATCAAATAAAAATAAATTTTCAACAAAACTTCTTTCACTAACCTACCGTGAGAAAAAAATTATCTTGGGACTTCAAATCCATATACTAATGTTACAACAATAAAAACACAGAACTTAATCTCAACAGAAATTTAAATTAGTCAATACCGTTATTGTCGAAATAATAAAAGCATTAATTGACGGCAGATTTTCATTGAAATATATTTTGGAACAATTCGTGGATGGTTAAAAGGAGAAGGTACTCATTTCAAAAAAAATTAAATCAAGTCCGTTAGTAAGATATTTTATTAAATACTTTGCACTACAATGTAATAAAGGTTTGGAGTAGATTTGATGATGCAGTTGTGTGACAGTCAAAGTCTCAAAATTTCATGGAAACCTTGTATTTAATAATTTATTGATTCCCAATGATGAAACCAAGTCATATACTAACCGACTTCAAACAATAAACAAAAAAAAATAACCACCAACCTAAAATATGTTTTTAACTTTAAAAAACATTTAAGCATCTGCTCCGCCATTAAAATTACATTTACTAATATTAGTCATCTCAATTTGGAAAAAAAATGCAACAAGTAAATTTACCTTTTAATCACGCTCAATATACGTGCATAATCGAATGCATTGAAAGATATGACAATAATCTTTATTACTCATATTAATTTTTTAACATTATAATATAATATTTTTTTACATATTATTGTACTGCTGATATACATTGTCCTAATTACACAATTTTATCAAGACTGGTACCGCGTGAAATCCTGAAACAACGAGATAAAGACATTAGTAATTAGGAAATCAACAGAATTACTGGATTGTGATCCTGATGGAATTTCAATCCCATTTAAAATACAGATTTTTAGACAGTACATAGATTTTTTTAACTATATTTACCCGTCTAGTACTTGCGTGCGTACTCCCTGGCACTGGGTGCGTACCGGTCGGGGTATGTGGCTCCGGGCGGAGGGGGTTGGTAGGCGGCCGGGTACCGGGTATCATACGTTGGGTATCGCGTCTCGCTGCTTGTCCATGTGGCGTCGCTGCTCGCACTAGCTGAATCCAACAAAAAATGCAGTTTTCACTAATATTCAAGTGTAAATTCGTCGATTGTACAGCACATGTTGTTGGCAAAGATGAAAACATCTGTCAAGGTTACTCTAACATAAATGAGATAAGGGACGCCTACAATATATTACATATAATAATAAATAAATTACAATAACAATTAAAACAAAAAGCGGGTATTAACGCGTACGTCAAGGTGTACTCTCATAATTATCGTAAATTAAAAACATTTCTTTAATTTGGAATATAAAACTTTTGCATGAAGTGATGTGGTAGTACCCCAGTGTACCGATTTCGCAAATTTTCCTTATTACTTTGTTTATTTTAAGGCAATTTTCATATACTCACGATAATATATATCTTTAATATACCACAACGACCTACATACTACTGTTTACAATGGAAGAACTGAAGAAAACCTTGTTGGATATCTCCGACATGGTGTCTTTGAAAATGGAAGAGTTCAATCAGCGCCTCCAAACGGGGGGGCCCCCCCCCCCCCCCAAAAACAAAAAAAAACAAATCCCCCCCCCTTAGGGGGGGTTTTTGGGGTTTTCCGGGGCTCGGTCCTTTTCTGCCTTCAGAATCTCCAGACGAGGAGGAAATGCGGAATCGACAGAAGTTCTTACTGCTGCATGTTGTAAACGAGAACAAGGAAGAGAGCCCTAGTACAGTTGCTAATATGATAGCTGTACTACTAAAATTGCCTGAGGTAACCGAAACTAGTTTGAGTTGCTGCACCAGGATGGGTTTTAGAAAAAGCAATACTCCTCGTCCTTTACTAATCAAGTTTCATGATGTTGAAGTCAAAAATAAAATCTGGATGGCTAAGACTAATCTCAAAGGCACGGGCATAACTTTATCTGAGTTCCTTACTAAGACACGCCATTTGTTATTCAGCTAGGGAAATATTCGGCGTTTCTAACTGCTGGACTCGAGGTGGCTCCATATTCGCTATTGGGGAAGACAAAGAACGTCGCCGTATCACTTCCTTGACTGATATTGATGACATTTCTAAAGGTAACCCCCCCCTTTGCAAGTGAAGTCTGGTCATGCCACCTCCCGTCATGCGAAACTACATACAAAAAAGGCCCCGTCTAAGACATAACAACCACGGTTTAGTGCTTTTAATTAAGTTCAGCCTGAGTGTATGCTTAGTGCTTAGTGTCGTTAACGAAATAGTTTAGAAGGTAATAGTGTATACATTAATTTAGTAAGCTATTTAAATTGACATATAAATTACAGTTTTGTCTTATTTTTTATACTTTAAGTTATTAATATATTTTGTTTTGTTTAACGGTGCAACTCATTGTAAACAATGTCCTATGACAGTTAACTTAGTATGCGCAGGAGCATGCATAAGTGTTGCCACCGCAAAAATTGTCAACTGGCAGTGAAATGTATAGATTATAACATGACATAGATAATTACACTCTTTGTACTGAAATATCATTACTAGTTATCTTGTAGTTTTTTTTTTGTTCTTTAAGAAGCGTTATTTTTGCTTTATTAACTTTATTTTCGTACCATTCAATGTGTTATTTTTTACTTTTAATTATACCTACTCTGTTTAAAACAATATAGATTATGTTTCTCTCTCGTCTTCCGATGAATGTTCGTTCCATAGCGCCGACTCCTCTACTCTTCTCCCATTAGAAGTAACTCTCTCCTCCCTTTTTGATAACTTGCCAAAAAAAATTAATGCTATTCACATCAACGCGCAAAGCATTCCTGCGCATTACTCAGACCTACTATCTTCGTTTGTTTCAAATAAGGGTTTGTCCATTAATCACGTGACCTTTTTTATATGATTTTTTAAATCCCCCTCCCCCATTGGTGATACGTAGTGAGGTTTAAGACCCCCCCTTCTCAACATCACGTGTATTTTTAGTACCTACAAAGAATCTTAAAATTTTCTGAATATTATCTTAATTTAAATACAGGTATAAACTATAATCTTATTTTATTCTGAAATTAAAGACCATAATAAAAATGTCTACAACATTTGTTTAAAAATAGCGCGTTTGACGAAAAAATAAATACACGAGATATCTTACTACACCCTCCTTCCCTCCTTGTGTTATTTTCGTGATTTTTATCAAACCCCTCCCTTTCAAGCGTCACGTGATTAATGGACAACCCCTAACATCCATGCTGTATGTGTTTCTGAAACATGGCTTAATCCCTCTCTTCTCTCTCGTAATTTTTCTCTTCCTGGGTTTAACTTAATCCGAAATGACAGAGTTGGTATGCGCGGTTGTGGTGTGGCTATCTACTTGCGATCGCACATCCCTTTTACAATCGTTAGCCAATCACCCCAGCCGCCTCCATCGAATGCGGCTGAACATTTACTTGCAGAAATCCATCTTGCTAAAACTAAAACACTGCTCGGGGTCTTTTATTCGCCTTCAATGTCGGTTGATTACTTTGCAAGTTTCGAAAGTACTCTTGAGAGATTTGTTCCTTTGTATAATAACACATTACTCATGGGTGATTTGAATACTTGCCTTATCAAAGACGACCATCGATCAAAGAAACTGCTTTCGATTTGTAACTCATTCAATCTTCATAATTTACCTCTCAGTGCGACTCATCTTTCACCTGGTTGCAATCCCTCCTTACTTGATTTAATTTTTTACTTCCTCTCCTCACCTTATCCACAAACATGGTCACGTTCCCGCCGTTGCCTTCTCCCTTCACGATCTCGTGTTCACTTCCTTAAATATGTGTCCATCGAAACCTAAAACGCCTATTGTTCTTCGTTGCAACCTCGGCGGAATTGATCCTCAAGCGTTATACACTGATGCTTCATTGATTGATTGGAGTGGCGTGTATTCATCAGAGTCTTTGGACGCGAAGGTTGATTTGCTCAACGACGCTATCACCTGTCTTTAGGACAAACACGCACCATTGAGGCCCGTTAAGTTGAGACATTTACCTGCATTGCCCTGCCGTGGCTTACCAAAGACATCAAAATTCTAATTAATAAAAAAAATAGAGCTAAGGCTAAGATGAGAGCGGCTAAATCTGCAACTGAACGTGATGCTTACAAGAAAGTGCGTAATCGGTGCAACACTCAGTGTCGTGATGCCCAAAGACGCCATATTCACGAATCTGTGGGCAACGGCGATACATCCAAGACCTGGAAGTTCCTAAAGCGCCTGGGTGTAGGCAAACCCTCTCAAACTGTTATTCCCTCCTCTTTTGATTTAAACAGTTTGAATTCCAATTTTACCTCTTCCTCTATCCCTAAAGGCTTTAATTTAGATTATTCTTTGCAAAATATATCATCTCTGCCTATTCCTGATTTTGTTCCTTTTTCTCTTACTTCAGTTACAGAAAAAAATTTTGTGAGGGGCATTTTGTCAATCTTATCAAATGCTGTTGGCTGCGACTTGTTTTTTCTTGCTATGATCTTACCCATTCTCCCAATCATCCTTCCTATCCTTGCCCATATATTTAATTATTCTATCTCCTGCAGTACATTTCCCAATGCCTGGAAATCCGGTTTGGTTGTCCCTATTCCCAAAAAGTCGAATCCTACCGATTTCTCTGACTTCCGCCCCATTACTATCCTCCCCTTTTTCTCAAAAGTTTTTGAACGTATTGTCCACCAGCATCTTAGCGAATTCCTTAATAAGAACTCTATCCTTAATCCACTGCAGTCTGGTTTCCGTCCCGGTCATAGCGTCTACTACTCTCGTAAAGGTGGCCGACGATATCCGCCAGGGTATGGATGGTAGGCAGTTAACTGTATTAACATTATTAGATTTTAGCATCGCTTTTAATGCTGTTAATTTTGAGCTTCTACTTGGCCTTCTCCTTTCTATTAACATTTCTCCATCTTCAATAAACTGCTTTTCGAGTTATCTTTACGGTCGTCGCCAACGTATCAACGGGGGGGGGGGGGGGGGGCGGGGTGGAAGAATTCGTTTTGTTAAGGGGATAATATTTTTTTTTTGGGAAAAAAAAAGGGGCCGTAATTTTCCCCCAAAAAAAAAAAGGGGGGGGGCCCCCCCCCTTCTCCCCTTGGGGGTTTTTCCTAACCACTCTCTCACTTCTATCACTTGTTCGCTTATGATCTTCAAATTTATTCCCAATCTTCACTCGAAGATCTTCCTCTTACTATCCAGGCGACAAATGATGATCTTCGTAAAATAGAAGAGTGGTGTAAAGTTTTTGGCCTCAAAATCAATCCTTTGAAAAGCCAAATCATTGTTATAGGAATTTCTTATTTTATCTCGAGAGTGGATTGGGCACAGTTGCCTTCGCCTACCTTGCACATCTCATTTTCTTAACGTTTCATAAGTTTAAGTTGCCTGGAAGAGATCGCTTGTTAGCGATAAGACCGCCCATTGCTCTCCATTCTAGTATATAGGTTTAATTTGTAATATTTTTATTTTTTGTGTAACCTATTGTTTATAAAAAAATAATTCATTGTATGTTTTGAACTATACAAATAATATTGTTAAGTTAAATTAGTTACTGCTTAAGGAAATGTAAAACAATGTGGTTACTCAGATAACACAATATAACAAGAACAGAAAAGTATAAAGGAAAAAAAAAACAATTTTTTTCTTAGCTCCACACAAAGTAGTGCGTATATTATTTTACCTAATGTGTAAGGTTACCTTTGGAGGGTGCAGTTCCATCAGGATACCGCGTTGTGGTATTCCAGTTGCGTGCTTCGGGCTTCGCGGGTGGCGACGGCCTATACTGTCGGCTTTCACGCGATTCGTACGTACGGCTGAAAAATGCATGTGTTTCATGTAAAGCCTGTATGTGCCTTATGTATTCTTGTTTATCTTATTTTACAAAAGAAAAACTTCCGAATTGTTTATCACTGTTAAATTGTGTATTGTGTCTTAAAAATAGATTCTATTAGCTGAAAATATATCTAACCTAGGCTCCTTTGGCCTTGATCCTGGTGGCATCTGTTGCCTCGAATCATCATTTGATGTTCCATTGCTTGGATATTTCATGCTACTAGCTGAAAATACAATTTGATCACATTTACAAAGAATCTCAGAAACAATATAATCACATTTTAAAATATATTTTATGATACGTAAACTACGTTAAAACTAGCAGCAAGGTACATAGACTATATTAAATGTATACTAACATGATACATGTCTAGGATAATCCCGTTTATAATCACGATCTCTGTCGCGCTTGTCACTCCGCTCGTAATTGGACGACATGTCGAAGCGAGGAGGGGGCGGAGCCTCAAACTGGCTACTGCGTGATGGCTGTAATAAAGAAAACTGTATAATTTATGCGCAAAGGAAAGAGTATATAATTATTTTGAATATAGGTACATGTAATCAATCATTATTGTTAGATTAATGTCTTTATCGTAAAATATAACTAAATACATTAATATTATCTTACATGTGTTGCACTGAATGTTAAACCTCCTAAGAAAATTAGATTCAATCCTCATATAGAGTAGTGTACCACTTATAGTCAAAGTACTATCTAATTACATTTCAAGTAAATGCTCAAAGTGTGTGAGCACCTGTACTAGTTATTATCTTACAATTACATCCTTAAAAGTCGGCGGTGGTGGGCGTTTATGTCTGCTTTCGTAAGCCGGCTCCGGTGGTGATCCCGCTTTACGATAACTGCTGCTCTCATAGCCTCGCTTTCGACGCTCTTCTTCTAATCTGAAAAAAAAAACGAAATTAATCATGATATAATTTTCTTGTTTGCAAAGTCAATTTCTTTTTCGTACATGGACAATAATTTGGGTTATATAATATAGGTATATATACACAACAAACCTTAGTTGCTCCCTCTTCAGTTCAAGTCTCTCTAGTTCGAGTTTCTCTCGCTCTAACCTATGTCTTTCTCGTTCTAAACGCAGCAGCTCATTCTTTTCTCGTTCAATTTTCTCCCTGGAAGAAGTACATATTGTGAGCAACATTTTATAATTTTAACATTTAGAGATGTATAAAGTGAAATCTTGTTTCTTCCTGCTAAATAACTAAAATATGCTGAAAGTGGTTAGATAGCATGTACAGACCTCTCAGCGCGTAGTTTCTCCCGCTCGATTGCGAGCCGTCTCTTTTCCTCGCGTTGCCTTCTCTCTCTCTCGCGCAAGGCGTCTTCAGCCGCGCGCCGTCTCCTTTCTTCTTCGCGCGCAGCCCGCGACCGTTCTCGGGCGCGTGCATCGTCACGCTCCTTCTATTGTTGTAATTAAATTTATTTATTCTAATATTTATAAATAACGATTTATTAATGTATTATAAAATAACATTTCTGAATATAACAAATTTGATGTTAATAACTAATGATAACTTGCCCAAATCTTGGAAAATGATAGGATTTCTTTAGGCGATCTCCTACGTTCTCGACTTCTCGTACTCCGTTTAGGTCTTTCCTGTAAGGATTTGTTTAATTAAATACGTATAACATAAGCCAGTGAAAAAAGACGTTAAATAATTGGTATAGCGCAGCTAACCTTTTCAGAACGTTGCGATTTCTCCCGTGTACGTGATGTGGACCGATTGCTCTCGTCACCAGACAACTCTCCTTCCCTTTTTTGCTTATTTTCCTTCTCTTTGTCGCCCTCTTTGGACTCCTGGTGCAGGTAGAAAAACAATAAAGAAATGAAACCTTTTTCATGACTTTTTTATTCTTGCATTCAATTGAGAGGTAAAATATGAAATACTAACCACATGTATGCTCACATTATACATAACAATGTCATTATAAAACGCGCCAGGTTAAACAGCGTGTTGCATATAATTAGATTACATCGGTTACGATTCCCGGAGAAAACATGACATGTGTTTTAATCAATTCAATACTTGATTTAAAAATCGAAAAGTAAATTGAAAAAATTTTCGATTCGGGCAGGACTTGAACCGGCATCGTCAGCTTTCCGTGCTGTTGCTCTACCATTTGAGTTACCGAGTCCTACACCTCATCGTCGAATTTTTTCAACTTATTGATACATGCACCTCTCGCGCAATGTAATTTCAACCTTAACACTTGCGTATTAAGGTTCAATGTCTTATGCTTTGCAGCTTGAGAATCATTGAAGATGAAATTACAAAGTTATAACGTTTGAATATAAAAAAAAAATTCAATTTATTTTCGATCTTTAAATCATATAGTGCCTTCATGTGCAATAACATGTGAAAAATATTAATGTTTTCAAACGTTATAACTTTGTAATTTCATCTTCAATGATGAACCTTAATACTCAAGTGTTAAGGTTGAAATTTCAATTCAATACTTTTTAATTAATGCTTAGAATAAAAATTTAGTACGTTGTTACCATAACACATACGTTGTATATACAGTTTTTTTGTATTTTTTTCTCTTTATACAAAATTAGGCAATTTTGAAGAAATTCACTTACTATTATTATACTTTACTTTATATAATAAATATTAATTTAAATAACCACATACGTTATATAAATGGGGGTAATAGCATTTTTTTATCAATGGGTTTATTTTGCGTTCTTCTAAATCTAGTCCATAATATTTTCTTAGATTGTATATTTTTTATTAAATGTGATAATCACCTCATTCTCTTTTGGCTCCTCTTTGCGTTCCTTACTCAGTCGTCTTTCAGAGCGTGAGCCAGACGCTTGCCGTCGTGATGCAGAATCAGACTCGGATTTAGCTTTCTCCACCGATATCATGCGACCGTGTAGTTCTATAAATGATAAATTCAATCTAACACCAGCACCAGTGACATTTAAAGTTTCTAATACCAGCATTTAATTTTTTTGTTTAAATTTAAAAGACATATTTAAAGTTTTTAATACTAAAATTTATTTATTTTTTTAATTTAGAAGGTTTCTTTTTTTTTTTTGAATTTAGAAGACATATTATACTATAAATCTTTAGGAGTTATAGTAATTGCATAATTTTTAATAAGGTTACCTGTCCTGTGTAAATTTTTAATACAGTTCTCAGCGTCTTGAGGACTAGCCATTGTAACGTAACCATAGCAACGAGATCCCGGGGTGCGTGCGTTGGTCACAACTTTAGCTCCAATTACCTTAATAGAAAGCAATTTCATTTTGTAAAGACATAGAAATACAAACTCAATTTATATACCAAAATTTACACATTATACATTATGGATATAACAGGCATATTATATTTCTGTACATTAAGCTAACCTTTCTACAATTTTATTTATTTATTTTTTTATTTATTATAAAAACAATTAAAACGGCGATAGCCACTTACATTAATTGGATAGAAGTACACAATAGAATTACACTTAACAATACAGTATGCATCAATTACATTAGGACAAAATTTGAAAATCAGACAATTCTCTCAGTATTGATGACCATTGATCTGCGAAAAGATCACATTTGGGTCTTAACTTAAGGAGAGCGTTGAGTGAGGTTAAAATTCGTGGTATCGGCGAAAACGCGCGAGCAGAGGTGCGACCTCTCGGGACGTCAAAGAGATCGTGTCTTCTAGCGCGGCCATAGTTGTTCGGTACAAACAGTCGACAGAAGGCTTCCCTCAAATAAGGATCATCGATTTGATTTCGAAACAACTTACAAGCTACAACTAATTGCCCACGAGATCTGCGACTTTCAAGAGAATTAAAGCCAAGCTGTCCTAATAAAAACAAGGTTGGATACAAGTAGGGGTAAAAACCATATTGGTGTTTGTAAAGGAACCGCAGAAAGGCTTTTTGGATCTTCTCAAGCATGAGTATATATTTGTAGTAAGTCTCTGATTAAGTAGTAAAATTCTTATTTGAGCATCTACTTTAAATTTGAATACGTTATGCAATTTCAATAGATATTCAGTATTTGGCATAGTAACACCCAAGCAAATAACATGCTGCTATTACAAGAACAACAGAACTTAGACAGGCAGAGAATACTATAATTTAATATGCAAGGAAATATACCTTTCCATGCTTGCTGCAAAGTTGCTTCAAGTCCTTAGCGCGCGTGTCCCCAGATAGTCCACTAACCCACAAATTCCTTGCGCCGCCTTCTTTTGAGTCATCTTTTTTATCTTTCTTTTCATTTTCACCATCTTTGTCTTTATCATCTGAAATTAAAAAATTATTGTCTTAAAAAGTTCCATGTTAGCATTTGACTTAGGCATTCTTTATATTGGCATTTAAATAAAGGTATAAAAATAATTGTTACCTTTACTATCTTTCTCATCAATATCACCATTATTAGTGCTGAAAGGAAATGTTCAAATTAATATTTGTTTAAAGACAGAACTACACATTACAGGCAGCAAAAATTACAATGTTGTTTTTAAATCTCTATCTATCAATCAGTCACACATTCATCTACAAAGTTTTGCACCAATACTCCACCCCAACTGTGACTCAGCTTCTTGAACTCAGATGTACTGGAACTTGATTACGCCAATCGCTTCTTTGATGAATGAAAATGTCTTGAGAATCCCACGGTGTCCAAATTTCTTCATGTTGATCTTGAAATGATGACCGGTACAGCTTTGACGTTCTGGACTCAAGCACAAGAAAGGAACATTCTTCTTTGTGTGGTGCAAAACTTTGTAGTGATTACAATGATTCAAGTATTGAAGGATAAAGGTGCTCAAGAACTTCGTCGCGACGGTCTGTCGGCGTTCACCAACCTAGTGGCAGCGGCATCGGTGGTTACTTGCTGGTTTTCAGTTGATGCAGCAGTGTCTGTCGCAGCATCTTCGTGAGGCGTAGACTCGGTGTCTGGTGGCGCCGCCTCCTCCAGTGCTGCCTCATCTACGTCATCAACAGTTAGATCAGCAAAGGTCGCTCGCGTGAGCGGCCTGCGCTGTATTTTTTCCGTTATTTCCCGTATCGAGAAATAAACAGCTATACTTGTCCTCGAATACACACTAAACACCTCATGTAATTTTCACCTGAAAACTTGATTTGATATTAACACCATTGCCTGGATATGTGGAGTTAAATGGCTCGTATTCTACGCCCACGGCGCTAGCAGATAATGATGTATCCCCAAAGAATAGAAATATTAAGAATTTCTCAAACAGATAGTCTGTATGGTGGATATGGCGCATGTTTCACTTAAATGTAGGTGACAAAGGCTCGAAGTACTGCATTCTTCTCTTTTTTAAGAAATCTTTCACATCCTTGTGTTGCATCATTTGCTGTATCAATAAGCACCATAATAAATGTCCACTTCCTTAATGACTCCTTTACAGCAACACTTCACAATTAGAATGTAATATTTCACAATATTATTACTATATGTACAGAATAAAAAAGTTAGTATACAGCAATAATTTGTTTTTTAGATGTGATATTTACAAAGATGTTTATTTTAGTTAACCAGTTTGAGAGTAGTATATACACTTACCTTTTTTACTTTTAGTTGTATTATCAGTCTGCAAGAAAAAAAGGCACAATTAAATAGTGTTACTTGGCATGTTAAAGATCTCACACAATGTTAGAGTTCAGTGATCATTAAAATAAAAATGTCACATCACAATAGATTTTATTAACTGTCTAGTTCGCCTTACAATTTAATCTACTTCCATCATACTATAACCGTTTGATACTTTTGTCTTGACAGAGGGCAGTGTAAAATTCACCTTGAAGACATAGAAACATACCTCTTCATTGAGCAATTCATCTTCTCCAAGATCTAAATTTATGCTATCTTCAGCATCTGTGTTGTTCTCGCCTTTCTGGTCATCCTCTAGTTTGTCATCAGTATCAAGACATTGTTTCTTAGCTTCAGGAGCTTCTGAATTATCTTTGCTCTCTCGTTTACGACTCATTTTACTCTCATCCACATCCATACTTTCTTCAGATTTATTGCTCTGCGTTTGCTCAGTTTTTTCCTTCACGTTGTCGTCACCGGTAGTGTCCTGAACGATCATATCATCTATAACTGGCTCCTCACTTTCTTCAACCACAGTGCTTTCGGATCTTCTAGTTTTTTTTACTGGCGTCTTTACACCTACGTCGAATTTATATGTTCCAGGATCGTGTCCCTCTTCTTCCAAATGCTGAAACATCACGTCATTATCAGATGTTTATATATGTTAAACATTCGCTGTATCTACGAAAAAATACTTATTCATCAGAACACTACCTTGAATAACCGATTTATAAGCACGCTTCGTATGCCGCTCTTATCTAGGTTACGCTTTTCCAATTCTGCTCGCAAATCTATAACTCGAAGCTCTTCCAACAACTTAGTTCCATCTGACATGGTTTCTTTTTCAGTAATATACTTTATATATAGACAAGCACCGAAAATTAAATAAAAATCTCCCGTCCCAACTTTACGCGTAAATTAGTGAATTCAGTAACGTGAAATCAATAACAAGATGGCCACCCGACACGATAAAACCATAGTATATACCAATATAGTTTAAAGGGATTATTATTATTTTCAAAAATCTATGTTTTATGGTAGGGTAGTCGCTGTCTTAGTGTCTTCACTATAGTCTGTGTTCATCACCTGACTTTGACTTAGGTCTTAGGGTTAAGACAGAATTTTGTAATGATAGTGCAGTAAAATATAATAATAATATTTATAAAATATAAATAGAGTTAATTTAATAAAATAGTATATAAGTTCTTTTAAATACATCTAAAACATTTACTGTCAGAGATGACTGTCGGTGAGTACAACAAAAGTAAGCCTGGAAATGAATATTATTGATTTATATGTTTTGGTAATTAATCTATGTATTTGTTGTAGAAGATACCAATATTTGTGACCTAGAAACCGCTAACGATCTTTTAGATCGGCTTACATTACGCCAATTACACTTAATGGAGGAGAAAATGTGTCGTGAATTGAACATAGAATCCACTATAAATAATGGATGTTTTCACTTAGCAAAGTCTCGTTATATTATGGGTCAGACTTCAGTTAGCAAGGAACGCCTACCCACGGAGTCTAGTATAGAATTTTCAGCTTCGACTATGTGCGAAACAGTTGAAGAAGCTGGTGAAACAAAATTAAAGATAGTAGAAAACGATAAGGATACAGTCAACCCTATGCATTGGTTTGGTATTCTTGTTCCACAGAATTTACATAAAGCAAGAAATATTTTTCAAAATGCTCTAAATTTTGTTGTGGAGTGTGCTAATATTCAGATTCAGTTGCTTGAGAATTTCAAAAACATTAATGTTTTGAGGAAATACAAGCACCACTTAAAATCCGTTGAATGAATTACAGAGCATAGATGTTCAAAATTTTACACATAAGTATTGTAAGTCGAAGATCGCAAAACAGTACATAAATATGTATTAACATGATAAAGTTACATAAACAATTTGTCTTTTACTACAATTATATATATTGAGGTATAGGATCATAAATAAATATTGATCCACTAACTGACACATTGAATAAAATCTGTTAAAAATATGATCCTTCAAATACATTTTAACATAAACAGTATAAGCTCTACTGTGAAAAATTACAGGACATCAAAAACTTTTGTAGCATTGCTGTAGAAACAACATTGCAAGAATTGTGTTTTTTTTTAATTTCTACTTTTTAATTTACAACTCTAGATATCTTTGTATAACCTCATATAATCCTCTTGAAATATGTTGCAAATAAAAGATTTCTGTAATAAAAATGATTTAATGACTTACATTACATCTAGTAATAATTTACACTTAAAATATAATCAAACAAGGAACATTATTAATTTATTCTTATTGTAAATTACACTGTTATTATTAAATAAAGTTTAAAATGCAAACTATACAAATTTTAATTTAATAATTGTGCTAAAATTTACATTATTTCTGCAATCTTGTGCTCATTTGAAATTGGCGCCATGACTAGACACATTGAGCTGTTTATTAATGCGTGGATGTGAAATATTATTAAAATAGACAAAAATCCTTTAAAAGGTAAAGTATAAATACAAAACTAATGCGTCGCCTAACGACGACATTAGTTTTGTATTTATACTAACATTTATGGCAACACTGGTTAATAAATGAATAGACCATTTCATTTTGGACCGAATCATCTAAGAATACCAAATTAAAATGTATGTATTAAATAAAATGTAAGGAATGTTCTCGAAGATTTTGAGGCCCACTGACAAATAAATATTTTAGACGTTTATAGATATATGTGTCTTTGGTCTTATTATTTCTTTAGTTGTTGGTTGTACCTATACTTCTTAGTTTTAGGATATAATCAGCATAAGTGAACCTATAACAATTAAGTACTTTTATAAATGCACACCATTATAAAATTAACAAACAACAATGCGTAAAAAAACATTACAAATTCAAACCGCAAGTAAAAAACTAATGTAAGTGTCTTTGTAAATTACCGTAATAACAATTATATAAACTGTTTACAACGGATAAATGGTATGTTATATCTTATATAACAAAATAGCAATAGTAGAAAATGAAAACTTCGTAAAAAAATTACCAAAATTTAACAAAAAAAAAAACATTTTTTATAATCAGTATAACACCCCCCTACACGAACATGTGTGTAGGTCATATAATAAATTTCATTGAAATAGTTACAAAATCATTTTATGCTTATGTATAATACAACGTTATATATTATAACACTATAGATTTAACGTTCATTAACGCTTCAAGTTCTAAATCCGTTTTAAGTAGATTTTCCTAAAATCTTGGCCATACAAGCATACATCAACATCGATCACTAATTCGTTTGAAATTGCACTTTAAAATAATTTTCATTTTGTTTATACGTATATCTCTAATTTAATGGACGAGGATGCTACACCATTCTGGTAACACATTTATTGGCTCTACGAAGCGAGACTAAATATTAAAGCGCCGTTGTGCTTCACTATTGTTAGTATCCATTCGCAGAGCCTATGACACAAGCGAAGCACATTCATCAACAACTACATCCTCCGTTACATAGATCTCAGTCAGAATCAATGTTTTTAAGCGCCAGCGCTGTCCCGCTGCGTGGAGGAGAAATATAGCTATGTAAATTTAAAATGAGGGTAGTCCGAGGTTAGCCGTTGTCGCGTGAGTCGCGTACCGTCGTTCGCCAATCGCCGCGCGTGCAGGTCGCGTCTCGCCACCAAGCTTGAACGTCCGTGTAATGTGCGTTTCGCTGCCGCCGAGCATTCGCGTGCACCATGGCGCAGACTCGGCAAAAGAAGTAGGTATTTATAAACTCGCCAGTGCCCTGAAAGTAATAGCCCGTATATATTGTATTGTTCTGAGATCATCAAACACAATTACATCAACATCTTTATCATCATACAAGCACAATTATTACCATCTGTGTTTATAAGGAGCGATTATTTTCAACATTCATTTTCAATTCGATTGATAGAGCACAGCATAGTAAACTTTGGGCTGCATAATTTACACCAACAATTATAGGGGTTATTCTTTTCTGTCAGTCCTATTCTCTCAATCGATCGTCGTTAATTTCAATACAGATTTTTTTTACTCTAATACGTTTTACCTTCCATTTGAAATACGAATTGTAAAGCGTATCGTCTTCATCCAGCCGATGTAGGTAGGTGGCCAATTCCTCAGGATTGGCGAACTCTTCCACGTGCACGTATGAATTGTGCGGCGCGACCGCAGCGTATTCAGGTGGCCTTGCGCCCATTACAATTGGAAGCACGTCGTGTCTGCAAATTTTTGGATAATATGGTTTATGTGTGCTAGTATATGGACAGACGAGCATGGGGTTCCCTTGATGGTATAGAAAATACGCCAACCTATTTTGGCTGTGGACTTAGTGAGGATCGAGCCCACGGCACGTCGATTATAAGCTATGCGAGTATACGCGTATCTAGACCGGACAATGTATCGTACATACAAGTTAGTGATAAATACGAACATTTTCTAAGATATAAATAATATTTTCTGCCACTGACCTTTTCTTTTATACGTCCATTTTATTACATTCGTACATTTTGCAACAGACCATTTTGCACATACCATACGTAACTTCAGTTATTACCTCGATACAAATCATACTTCGTTTATAAGTCAGCTTCTAACATAACTTAGGTAATCTATTTTTGTCTTACAAATCCTGAAAACAGCGCGCGCGCAGAGGCCATTAGCAATATATACAGATACAAGGTAACAGCTTGTTTTGGCAGACAATCGTTTGTTTGGTTTACATTTAGTTATGGGTTTCGTTTCCTCCTGACATGCATACCTAATATATTGAGATCGAAAAGTATTTTATGTATATGTACATGTACTATATTTTTTCATTACAGATACTTAGTTTAAATTCAATAACAAATTACATACATAATCCTAACATATAAAAATCGATTCTCTTTGGTAGGATAGCAATGGCAACGGGTATTTTTCTAATCAATTAATATATATTTTTTTGGTGTTGAACTTACTCTGGAAATTTGGATCTTTAACGTGTGGTCACGAACTACCGCCGACAGTTGAAAAAGCTGTTATGTTTAATCATGATTCGATTTCAGTCTGTTGATTTTCAAATATCCAAAGCCGAAATAATTTATATGTTATATGGCACCTTCCATTAAGTTGACCCCATGCTTGGCTGTCCTCTTCTATCAAAAAAGGCTTTTCTATTTTATTGTAAGTACCACGACTAATGTATTCGATTGACGTTTTTTGTGACATTAAAAAAATCATTTTTTGAGCAAGCCGGCTAGCGTAGTACTAATACACAGAGTATTGTTTGTTGTGCACTTTTTTTAGTTGCTGCGCGTTCGAATTGTTAGAAAACTCATCGCCATAAAGAACTTCAAAAGTTGAAATGAATATTCTTATTGACATATAAGTAAATACTTACTGCAACCCGTTGACAAAAAACTTCTCAGTCACGTAGTCCCGACAGTTGGAGTTTTCAAAGGCGAGGTAGAACTTGTACTCCTTGTCCAGCATTTCGAGGCAGTTGGGATCTGTTCGGGGACAGTGGTGCGGGCCACACGCGCCGTAGATGTCCACGGGGATATATTTGGCAAGTTGTCGCGCGTACTGGAGCCGACGGTTGCGCGCGTGACAGTTTGACACGAACCAGGCGACCTGTATGAATTTGAATTTTATACAATATGTTCTATAGGCTATGAGTTAAGATAAGTTTAAGTTAGATATATATTTCTTTTCTCCTGTACTTCAGGTTGCCTGGAAAAGAGCGCTGCTTTGAGCGATAAGACCGCCTCTTCTTTATAAGTTTTTATCTCTTGTATTTTCTTATTTCTACATGCAAAGGTTGCATAGAAGAAACCCACACAAGGCCGCCTTTGCACAAACATGTTTTATTTTGTACATATTATAATTCTAAGTATCTATATTCTTATGTCTATGTTTGTGCAATAAAGAGTTTTTTATTATTATTATTATTTCTGTGGTATGTATTATGAATAATAAAGCTGTGATAAATAAAATAAATATTGTAAAACAACACTCAACGTCCATAAAAGTTTAATTCAGTATAAGTTTTGTGATCGATTCAATCATTTATTAATTTGAACCTCTTTAAATCTAAAGCAAATCATCTTGATATCCCGACAGCTTGCAACGTCAACTACATACTTAAAAAAGACGGCTAAATATTTTCTAAAATCTAATATAAGTAAAAATTCTCGTGTCATGGTGTTCGAACTTGAACTCCTCCGAAACGGCTCGACTGATTGTCACCAAATTTGATATGTGTATTCAGTAGGTCTGAGAATAGGACAACATCTATGTTTCATCCCCCTAAGCGATAAGGGTTGTTCACCCGTAAATTTTATTTTTTAAACAAAATTTTTAATTTATATTTTTTTTATGATACAACATAATACATACAATCCTTAATTTTCACCCTTCTAAGATCAACCCTTATCTTTTAATAGACATTTTAGTAAAATTATTTATATGGCAAAACAACGTTTGCCGGCTCAGCTAGTAATTATGTAAAATTGATGAAACATAGTTTCTACGCTTGGAATCGATAGTGTTAAGTTTGATTAAATTTTCTTCGCCAACTTTATATGAAATTTTGTTAATTTATAACAGGATTTTCTTCTGTGTTAAAGTTACATTTGATGATTTCAATGTGTTGGAAGGACTCACTTTCTTTGTCTTATTCGCAGCGTAATTCCGTTCTAGTTCCTTCTCTGTGACCACCGGGTCGTGGTAGACCCATTTCTCGTAGGGCGCTACGATGTCGGAGTCGCGACGGTACGTAGCTGTCCAGTTGAACACGTCAATGGACGTCGGACGTAAGGACGCGGTGTGGTACGGACACTCCAGATAGTACAAAATCCAGATCTGTAATTTATATTGTGTCATATTGAATAATTATTAAACCGCCTCCGTGGCTCAAGGCTCGTGGTTGAAGGGAACAGTTAACAGCGGCTACATTATACAAATATGTATATAAAAAATTAATCATCATCAGGAGATGTTAGCTCCTCGATTGCTCGAAGAACTATGATGCCGTCCGCTCGTGATGGCAAAACATCGACAGCCTCTTCTCGTTTACGTCGGCCGAACAGCCGAACAGTGATATGCTGAACGATGGCTGTTAAAGCCTTACACAATTTATTATTTATGTTCTGTAGAAATATGTATATTATGTAGTGGGTATGGAAAAGAATTAATTCATATGTTAATAATCGCGTTTATTGCCATTCAGCCCGTAAAGAAGTTATGTTTCTAATCCTATCAATATAGTCTTATCGAAAATAATCTTTATTTCCTGCCTAATCGATAAAGGTCATTAACTTATCAAACCATTGAATATAACATCTAAATAACTAAAATGACCCCTTTAGTACTCGACGCCAAAATAATTAACAGATTCCAATAAAAATATTATCAATGATACCAATCTTTTCGAATAGGTATATATTTCGAATAGACATGACTGATAAAAACAAAATTGATTATCATAGCATATGGCCAAACAAAATCCGTGATTTCAAAAGTGATTAAAAATACTTACTTTTCTTTAAAGGTAATATTATTTTAACGGAGAAGGGAATCGAACCTGGTAGCACTGGTCACGAAACAGATAGCAGATTCTGTGTTGCTTCTGTGTAGGTTTATCTTGGTCAAAATTGCACTATTATATCTTATCACTTGTAATCGGCTGTAATCTCTCCTCACCTATAGGTACTATCAGTAGTTTGGTAATTTTGGACAACATAACAATTTAATACCTCATATTTTTATCAATACTACCTAATATTCCTATTACCAAATTAGTTAGGTAAGTAATACCACTACTGTAAGTACTGCATAACTCTCAAAGGTCCTGGATTCGGTTCACAGTAAAACAGCTTTTGGTCTAGTACGATGCAATTCTGAATAATTACTATAAGAAAGATCGATCAGTGAAATGGGAACGTATTCAAAGGAGAATTGGAATTTCACTTTGACACTATCTAATGTGCGATAGACGGCGTACGGCGTACGGTATCATTGTTCCGTCGCAGAGCTAACTTACCCCCTTTTGTCAATGAGAATTTTGAATCTTTGCACGTAGTACATCTTAGGCAATGTAATTTCGAAAACACTAAGGTTCAATGTACAATGTTTAAAAAAATACAATTGAGGTGTCGGTTAAAGTTCAACCGTTAAACAATAATAGATTTTAATATATTATTAATTTCATCAATTTATATAAATTAATTTCTTATTGATGATTATAGCTGTGCTCGTAAAATCCGTAAAGATAGACAGACATTGTCTTGGACATTGTTCTAGATCATTAAAATATGAATCATTATTTATTACATATTGTTTTTGATTTCTTAAACCTTTTTCGTAGCGCTCAACGAAAGCCCTTAATGGTGGATAAATTTCCCTTTCTTTTTTTTTTTGTTTCTAGGCTCCTATTGGTTGCCGCCACATGTTTGCCTAAAACCTTCCTCGATAAATGGTTCAACATAAAGTTTGAATTCTAAACAGTAGCGCCTAAAATTAGCGTGTTCAAACAAACAAACTCTTCAGCCTATAATATTAGTCTAGATTTGAAAATTCACTCTTGCGCACTAACTATTGATAGAACTAGTGATAGATTAAAAAAAATATATATTTCATTCTAAGTACTATGAATAACCCCTTACCTGGCTTGGTGGCCGCTTAATATTGTACGGCGTGTGATGATCTTTAAACAGGATCGCGTCAGCTGTGGCCGCTTCTCTCGAGTCCGCTGTCAGGGTGCATCTGTCTACTGGACACTTGTTTCTGATGAACTCCGTCCGGCCTCCCGACACTCCCCACGTGCCTAGACCATTAGCCAGCAGAATCTTTTTCATTGGCACGTCTTCATCCTTGGGCAACGTGTACATTAACTGCTCGACGATTCTGCAAGAAATTTTGACTAATGATAGAGGTGTTAAGAGTTTTCATCATCAACCATTATCGGTATTTACCAAAGTGTACATTTTTATCTACGTAACATATAATATTAAAGTTTTTGGTTCTACGACATACCTTTTAAGCACTAACTAAGCATATAAGAATATTTTAATCCAGCACAATAGCGAATAAAACCAATATCCGTTTATTTGATAATGTAGGTTTTTTCAAGTAACACTGCTATCGCAAATGCAATAAACGCTACGTTTTATTGAGGCAATAACATGCGAAATAATTACGAATTCAGATAGTGGGAACGCGAGGCGCGCTTGTTAAATTGTGGTGTGTTTTATAGACGGTGTAGAATTTAGATATTCTCTTGTATTAATGATCAATATAATGATATTTATACTATATGATAAAAAATAGTTAAGAGTATAGTAAAAGAAAAATTGCTAGTAATGAAGCGAGACAGGTTGCTTGAATCGATAAAGATGGGCAATTATTTGTCATTTAAATAAAAGACTACGTTTTAAGCTGTGGCCACCACCGCTGCAAAGTACCCGTGATGTTAAAACTTCTATCCAATTAATTTTTTTGAAAAAAAAATCTATTACATTGTACAAGTGCACGTTTCGTGACAAAGTATCTTGATACTTTTATTTTACAATATCCGTCTCAGTTTACGATCAATGATTATGGTCTATCACCTGTCGTTATCTCTAGCTTGTAAGACTATAAAACTAATTCGTACTGTATTGCCGGAGTGAAGATTAACTGCGGTCATAAACTAAAGTCTGAAATAAGCCCTAATTTGATAATTGTAGATAAATGTTTAATTTGCGATCGTTGCATTCTCAATTTACCTGTCTTCCCCAGGCAGGTCCTCCGGGAAAAGCCTTGCCATTTTGTCATGGTGCCTAGGTCGTCTTTCCCCCCCGCTCATGAACCAAGGTCGCTTCGTATCGTCGTCATTGTTCAACTCGTTTTCACTCTCAGTTATCGCGTTCTGAAACGGGCAAAGGACTCGTCACGCTTTTTAATTAAAAGGGCCTGGTCACGTAACGTGAGCACCGAACACACAATGTGGGCGACTGACGTCAAATACCAAACCTAGATATGAATTTTGTAATTAGCACAGGTGCTAGACGTCACTTCTGACGACCTTGTTGAAATTATAATAGCAATGTATTGCTAATGGTTAATGAGTCGTGGGTTAGATTCCTACCTTCCAAGATGTTTCATTTTTCTGAAAGGTTGGAAATTTGCCTATTCAATGGGTTGTAGGAATATCGAAATTCCGTCCTGATCACAGACCGCTATGCATACATGAGAAAGCCAAGTCAAGTTGAATTGCGTTTCGTTTTCACTATTTCTAAAAATAATATAGGCAATTGAACCTTTGCTTCACAGGTATTTTACGTGGCATAAAACAAATATTCCGTTTTATTATAATTTATTAGTTTAGTACTCACGCTAAGCTTGCTAATCTAATAAAAAAATACGTTTAAATAAAACACTTTAACGGTTTAAAACGCGATATACTTAGTTAAATTTATTTGGAAATGATTTTTAACTTCGGTCCGACGTTTCGGATGCTTTGCAGCAGCCGTGGTCACGGGGAGTCTCCCCGTGTTTTATTTAAATGTGTACTACTCGCGTAAACTATAGACAGTACTTAAAAAATACGTTTAAAAATCATAACATAACAAGAAAAATATTCTTTGTACTTAATAGGTATACGATATATATTTTTACCTCATATATGTGTGAGAATCAATAAAACATTTTAATCATGATCTTGACAAGCTTATTATGTGATGTTACGCATTTATTTAAAGCCTTAATCCCACCAAATCTATAACTTAAGATAACCATAACGGATATGAACAATATTAAACATGCATAGTACCGTTCGATAAGCATTGATGAATTAGATCGGCCTTTCCTAGAGTTTAAAGTTATAAATCTAAATTAAAAGCCAAATACTTATAAGGATTATAAGTACTGACTAAATCCCAGTGGCATCAATATCTAATCAATAGGGTCTATATCGTGGGATCTATGTGGGTTATTGTGATAAAGTTTTCTGGTTACAAGTATTACTTATATATTATCTTATCGTGAAAGGAAATAGCGGGTTGTCGGTTTATCATAAACGAGTCGATATTTCTTACGTACCTGTATCCCTAGTGATTTCATACGATCAGATATAGGTTTAACTTAAAAAGATTAGATATAGGAAATAAAGTATGAATATTGAAATAGATAAATTAGAGATCGTAGATAAGATCTTAGTTATTAGTGAAAGACACGCGGGTATGTAAGTACCTGTGCAAAAGACTCTTCCTTATAAGGTATCGTGGTCGGAGGCGGAGAGGGTAGCCTGGCAGAGGACCGATAGGGGGGCGGGCGCGGCAGCAAGAGCAGCGCCAGCGCCGTCAGCACGAATGGGGCCAGCAGCGCTGCGCGCCGCACCAGTCGAATCGACCGCGCCCACATGCCGATCAGCGCGCCTCGTCTCCCACACACCACGTCTCGTCCATGCTATCCTGATACTTGCATCTGTAATTTAATAAGAATCTATAGGCTAAAGTTATTTAAGCTTTTGTTTTAAGTTACTGATTTGTTGATTTAATGGTAGCAACAGCAAGCAAGTATTTCTGAAACATGTTAGACTTTGTCTGGAAAACCTGTTTATTATATGGCATTATCGAACTTCAAAAATTACTACACAAATGGTATCCTGTTTTTTTGTATGCATTTTTATGTTTCACATAGTGTTATGTACGCAGTTTTCAATTTGAATTCCAAATGCAAATGGCGTTTGCTCTTGTTTAAATGGTACATTCTGAGGTACCAAATGCATTAAATAAACCCCATGCTCATACTCTATCCCCTCTCTCAGATAAAAAAAACCTATGCCTGGGTAAACAACATCGTTAACTGCACGTTTAAATCTTGTTTTCAAATTCAATATAAAATACTTTAAACAAGTTAATTTTTAGTAACACCGAGCGAGTAAGCGAGTAGAGCAAAGTTACAGAATATTTTTTTTATGCGTATATTCACGACATATTTAAAAACGATGCCGATCAGCAATGAGATTGCTAGTTTAACAATAAATAATAAAAAGGCCGAATGCATGTTACTAACATACAAATTTAATAGGCTTAAGATATTATTAACTACCTACCTCAAAATGTTGGTATCAATATGACGAATTTCTTTAACGCAATAATTTTATCATCTTCCGCAATCTAATCATATGCTCATCAGTCATCACCTATAGTACACAAATTGCATGATCATATTTAATTTTATTTAAAAAATATCAAATGCACAAAAATAAAAATATACATAACACTACGTAAAGGACATGGTATCAAAATGACATTTTAGGAAGTAAAAAAGATACAAAAACCTATAAAAGAGTTTCGATAAGATCTTTGTTATATCTATGAGGTGTTTAGCCAAAAACAATATTCAACAAGATTATTATGTGACAAGATAAATATGCCATAATAATTATGGAATCTACTCGGTATTGTAGTTTGTTCGTTTAAAGTAATGGGTGTAGCATGTGGCACCATTATGTTTTTTGTTTAATAAAAATAGTTTTAATTTATAATTTTTTACTTTTAACTTAATGGTATTTGGCAAAAATACTATAAAAATCACTGATATAGGTATAGGTATAGAATTCCACAGATAATAAGGAAAAATAATAGAACGTTGCACAGATAACATCTTATCCGTTAACCGTAATATTGGGGTTTTTGAACTTAGTTTGTTAGTTTATCGGTAACTCAGAGGCGCTAATTGGTTACCGTTTTCAAGTAAACTATACGTAACATTTTACGTGCTACATATTTTTTCTACAGATACTTTTCTTTTTTACCTATAATATATGCATCGCAATAAATCCTAAAAAAAATTCTCGAAATTTCAATTAATTTAAAATTAATTACCAAATCTAAAAAAAAAACAGTTGTTCTATATTTTTGCTATACATTCAAATAATGAACATAGGTTAAACCAATAACGTTTGTTGACATAAAATTATACTGTTATAAAGCGTAAAACTTTGTTTGACTTTATCTCAACCAATTATAGGTCTATTTGAAAAATGCTTTAGTCTTATTATGTCATTACTCTGGAAAGCTCTTGCTGCCATTTATAAGAACGGTAAATGAAGAGTTTTACAAAAACAAAAGTATAATGTTAAACAAAAAATTATATTCTTACATATGTGTATTTATGGCTGGCTCTTTATAATGACTTGTACGAGTTTAGAGTCTTTAGGTATCATTTACTACCTTTGATAATTACGAAATTCAAATGATATTCGTTTTCAATTATGTGAGGGCAGAAGCGTCATCTAAGTTATTTAAATTTATACTGAAACCTTATTATTATGGCCTTAGCTACTTTACCAATAAATAGTTCTTTTATTAGCTTTTAGTGCCCGCATTATGTTTGATCAAGTGCTGTTCTAAATTCTCTTCATATAATTATTTAGTGACGGTATATTTTAAATAATCAATAGCTGTAAGACGTAGTAACATTGAAATTAAAAAAAAACACAATGTTTATTTTCATACCGACTTCATGTGTGAAGTTATTTATTAATTTACAATTAACGTGTCCCTCAACTCCATGTGGGATTGAAAATGCGTTGCCTTGCCTCGCGTTAAGCACGAGAGGTCAGGGGTTCACAACATGAAACAAAAGATAATGTTAATAATTTCTGACAGTAAAAAAGTTAAGCTACGTCAAGCCTTAATACAAACGTCTCTTCTAATAGATTCTGATGTTTATCGCCTATTCATTTTATGATTAACGTAACGATCAATTATGAAGACAAAGTGTTGTTCGAGACGTATTTTGATTATTACCTATTGTTCAAGGATGGTTTATGAGACCTTCCATGCGGAGGCTATGCCAATGTTATGAGATCTGGAAATACTAAGAACTGATTAGTTTACAATACATGTTTAGACAAAGAAAAAGTATTTATGTATTTAACAACACAGATTATACCAGGCGACAGATAGTCTGTAGTTTAAAAAGTTCAAATTATGATACTGGCCACTTACACGTTTCGGCTTGTCTATTCGTAATATCTTTATACAACTATGTTATATTTCAACTGTACAATTAAATGTCGATGAGTTATTGAAAGGCTGGTATCGTTAACAATTGATTGAAAGATGTCTTAATGAATACCGTCATTACATGAACAATAGCTGCAATTTCGTAATATTCATTTCTTTACGGAACAGACATTTTATGTGCTTTTAAATAGCGAAGTTTACTTAGCCAATAAGTGGAAAACATTGATCATAAACTAGATTGTATCCATGTAGATATGTATATATCGTGCATGCAGGATGCAAAATAGAAAATACATAAAAAATGAGATGTATATACAACTAGAAATATGTAAAATACTGACTGCTTAATTTAAAAATCAAAAATAAATTAAAAAAAAATTCCGACTCGGGCAGGACTTGAACCGGCATCGTCAGAAATCAAATCGTCAAAAATATCAAAGTTTTCAAATACTGACTGTTGTTTAGCGAGTAGTACACATAAAAAAAAACACTGTAACAGTTTAAAACACGATATATATTAGTTAAACTCATTGGAAAATTATTGTTACTACTGCCCGATGTTTCGGATGCTTTGCAGCAGCTGACGGACACGTGGCGGAGACGAGGCCGCAGTTTAAATAATTTTCGAATAAGTTTTACTAATATATGTCATAAATAATTTAAACCGTTAAAGTGTTTTATTTAAAATTAAATTGTATAATTATACGTATTTTTATAATAATAGCATCCCAAACAGAAATATTGTTTTAAGGTGAATTAGTTACAGACAAACTATTTTTTTCTCATATAGTAATTACTAAATCGTTATCCTAAGGGATAGTTACACATATATAATATATTAAAGTACAAAATAAAGTATATAGGCTTATAGAACCGTGCTATTAAGACGCTTTAACTAAGTAATATCAGACGTTGAAGTAAATAAAATCTTTTATATTTTCATAACAGTTGTCATACGTAGTTATATAAAGAGTATAAGGCTTTCTTCAATTGATTATTTATCATATCACATACCAGTTGAGAAGACATGAAAAGCCATTTATTTTTGTAATATAACTTTACGAAATATGTTATTTATAAGAGCGGCTGTCTGTTTTAGTTTGTAATGCAATAAACATGTTTCCCAACATGAAAATCAAAATAGACAGTGTCAGAATTTTATATCTGGCCTTTATTAAATTAACGTCTCTATTTAGTGTGGCGTATTTCTTTACAATCAAATAAATTAAAGAGAAGATACAGTTTGTACTATCATCGACAACTATTAAAAAAATTGCATTTGTTTCTTTGAGTTTTGTGTTTGGATAAATTCACGAATCTCGAAACTGTTGGGTTAATGTGAAACATTCATAATAAATAAGAGTTTAAATATATTCTAATAATCAACGGGTCGTGGCTACGATTCCCACCAGGTCCAAAATGTTTCTAGTCTGGATATTTAAGGATGGTGTAGAAATTACGTCCGGGTCACACACCACTGTCCACAGATGAAAAAGACGTAAATTGAATAGATTGTTTAGATTCTACAGGGGTGATGATTTAAAAAAATCGAAAATTTACTTATATACGTGGATATGGGTGGTTTATTTCGTTTGAACTGCATTGCGCCAGCCGTAATTACTCGTACTACCGTGAAGTATTTTTACATACTATGCCATAGTGTAGAGACCAAACTTGATTTATTGCACGAGTATAAAACGGTACGTTGAATATTCTAAATAGGCTTTTATTTAAAATTCTTGTTATTTAAACTGTTTAAGAATTTTAACAAAAAATACCAATTGGAAAAGTAAGTATAGGTAAACAACCGTTTTTTTTCAAAAATTGACATCATTTACCTATTGTAAATTTAATTGTATAAATTATAATAGGTATACATAAATGATCTACCTAGTACATGTATATGCATATAGCTATACTATGTAACTACAAGTACATGCTTAAAACCTCACGACTTAAGTAAAAATTTGCTCCTTCAACAAATAATACATTTTCAAGGACTCTTTGGAGGTGAGAACAGAGAATGTTAAGGATTTTTTACCTAGTAATTTTACAAAGTATAGATATAAAAATTACCTACATTCATTTCACACATCACAATCCACTAATTGTCACTCACAGTTAAGGGCAAATTTGTTTCCGTGTTTATAACGGTCGTAATTGCAGCATTTTTACATGCCATTTTATTACTACTCACGTTTTATGTTACCCCTCTATAACGATGTATTCTATCTATAGAAAAATTTATTTATTGGCGGTACTCCTATAATACCCTAGGGGCCATCGGGCCAGCTTTGGAGTCGTACGATCGTGTTCCTAGGTGTCCCCTCAGAGCACCGTAACGGGCTGGTGGTGTATGTGTTTAGTGGTTCTGGTCCGCTATGGACTCTGAGGAGGTTGCAGTACGATTTACTACTTTCTCCACGTCTCTATAGCCCGCAGTGGGCGTGCATTAGACATTCACATCATTAGAAAAAGGGCATTCATGCCAACATGTTTTTATATCCATTACTCTGATTGATTGATACAATCAAGAAGTTAATCACACTTCTGTGGCCTTTTCGACCGAAGGATCTCCCGTGCTTAACAGCCGTTAGGCACTGAGCAAAGGGGTTGGTCAGTTTTGCTCTACACCATTACAATACTTTGACTTAGTGATTAACAATCTACCTGAAAAGAAAGTAGCAATCGCTCGCAGTATCCCATTATATCCAAACTGAAATATTATATACACATAGCATTGGTTTTTACCCTCGCCCACTAGATACAAAATAACTAAAAATAAATTGTGCACTAATTTTTATATCCCCCAGTCTAAATCGCAAGAAAGACGATGATTTGTAATTTTTACAGTTTATGTAGATATATGTTCGCTACAACGACAAATACTGAAATAAAAATTCAGTTTCAAGGGGAGCTCCTACACAACGACCGCTATTATTCGTCGTTTTTTGCTTCATACCGTCAGCCACTCAAAATATTCACAATATGGAGTAGATTAAATGTAAACATTGGTTTTTTACACACCTAGTTAATATTGCAGTGTACTAAGCGAGAGTTGACCAGATTTTTTTTATTTAACATAAGCTAGCGTTACAAAAGGTTATATGAATATAATACGTAAACAAGTAATGTTTTGGTATCAACTTTTTATTAGATATTTTATAACAAAGTGTCATACTTTGGAAACACTCATCGATTCGAACCTATTAACTTTTGTATTAAGTATTTCAGATAACATTCTGTATTTAAAATGGCTAATGAGTAATTTTGCTTCGCAAAAAGTTTATAAAAAACCGCATGCTTATCTCGTTGATGTGCGTCAGTCACGGTAAAGAAATAACTTATGAAATCGTAAAAAAGGTGTGGGCGTTATGTTTTTATTACAATGTGATTGATCTCCCATCATTTCAGACTATAAACACTTACCAATCACAGTCTTTTATAACTGAAGGAAGTTGTGACATATCGTGAAGCGAATGCTTAGAAAACTCACTTTCTATAAAAATAAAGGCGGCCTATTTTCCGCTTGTACATGTCGGGGACTCTCTACATGTGTCAGGGTCGAAGTCTTTTTGTTTCGTTTGACCCGGTTCATTTTTTAAACCTGTTAAGTTGGAATAACTAAGTAACTTTGTTTAACCAAGTACAATAACCACAATTGTGACAAAATATGTTTTCCCTAATTAGCGCTTGTGTTTTTTTTTTCAACTAATTATATTTTGGCAGCTAGGAAAGACAATGGTATTTTAAAGTCGTTATTAATAAAAATATAACTTTTTATATTTTTATTTAATAATAATAACTTTTTGAGGTACATTTGGTATAATTCCTCCGGAAATTTAAGTTTAATTAAAAATCGTTCTGTGCAACGGACACAGAAATAAGTCTGGAGTGTGCGCCGTACATACGTCATAAACTTAGAAGTAGACAACTAAATAGATAAACAAAAATTTACATCATAATCACCACAGGACGTCTATTATCTCATTAAGAATAAATATGGATAGTCCCTAAAAGGGCGTGTTAAAATGATATGTGAGCGACAGATGCTGTCTACGATTATCGGACAGACATTGTATGGCATCATTTTACCTACCTATTATAGTGTGTATCGAATACATAATAATTTATAGTATGTATACTACAAATTGCAAAGCTAATGAACCTCGAGAGTTAGTCTCCTTTCTCAACCCGTAATAGCTTTCGAGATTTAACATAGCTTAATAAATTAATAATGAAAAAATGAGGAAGTTAATATTCCTCATAATATGCTGATGTTGCGTGACGTGTATATTTAATGGTTGGTTATTAGAACAGTAAACGAAAACAATGCGGTTTGTTTTTCTGTTCTTTGTTTATGTCAACCACTGCTTTTCGTATGGGCAATATTTGCAGATCCTTGCAGGCATTTGTAAAATATGTAGTGATGAAAGAGTGGCTACTCGTTGCCACTCTTCGATCTTAATCTATCTTCACGTTCCACGCCCTTTGAGTACTGGTAAACTATAGCATTCACATTTCTTAATTTTAAATCCTACTGAGGTTCATAAGTGTACTGAGTAAATGTTTTTGACTCCATTATTATTTTTTTACACTATAACTCAGATAGAGTCTCTATAAATCAAACAAATTCCATATTGATTAACTTTAAAAAATGTTGCTTAAAATTATAATTCACCGAGGAAGTGTAATGTTATAGGAACTAAATAAATGAATGCCAACATAATTAAATGTAAGAACACGAATCGTTATTGTTTGAAGTTATGACATAAATAACTTGAAAACATCCGTGAAATTGTTTTTCCACGTTGATTTTCTCGCGAGCGAGAAGGCCGTAATTGGGAAAATATTTTGAGAGAGAAATATTCTTACGAATGGAGTAAAAAACCCACATTGTACAGTTATACATCTAATCGTATCCTTAAACTTAAATATGTTAAAGTCGATTGCCCATTTCAGGCCACTTTTGAACAGTAGATTTCAGAATAATACTTAGTTTTTAATAGAGAAATAGTTAAGTCACAATATTCGATCTTCAGCTTTTCTAAACCGGAAACGTCTACGCGTAACTTTGAACCCTTAAAACGACGATGTCAAGACAAATATTCCAGGTTTAAATGTATCACAAAGAGATTTGAGTACGGCAAAATGGTTTTCATAATATTCAATCAACTTGTCCATTACATTTAAGGTCGGAAGATAGTAAAACAATTACGAACTAAGGAAATACTCTACCGACATAGAGGTAAGTATAAAAGCAATGTAAATTTTGTATGTACTTAAACGCAATGACTATTCAAACCAGTTGTCTAATACTTAAATAGATAATATGTCACATATTATCGTACGGATATTGCAATGCATAATTGAATAAATTGCCGTTAATTGTTATGCTAAGTAAGTCGTACATAATCCTTTTACGATAGATCGTTTCCAATTTTTTTTTAAAGATGGTATAAAGACTTTTGTGGGCTTTTGGCGGTAAGAACTTTAATAATTAATTCGTATCATATCTTCCTGTAACATCCTTACAATATACTACTAAGATAACGTTTACTTAAAGCCAGCGAATCTTTAAAAAATATTATAATAATGACTTCTGCCATCTGATTCTCTTGTATTTCGTTTATGCAGGTACTTGCTATATATAAAATAAAACCCATTGAAACCACACATCACTTTACGGCTCGAGGTTTCGGATCTTTGGAGCCCCTTCTTCCATTTGCAGAATTTGCGTTTTAAACCGTTGAAAGTATTTTATTTAAATGTGTACTACTTACGTAAACACACAGACCATATTTTATATCATACATGCTGAAAACAATTACGACATCTAAGTTATCAAAACCCAATTTAAATTTTAATTATTACAAAATTGTTTTCGATAAAATACCAATTAATATTGTATTAATTCTTTACAATGGGTTAGCGGAAAAATTTTCCATGTCATTTTTTCAGTAATTGATACCGCGCTATTTTTTATAGGACGATAGACGGAATAACATTTTTAGTTATAGTAATTTCTAAGTAAATTCTGAGCTGTTCGTAGTTGATATAATGTTAGCTATGTTATAGTACGATATTAATATTTTATAAACGTCATAATATATTATGCTTTCTTTATGAATGTAAACATTCAACATCGGTGGAGATTGAGTGAAAATATTCTGCAGACTGTTCCATATAACTGGTTTATATTGAGCCAAGTTTTAGCCTATTTGCTACGTTTTTAAATAAAACAAAAATCCACACCTTCAGTACCTATATTTTTCAATAGTGTATAATTGACATAAAAGAAATCGTAAAGAAACGTGGCAGTATTGCGATAAATGTTTTATAAGAATTGATAAAATCTCAATTAATTTTCATATCTTATTAAAAGGCGTTACGGATACATAGATAATCACTTTGATTTATATGAAATTAACCTCACCGCTTTGTTTTACTATTGAGTACCTTCGATATAAATATCAATTATAATATGGTAACACAAGGATAAGACATATTTTTGAGTTTCTATGGTCTAAAGACGCTGTACATTCTTAACTAATTATTAAAAAAATAGGGAGGCATATACTATTACATACTCAAAAGCCTATGGCTAACTAAAAAATCATATGTGCTGCCTGTGTGTATAATAAATTTCCGTCTGCAAATTTGTGAGATATATTTATATGTGTCTACAATGTTAATTACGTTTAACATAGACAGTTCATTTAAATATTAATGCAGAATATACTTTAGACCCTCAACAGGATATATATGGATCTTATATGGTTTCACAATTCGTAGAAAAGGAACACCCTCACAGGATTTACCAGCGCGAATTCTCATTATTACATCGATATGAGAGAAACGTGAAATACTTACGTAAAAATTTTGTAGCCAATTTGATGTTATCGGCAATCCCGTTAGACACTATATTCCATAGCACATTGGTGAAGTTATCGTGTGTCGGTGTTTTAGCCGCGTCGATAGCGAGGCGCGCGCTCTGTTAGTTCGGCGGTGAAATATTGGCGGCGCGGCCCGCGGCGTAGTTGCGCACGCAATATCTGCTCGGCGCCCTGTCGCAAGCCACACTGCAATGACGCTGTGACGTACAACCTCCCTGATGCCTGTGTTTACGAGTTCCAATACATATTATAAACAACCACACAATATCGAATGCCGATCTATCAGTCTATATGATCAAATACTGTACGCGGTAGTTTAGTTTTTGGCGTGTATGTTATGCTAAAGTTTGTTACAGCAATAACTTTGACTAGGTTCTCGTGTAAAGGCTTGCTTTCAAAGACAGAACCTTCGATCTTAACCAGTATTCAGTCATGCAGTTATGTAGCTTGCAAATACTTCGTACTCGATTGTGTAATACAACTTTGGTATTATGTGACGAACTAGAGTGTAGGTAGGAGCCTAAGTTCTATTAAAAGTATACAGTATCAAAGATTTATGGAGAGATGGTAAAATACCGTAGCTTTCAAACATATTGATTGTAAATCTACCGCAATTTTTCCTGTCAAATATAACTTTGAACTCTGTTATATACTTTATCAACTCATTCGTTGATGTATTAAATTTAGGAGGGTCAGGCAATACATAGGAATACGGATTACTACCGTAGATTTTTCTCAAACAATTTATCGCCTCGACCTTATAGAATGGAGAATAATTCTAAATGTTATGAATTGTACGTAACTTAAACCGGCAGGCGCTAAAAAATGTAATATTTCTGAAATAAAAAATATAAAGTCAAGAGAGAGAGAGAGAGAGATTTCAGATATTACTTTCCTAAAATCATTTCGATGTAAACGAAACTTTATAGTGTGTTATATTAGGACTTTTGAATTCTTGACATTGACATTAATAATTTTGATGGTTGTTATGCTCAAAGCAATGATTGAAATTACAACATAGTTATAAGTAAAAAAAATAAATATATATCCGTCAACATTTATTATTTACCCCAATAACAATTATAAGAAAACTAAATATGAAACATTTTCTTATAATCTTAATTAAAACCTAACACAGCACAGATCCACATAAAAATCAAATATACAAGATACATTGTAAGCAATGACATTTTTAGTGGGACGACATGTTTAATTTTTATATTTTCAACAACCAGTCTTAAATATTCTAAGAATGGCTGACAAACAAATTTACGTAACAGAAATACACAACCTTGTGACCATAAGTAATAATATATAAAAAAAAACTATAAAACCAAAATATAAACCCTACGTGATAGTAATTCTTGCCTTTCATTTTAAATCAATCAATTAATATTAAAACACTCAATTTAAACCTAAAGCAAGGTGTCAACTTGGCATTGATCATTTAATAAGAATCATTGCAAATTACAAGGATTGTAACTAAATAAACAAAATGAATTAAGCACAGTATATAATCATGTGTTACTGAAAACTTCGTAAATGTTTGCCCCTAACAATTTCAACTTTTCATTCAAAGTTAACTGTTGCGTCAATAAATCTGGAATGTTTGTGTTCGCCTTGCATGTATTTTTTGTCATCAATTCATTAACAACAGGCAACAGTTTAACAAAATGCATCTCAACTTTATTCACATTGACAAAGGGTTCTGGGGGGTTTCCCAACTTTAAAGCTCCATTTGTGACGACATGGTCATTGTTGACTTCCAGGTGATTTTTAGAAGTAGGAACCCATTTTGAAACAAATAAATTGGCAATTTCATCTATAACAGACGAGAAACTCCTACTAACAATGGACATTGTGACAGATGTAACTTCATCACTTTCTAGAACGTCCATTGTCTCCTTAACAATTGTGTCAAACTTAGCCTCATTAATTTCTGTATGATCCACCAAGTAATGTACCATTTTTTTTACAGGATCTCCCTCATTTGTATCAGTACATAAAATTGTTTGTATAGACCAAAACATTTGCTCTACCTCCTGCAATGTAATTTTCTTTTTCAGTGATATAGGATCTACAACTCTTTTGACAACCCTTTCTACTTGCCTGACTAAATCTTCCAAGCCTGGCCCTAAAAAGTGATGACACAGCGACAGGTACTTTGCTTGTAAATCTCCATCTATAAGTGGTTCATGCTCTAGTACTGAATCTCTATAAAGATATCCACCGATAATATTTAGCTGTACTCGCAGAGTTACTTGCAAAATAGAGAGAGCATAAACAAGTACACATATCCTAGTGATGATCATAATTTTCATTTGTTCCCAAAGTTCTAATTTATTTTCAGGATTATCATGAAGCCTTTGAACAATATCCTCAGTGTTTAAGGAATTTAAGATATTATCGGAAACAATTTTTGAGAGAGACAGTATTGTCTGATTGCATGTGCGCTCTGTGCTCTCAAAGTGTTGTTTCTTTCTTGTCATTTCAAAGAACTTTTTAGCCTCTTTTTCTTGCCATTCCCTGAGCTTCTTTTGAGCGTAACTCATGAGCAAGTAGATTGAACCAAACACAGCACCAGTCACAATGAACTTTCTTCTATGACGATGTAAAAAGTTTCTAATGCTTGAAAACATTGTCTATAATTTCTTGCGTCTTTTACTGGAATTCAAGGGGGGAGTCCGAGCGGTATTTCGTTGTGTTCATCAAACGCTTAGTTATAAAAGTTGTGACATCAATGAACCGTTCAACACAGTTCATTATACATACTTCAGTCTTGGAGTCTAAGCGATTTGAAGGCCGTCCCATGCAAGTCTCCCAACAGGTATCAGTAAGACCATGTACTAGAACCTGAAATTTAAACAGCAATGCCATGAAGACAGTAAGTATAGAAGTAATGATTAATGCATAGGTTACGAAAATACAACGCTGTTTATACATCACCAAGATAAGTAAGCCTAGCAGTTTCAAACCGTTACATTTAGTAGATTATTAGTAGGAGGAAAATAACATAAGTGTTATATCATATTGCTAAAACAATACAAGGATAATTTATCTGTGTCAAAATATACCTGAAAACGTTGTTTTTGCGTTTCACTTAAGATGAAATCTTGCAATTGTGGATCTACACTTTCTGTATTGCTCATAATCAAACAAGTTTTACAGCATTAACAATTTTGTTGTATTTATATTATTTTTTTCACCGTTTCACGCGTAAATTCCAAGCAAAGATTTCAAGTGTCATAAAGTTAAGTTCAGTGTTAACAGCTCTCTTGCAGTTCTCCATACGATTTAAATTTGTAATTAAAGTTGTTGCCACTTTTTTTAATAATGAGAAAAACATTTTCTTTTTTATTACATACGTAAAATATAATAGGTATATATTTATATTTTTTTACTTTATGATAAAAATGGAATTCTTTTAATAAAACGTAAAACTTTATGTGGCATTTTTTATTGTGGGCGAGGCAACCAAAAACAATGGCATATGGAATCGATTAAATGTCAGTGTCATCAGGACAATGACGTTGTTGCTGTTGTTTTCGATTCTGATTGTCAATAACATTGTTTACATTTTTTCTAGAATGCTGACTTGCTAAAAATACATTGAAAGTTCTTTAAAACATAAATTAAAATTACAAAACACGTACCACTAATTTGAAAATGGATTCAAAACACCATTGGAAATGGCATATTACTACTTACGATTTAACCAATTATACACTAGTGGTTCCCAGCGTTGCTGTAGGGAACGTGGGCCAACTTGCTTCTGATCTGATCATATCTACTTTGGGTATGGAAAAGCTTGCATCTATATATACTCCAGCACAAATTCCTGTCGTCGGTTGTGATCCGTATGATACATTTTCGACGACATTATCCACATCATGCGAAGTGTATGTTGCAACTTCACATGATTTACTTGTTGTTCAGTTACGAGCTCCGCTAGTTCAAAAGTATGCCCGTAGCTTTTTAGAAAACGTTGTGGACCAGTTTCAACAAAAACATATTAAGGATATTATTATACTAACAAGCAGTTATGCTCATGAGAAGAAGCATATTATGACTTCTCCCTTCCGATACATTTCAACAGACACAACACTACTGCAAGAACAAATTGAAGGCGCTAATTTGACACTTCATGAGCAGCAAGAAGAGGATCTAAGAATCTTTGGTGGTGGCTTTGCTGTACTATTGTTCAAAATCTGCCAGGAAAAAATGTTGCCATGCTTGTGTTTATATAAATATTGTTCTGAAGGAGATAATATCCCTGATGCATATGAAATGGTTAATAAATTTCAAAGACTGGTCCCACTTTTTGATAGGGAGAAGGACATTGTGGCACAGTTGATTCAACCAGCATCATGGAAACTTTTGTTTGGCCGACCTCCACCTCAGGAAATCTATTAATTTATAAATCAGTTTTATTTCAATAAAGATGTCTTTTTAAATTCTACATAATGTAATAATTTACTACACATAGCTGCTTGCCATTATCTTGTTTAGAAACATGTTAACAATAATTATACGGTAAATAACAGTTACTAAACTTATAATAATAAATTTAAACAAGTTTTGGCATTTTATTTATCTTAATTTATTTGGGTATCTTTGTTTTTTTATAAAAAATCCTGTTATATGTATCCTGTATATGTGGGTATCTTTGTTTTTTTTATAAAAAAAATCCTGTTAGTCAAATATATTTATCTTAGCTCTTGTTTTATGTACCATCCGCGAAGCAGTTTGCGTCGACATTAGTTCATACGCAAACGCAATACGGCAAACGTATAGAATTCTTTTTTTTATAGGATGATTTTTATTTTTTGAAAACTAATGCATGATTTACTTGAGAGTATGTTTTAATGTTTTTGATCTATAAATTAATATCGATTAAAAACGTATTACAGGCAAACTCATTCAAATGGAATGGCCGCGATTACATGAACGCTTCGTCGACTAAAAGACCCTCAATGTCAATGAACACATTAAAGCTTTAAGTTTATTTATCAAGCAACTTTCTAACGTTTTATTGTGACACTGCTACTCGAACCACTGCGGGTTCAAATCTCAGTAAAGCAAAATTGTTCGTTTCGATTTAATGAAAGTAACGAACTTAGTTTTGGTTTACCACATTCGTACGTCCGTTTCAGTGCTCGGGTTTTTCTTCATTTAGGCCTACAGGTCACGAGCTGAACTTTGGGTCTTGCTTCGATTTTTCAAATAAATGGGTCACGAAGGTATGTGGACGGGGTCCTGTAAATTGTTCATAGTTATAGGCGCATATGATTCGCTTGGAATATAAAATAAAAGCTGACATAATCGCTTCATGCTCGAAGTGCGAAAGATTTAAGGCGCCCTCAACCTGTTAACGGTCTTTTTTATAAATTACAGTTTTTATACGCCCATAAAGCTGTTATTGCCTTCGAGCAATAAGAGCCTATTTATAACACTTTTTGGGCGAACGGCGAAAGTGTTTTCGCTTAAAAATAATGGGTCCCGATTATCCTAAAATAATATTCGTATGTAATCAGAGAGTGATATTCCGAGAGAAGTACGATGCTTTTGAGATCTTTACTGTAGATATGTACAACTAAAAATTGAATTAAACCATTTTGCCAAACAGTGAAAGTCCGTACTACATGTGGCGTTTTTATAAGGTCCTTTAACTTGTTTAATTCTTCGAAAAAGTTAGAAACCCTGCGAAAGGGCATGTATAACATATGACTAAATAACACAGATATAGGGATAGATTTTCTCTAGGTTAGGTTATACATATTGCCTAAGACACCTATAACAGATTTTTTAAAAAACCTTTCCGTAATAAACGTCACCAGTAATATAAAAAAACCAAAAATATAAAACGACAGTATAGTATAAGATTTAAATAGAAAAAGACTTTCGATTTATAACTTTTTACGATCAATTTAATATTCTTTAAAATGATACTCTTATAAGCCAATCGCAAATATGCAATTTTCAGCAACATCAAGGTTTCAGAATAGCCAAGGCAATATTCGTTCAGGCACAAAGCTATTTTAATACTTGATTGTATCCAAACCTTTGAGAGTCTCTGGAATTACGTAAATTTTAATGAGTATTCCGTCAACGCGAAGCTTTTTCCCCTTTTTCTGTTCCTCCGATCCTTATCTTATATTCTATTTATATTTTTACAGAAGCTTTTAAGTGTGTTTGTTGATTGTTTATATAATCAAAATAATTTTAATATTACATTGTGATTTTTTGACTCAGACAAAGAGACTGAACTGAATTTAGACGTTACAGTGCATTTTTTTATAGGTAATACGAGATTCCAGAAGGACAGACAAGTCCTTCTCGAATTATATAAAAATGCGAGTGGTACACTGAACTGGAGGTGAAGGTCCCCAGTATATAAACAAGTAAATACGCTGTTGACATATTTAGGCTTTATTCATATTAAAAGAAGCTGATACTGAGATTTAAAAAATTGTCTATATGTATACGACGCTATAGGATAGCATACACATAATGCTATAGACACATAATGTGAATTTGATTGTATATTCCATAACCATTACAGGATCGGGAACAGAAATCTGATCACGCTGAATGAATATTAATGCGAGGGTAGTGGACTGCTCGGATTACACTATGGACCCTCCAATATAATTGATTGCTATACATCTGTACGACAAATTAAAGGTAGTGTGTCGCCCTGTAGTTTTGCTTTTAAATAAATTATTTTCTTGGTGTCTGAGTCATTAGATCTTTATTTTGCAATCACCTTTATAAGATGTACAAATTGTTGATTTGATTTTATGGAATCATTTATTGATACAGGTTTCACTTTATGGGAACATTATCTTGAAGATGTGTCAGGTTTTACTTGTATGGATAATTTTTTTAATGATTACTACTTGTTTATTAATATTTTTACATGGCAAAAGACTATATAATGTAAAAATCAAATTGAATTTTCATGTACTTGTAAGTTCAGCAGAGCAAGGAAGTAATTCCCATTTTTTCAATTATATACTCTATTTTCTCAAATTATAGTTTTCTTATCATATTTTAAACAAGTCGTAACTGTGTAAATGAACGAATTGTATGTATCTTTAGTACATACTTTTAGTAGTTACCTAATAGTACTTACCATACGTAACAAGATAACAGTTTCTATAACCTAATACAGTCATGTTTATTAACACTCTGAGGTAATAATATTTCCCATATACTTGAATTGATTACTAATTGGAAAGGAAAGTTCGACAGCAGCTCCTCAAGTGTGAGATAGTAACTACAGTTTAATTTCCTATTAGTTTCCCCTAACTTCTAATACTTTGAAAGCTCGAATCTTATTCACCCTAGAAACAGGGTTGAAAAATTACTGTAGGTACTGGTAGCGTCGCAATAAATAAAACTGAATATAGACAAGCACGTTTTCGTTGTCTATACTCAGTTATATTTTTTAGAGAAATAAGTTAATTCTTTTTTTTTATAGTTGAAGTAGAGATTTGTGCGAGGGGGGTATAAGGAGGGGGTAGCTTTCTTTTTAAGTAAGAAAAACTAGACTTGCAACGAATAGTATATTGGAGTATACGAATACCAATATTGCGAGACCCTGACAATACGAATATTAGCAAAAGTATTCGCTGGATTTTTCTCCAAAACTTGTAAACTATTTTTGGCTCTTGTTTTGTTCTAACGTATGTTATTATTATTAAATTACTATTTTATATATTTTAAATATACTTATATATTATCAAAAAAATATGAATATAAGTAACAATATTTTAATTTTTATTTTAAATTATTTCTTAAAAAATATATATTTAGTATTGTTATTGGAAATATTAATATTCGTTTGGAATATAATAAAGCAGCCGAATAGGCCGAATACGAATAGTAACCGAATATTCTTTGCAAGTCTATTAAAAACACGTATAAAAATATGCACGGTATAATATTACGTCATAATATTATTATCCGTTTCTCTTGGACACAGATAATAAACTTCTTATTTTTTTTTTTCTTTTATTTTTGAATCCAAATGTGTCTGTGCCGAGGACACAGATAATAAAATTGAATATGAAAAGCGTAGTAAACCTTTTACTACATTGTTATATATAATTTTTTATATATATATATATATGTTATAACGCCATTAACAGAATGATAAATGTAAAAAGCAAACACGTCATTGATATTTACGATTACCATTTCACAAGGTTCGACTACGATTGTTATGATGCGATACGATTATAAAAATAAAGTACGATGGAGAAGCTGTAAACATTGTTTTATTTTGTACAGTACTGAAGTTGATGTAATGAATGATATAAATATGGAGCCCTAGTTGAGCCGTACGACCGATCAGGTTACGTTCGTCAGGTTTTTTATGATAGAGAAGGACAGTCAAGCATGGTTCACTTGATGGGAGATGAAATACCCCAGCCATATAACATCTACACAAGATGTGCTGTCGAACTATATTGGCGGTGGATAGTCGGGAGTTCAATCTAACTTGTAGGTTTAAATCAATAAATAATCATTACTCCATGAACATGGCCTCTTTAATGAAGGAATCCCGGACCCAACTGTTGTGTGAGCTTAGTACTAGAAAAACGAAAACATGACTACTTTGCCCATATTGCCCAACTGGGCAGATTAAACCCTGTACATACGACTTTAAGATGCCTAACTTTTAGTAGATTTTCTTTAAAGAGTTATTGTTTGTGTATGTACTTATAAGGAATCATAATTTGTAGTCAAAAATTATCTCTGTCTTAAATAATGTATCGTTTATATTCTCAAGTATTATCTAATGTAATTGGATAATGGCATTAATTTGTTAAGCTACATTAGCAACCAAAGACACTGACTGAAAATAGTCGTATGATATTAATAAAAAATACGATTTACGATCAAATAAAATCGTTACCAATTTATACGCTCAATCACCTGACAAATGTTAGCGATTTATCAAAATACGCGTTCGATGTAACGTAAAGTGCTATGTTGTGAATGTGTACAAACATATTAAGAGTAATATGAAATAAAATACATATTCTTTTAAAATTTGGGCTTTGCGCATCCCTACTCGGTTGGTGCCCAATAATTTGTGGTAAGGAAAAAATAGTACCTACTTAACTTGTTTTATTATTCAAATTTTTAATAATTAGAGACAACAAGTGACTTTACGCGTCTAGTACTATTTAAAATAAACACTTACAATTTTTTACTACGGTCGGATTTTTCAGATCTTGTCACGTTTCATCGTGGTCACAGGATAATTAAAAATAAATTGTTATTAAGTTAACAGATACATTTCGCATTGACACCATTAAAAGTGCTTTATTTGAAACCAACATATCTATATGAAAATCTTATTTTGGATAAGATATCGTTAGCACAGCATCTGTAGAGCCTAC